CACATGAAATGTCCATGCAGATGTCCACACATGAAATGTCCATGTCCATGCAGATGTCCACACATGAAATGTCCATGTAGATGTCCACACATGAAATGTCCATGCAGATGTCCACACATGAAATGTCCATGTAGATGTCCACACATGAAATGTCCATGTAGATGTCCACACATGAAATGTCCATGTAGATGTCCACACATGAAATGTCCATGCAGATGTCCACACATGAAATGTCCATGCAGATGTCCACACATGAAATGTCCATGTAGATGTCCACACATGAAATGTCCATGTAGATGTCCACACATGAAATGTCCATGTAGATGTCCACACATGAAATGTCCATGTAGATGTCCACACATGAAATGTCCATGTAGATGTCCACACATGAAATGTCCATGTAGATGTCCACACATGAAATGTCCATGTAGATGTCCACACATGAAATGTCCATGCAGATGTCCACACATGAAATGTCCATGCAGATGTCCACACATAAAATGTCCATGTAGATGTCCACACATGAAATGTCCATGTAGATGTCCAAAAATAAAATGTCCATGCAGATGTCCACACATAAAATGTCCATGTCCATGCAGATGTCCACACATGAAATGCAACTTCCAAAAACTCACCTATAAAACGAACACAAAACATTTGACTTGCAATCTAAATCCCCAGATTGATATTAGCTGTTGAATGAACTTCTGTTCAAACACTTTTTCAGATCAATTTGACGTTTGCATAAAGGCCGCCCTGGAAAAGAGAAATTTGGACTTAGTACAGAGTTGAATTCTCTTGAGGGAAAGTGATATTCCATTTGAAAATCCTCCCTCATTTAATGAACAGCTCCAGTGTTCTTATCTGCTCACTCATCCCCCCCCCCCCGATCAACGAGAAAAAATATATGGTTCTAAATGAAATAGATTAAGATACATTACCCAATGTGACCAATCCCCCCCCCCCCCCCCCCCACTGGTTTTGTCTAGTGTACAATTTGAAGATTGTGAGTGTGATCAGGAAAGTGACAGAATAAACTGACCAGTTTGTCCCACTTGAGTGATGGTTACGTCCACTAGACATTCATGCTGTTCAACATCTTCAGAGGGGAGGCTAAAGCTAAAGCAGCTGGGCTCTGATCTGTTGAGCTAAATACATAGTTACAGAGATAAGGACACAGTAGTCAAACAATGGGTTGAGGTAAATACATAGTTACAGAGATAAGGACACAGTAGTCAAACAATGGGCTGAGCTAAATACATAGTTACAGAGATAAGGAAACAGTAGTCAAACAATGGGCTGAGCTAAATACATAGTTACAGAGATAAAGACACAGTAGTCAAACAATGGGCTGAGCTAAATACATAGTTACAGAGATAAAGACACAGTAGTCAAACAATGGGTTGAGCTAAATACATAGTTACAGAGATAAAGACACAGTAGTCAAACAATGGGCTGAGCTAAATACATAGTTACAGAGATAAGGAAACAGTAGTCAAACAATGGGCTGAGCTAAATACATAGTTACAGAGATAAGGACACAGTAGTCAAACAATGGGTTGAGCTAAATACATAGTTACAGAGATAAGGACACAGTAGTCAAACAATGGGTTGAGGTAAACAATGGGCTGAGGTAAACAATGGGCTGAGCTAAATACATAGTTACAGAGATAAGGACACAGTAGTCAAACAATGGGCTGAGCTAAATACATAGTTACAGAGATAAAGACACAGTAGTCAAACAATGGGTTGAGGTAAACAATGGGCTGAGGTAAACAATGGGCTGAGGTAAACAATGAGTTGAGGTAAACAATGGGCTGAGGTAAACAATGGGCTGAGGTAAACAATGGGCTGAGGTAAACAATGGGCTGAGGTAAACAATGGGCTGAGGTAAACAATGAGCAACTCCAGTAAACCCTAGCACCTTTATCTGTCACATCAAATTTACAAAATATTCAAATACCTTTGTACAATTCCATTCTTTTTTTGGCTGAAATAAAAAACATGAAATTGTTTCAGTTCTTTATTCAAATAGTGGCTAGGTTTGTGTGCTAATATTTGACATTAATCCGTTTAATATGTATATATATATTCATAAATATATATATGCATATATATATATATATATAAAATAAGCAAATGTGTCAGTATTTATCCTTTATAAATGATGACACTGTTCATGAGTTTGGCATAAAGTTTTGGGAGTTGGTTGTTGTTGGGTTAACAATTGTGTATAAAAGTCATGTGGGACTCACCATGTTGATTTGAATGCTGGATATTTCAACTGAGATGTTCACAGAGCAAATGTCAATGTACCTGGAGAAATAGTGTACACAAACACACAAATGTCAATGTACCTGGAGAAATAGTGTACACAAACACACAAATGTCAATGTACCTGGAGAAATAGTGTACACAAACACACAAATGTCAATGTACCTGGAGAAATAGTGTACACACAGGCTTGTCCAAATTCTTTCAAATCAGAAGTTGATTATAAACAGTGTAGTGAAAAATAAAAAGCTCAAACTATTCAGTGTCTCTTTCAGGCATCTCCTCAGGAAGTGCCCCCCCCCCCCCCCCCCCCCCAGGAGAATCTACTGTCCCACAGAACAAAATGGAATTTATATAGAAAATATATACTTTTAGCAGTGTCTGGACCCCCGGAAATTTTAGTCCCCCCCCCCCCCCTTGGAGAAAAGTCTGGAAGAAACACTGCAGATCATTACGCCAACTAAGTTAAAATAGTGTCAGTATTGTTAGGTCCTGGTCCTTAGGGTTAGGGTTGAATTGTGAACATTTAGTTATGTCAGTATTGTTAGGTCCTTTTGTCATAACTAAAAGTTCTCAATTCATGTCTGTGATTGTCAAGTTTCCTGTCTGTGATTGTCAAGTTTCATGTCTGTGATTGTCAAGTTTCATGTCTGTGATTGTCAAGTTTCATGTCTGTGATTGTCAAGTTTCAAGTCTGTGATTGTCAAGTTTCAAGTCTGTGATTGTCAAGTTTCAAGTCTGTGATTGTCAAGTTTCAAGTCTGTGATTGTCAAGTGAAATGCTGGCAACTAACCTGAGGTAAACAGAGAAACATCCCCATGTTTTGCTGTACCCAACTAACCTGAGGTAAACAGAGAAACACCCCCATGTTTTGCTGTACCCAACTAACCTGAGGTAAACAGAGAAACACCCCCATGTTTTGCTGTACCCAACTAACCTGAGGTCAACAGAGAAACATCCACATGTTTTGCTGTACCCAACTAACCTGAGGTAAACAGAGAAACATCCCCATGTTTTGCTGTACCCAACTAACCTGAGGTAAACAGAGAAACACCCCCATGTTTTGCTGTACCCAACTAACCTGAGGTAAACAGAGAAACATCCCCATGTTCTGCTGTACCCAACTAACCTGAGGTAAACAGAGAAACATCCCCATGTTCTGCTGTACCCAACTAACCTGAGGTAAACAGAGAAACACCCCCATGTTTTGCTGTACCCAACTAACCTGAGGTCAACAGAGAAACATCCCCATGTTGTGCTGTACCCAACTAACCTGAGGTAAACAGAGAAACATCCCCATGTTTTGCTGTACCCAACTAACCTGAGGTAAACAGAGAAACATCCCCATGTTGTGCTGTACCCAACTAACCTGAGGTAAACAGAGAAACATCCCCATGTTTTGCTGTACCCAACTAACCTGAGGTAAACAGAGAAACATCCCCATGTTTTGCTGTACCCAACTAACCTGAGGTAAACAGAGAAACATCCCCATGTTGTGCTGTACCCAACTAACCTGAGGTAAACAGAGAAACATCCCCATGTTTTGCTGTACCCAACTAACCTGAGGTAAACAGAGAAACATCCCCATGTTTTGCTGTACCCAACTAACCTGAGGTAAACAGAGAAACATCCCCATGTTTTGCTGTACCCAACTAACCTGAGGTAAACAGAGAAACATCCCCATGTTGTGCTGTACCCAACTAACCTGAGGTAAACAGAGAAACATCCCCATGTTTTGCTGTACCCAACTAACCTGAGGTAAACAGAGAAACATCCCCATGTTTTGCTGTACCCAACTAACCTGAGGTAAACAGAGAAACATCCCCATGTTTTGCTGTACCCAACTAACCTGAGGTAAACAGAGAAACATCCCCATGTTTTGCTGTACCCAACTAACCTGAGGTAAACAGAGAAACATCCCCATGTTTTGCTGTACCCAACTAACCTGAGGTAAACAGAGAAACATCCCCATGTTTTGCTGTACCCAACTAACCTGAGGTAAACAGAGAAACATCCCCATGTTTTGCTGTACCCAACTAACCTGAGGTAAACAGAGAAACATCCCCATGTTGTGCTGTACCCAACTAACCTGAGGTAAACAGAGAAACATCCCCATGTTGTGCTGTACCCAACTAACCTGAGGTAAACAGAGAAACATCCCCATGTTTTGCTGTACCCAACTAACCTGAGGTAAACAGAGAAACACCCCCATGTTTTGCTGTACCCAACTAACCTGAGGTAAACAGAGAAACATCCCCATGTTGTGCTGTACCCAACTAACCTGAGGTAAACAGAGAAACATCCCCATGTTGTGCTGTACCCAACTAACCTGAGGTAAACAGAGAAACATCCCCATGTTGTGCTGTACCCAACTAACCTGAGGTAAACAGAGAAACATGCCCATGTTTTGCTGTACCCAACTAACCTGAGGTAAACAGAGAAACATCCCCATGTTTTGCTGTACCCAACTAACCTGAGGTAAACAGAGAAACACCCCCATGTTTTGCTGTAGTTTGGTGCTGTGATACTGTGGAGTGCTGTATTTTCCTGTGGGCTGTAGACAAAGTTTGCTATAGACTCAAACAGCATGGGGGCAGATGAAAGATTCTAGTCACTGACTGCTATTTAGTTCTTTTGTTCTCTACTTTTCAGTCATTCATAATTTGTCAATTTGACACTATCACTACCTCCCCCCCCCCCCCCCCCAACCTCATGAAAGCAGCAGTCCATGAAGACAGATTACAGATGACAATGAAAAGATCAAGCAGTCCATGAAGACAGATTACAGATGACAATGAAAAGATCAAGCAGTCCATGAAGACAGATTACAGATGACAATGAAAAGATCAAGCAGTCCATGAAGACAGATTACAGATGACAATGAAAAGATCAAGCAGTCCATGAAGACAGATTACAGATGACAATGAAAAGATCAAGCAGTCCATGAAGACAGATTACAGATGACAATGAAAAGATCAAGCAGTCCATGAAGACAGATTACAGATGACAATGAAAAGATCAAGCAGTCCATGAAGACAGATTACAGATGACAATGAAAAGATCAAGCAGAACTTGTTTCCTCCCCTTAGTTTGAAATCGTTTAAAAAATAAATTATCTGCGCCAATAACCGTCACTAAACATTGGGCGTGAACCACAGCTCACTAGACTGGTGGGGGTGGGGGTTATGATGATATGGTCTGTTGCCCATGCCTGTAGAGCAAGGGAAGGGGCGGAAGGAGGGTTAGATAGTTGGCTTGCTGTTACACTTTCTTAAATCTATAGTATGTTGTGTGTGCAGTGTTCTCTTACACTTTCTTAAATCTATAGTATGTTGTGTGTGCAGTGTTCTGTTAAACTTTCTTAAATCTATAGTATGTTGTGTGTGTAGTGTTCTCTTACACTTTCTTATAGTTTCTTTCAGTGTATGTCCATTGTATGCATAACAATAATTTGCAGTGATGGTGTAAAAACTTGATACTCTTACGTTATACTGTTCAGATATTTTATGTTTGTATATTTTAATGGTATCACCTGGTGCTGTTGTTTGCCACAAAATGTTTCTGTTGAGTGGTTTCACTCTGATGCTTTGTATATTTGTGTCAGGCGGTTTGTTTGTATATTTGTGTCAGGCGGTTTGTTTGTATATTTGTGTAAGGCGGTTTGTTTGTATATTTGTGTAAGGCGGTTTGTTTGTATATTTGTGTCAGGCGGTTTGTTTGTATATTTGTGTCAGGCGGTTTGTTTGTATATTTGTGTCAGGCGGTTTGTTTGTATATTTGTGTCAGGCGGTTTGTTTGTATATTTGTGTAAGGCGGTTTGTTTGTATATTTGTGTAAGGCGGTTTGTTTGTATATTTGTGTCAGGCGGTTTGTTTGTATATTTGTGTCAGGCGGTTTGTTTGTATATTTGTGTCAGGCGGTTTGTTTGTATATTTGTGTAAGGCGGTTTGTTTGTATATTTGTGTAAGGCGGTTTGTTTGTATATTTGTGTAAGGCGGTTTGTTTGTATATTTGTGTAAGGCGGTTTGTTTGTATATTTGTGTAAGGCGGTTTGTTTGTATATTTGTGTAAGGCGGTTTGTTTGTATATTTGTGTAAGGCGGTTTGTTTGTATATTTGTGTAAGGCGGTTTATTTGTATATTTGTGTAAGGCGGTTTGTTTGTATATTTGTGTCAGGCGGTTTGTTTGTATATTTTTGTCAGGCGGTTTGTTTGTATATTTGTGTAAGGCGGTTTGTTTGTATATTTGTGTAAGGCGGTTTGTTTGTATATTTGTGTAAGGCGGTTTGTTTGTATATTTGTGTAAGGCGGTTTGTTTGTATATTTGTGTAAGGCGGTTTGTTTGTATATTTGTGTAAGGCGGTTTGTTTGTATATTTGTGTAAGGCGGTTTGTTTGTATATTTGTGTAAGGCGGTTTATTTGTATATTTGTGTAAGGCGGTTTGTTTGTATATTTGTGTAAGGCGGTTTGTTTGTATATTTGTGTAAGGCGGTTTGTTTGTATATTTGTGTAATGCGGTTTGTTTGTATATTTGTGTAAGGCGGTTTGTTTGTATATTTGTTTATTTGTGTAAGGCGGTTTGTTTGTATATTTGTGTCAGGCGGTTTGTTTGTATATTTGTGTAAGGCGGTTTGTTTGTATATTTGTGTCAGGCGGTTTGTTTGTATATTTGTGTAAGGCGGTTTGTTTGTATATTTGTGCAAGGCGGTTTGTTTGTATATTTGTGTAAGGCGGTTTGTTTGTATATTTGTGTAAGGCGGTTTGTTTGTATATTTGTGTAAGGCGGTTTGTTTGTATATTTGTGTCAGGCGGTTTGTTTGGCCCCACCACAACTACAGTTAATGATTACCTTATAGAGGTACAGGTTGAAGATTTTGGACTTGTCTTGTCCCCACCACAGCTACAGCTACTGCCATCACTAGACAACAAAGTTAAACATTGGATTAGAATCTTATGGAACAATAGCATTTCATTGTATGCATAATCCTATACAGGATTAAGTCAGGTAAGATTAATTGTGTCCCTAATTAGTTCAAGGGGTATAGTAGTGATGGTGTCTTAGTTCCACATTCACTCAACAAGTTTCTCAAACTGTCACCCACAGGTAGATTAAGTCAGGTAACATTAATTGTGTCCCTAATTAGTTCAAGGGGTATAGTAGTGATGGTGTCTTAGTTCCACATTCACTCAACAAGTTTCTCAAACTGTCACCCACAGGTAGATAGACCCACCTTTTTATAGCCAAGAATGTCATGTCAAATGGACAGGTTTTGTCTGCCACAATCTGGTCCTGCTTCACCTGGGTGGAATCAAATGGATGGCAATTTACAAGTTGTAAATGTAGGGCAGCTGTTGTAAATGTAGGACAGCTGTTGTAAATGTAGGACAGTTGTTGTAAATGTAGGACAGCTGTTGTAAATGTAGGGCAGCTGTTGTAAATGTAGGGCAGCTGTTGTAAATGTAGGACAGCTGTTGTAAATGTAAGGCAGTTGTAAATGTAGGGAGGCTGTTGTAAATGTAGGGAGGCTGTTGTAAATGTAGGACAGTTGTTGTAAATGTAGGACAGCTGTTGTAAATGTAGGACAGTTGTTGTAAATGTAGGACAGCTGTTGTAAATGTAGGACAGTTGTTGTAAATGTAGGACAGTTGTTGTAAATGTAGGACAGTTGTAAATGTAGGACAGCTGTTGTAAATGTAGGACAGTTGTTGTAAATGTAGGACAGTTGTTGTAAATGTAGGACAGTTGTTGTAAATGTAGGGCAGCTGTTGTAAATGTAGGACAGTTGTTGTAAATGTAGGACAGCTGTTGTAAATGTAGGACAGTTGTTGTAAATGTAGGACAGCTGTTGTAAATGTAGGGCAGCTGTTGTAAATGTAGGACAGTTGTTGTAAATGTAGGACAGCTGTTGTAAATGTAGGGAGGCTGTTGTAAATGTAGGACAGCTATTATAAATTGGGGGGACGGGACATATGTCCCCAGGCGCTGACCTTAGGGGGGCGCCAAATTGAAAGTTTGAGGGGATGGGGGGTGCAAATGAAAAGTTCGTGGGGGGGGGGGGCGAAAGTTTGAGGAAGGGGGGTGCAAATTGAAAATTTGCTCCAGAGGGGGACGCCAAATTGAAAGTATGTCCCCGGGCGCCGGGAATGGTCGCTACGCATCTAGTTATAACTGTGACCAAAAGGATGCCGCTACAAGATTTATTCTGCTGATTCAGCAAGTCTGACTCACACTTGTTGGTGGATGTTTCTCACTTGATTGTTGACATTTCTGTCTGGGATATTTGCTCAAGGCTTCTATAGCTTCTGACCTGCCCTGTTAGAGACAGCAAACATAACATGGAACATTCAGACTGGGTTGTTAGACAACACATGGAACATTCAGACTGGGTTGTTAGCACATGGAACATTCAGGCTGGGTTGTTAGACAACACATGGAACATTCAGACTGGGTTGTTAGACAACACATGGAACATTCAGGCTGGGTTGTTAGTACATGGAACATTCAGACTGGGTTGTTAGACAACAAATGGAACATTCAGACTGGATTGTTAGACAACACATGGAACATTCAGACTAGGTTGTTAGACAACACATGGAACATTCAGACTGGGTTGTTAGCACATGGAACATTCAGACTGGGTTGTTAGACAACACATGGAACATTCAGACTGGGTTGTTAGCACATGGAACATTCAGACTGGGTTGTTAGACAACACATGGAACATTTAGACTGGGTTGTTAGACAACACATGGAACATTCAGACTGGGTTGTTAGACAACACATGGAACACTCAGGCTGGGTTGTTAGACAACACATGGAACATTCAGACTGGGTTGTTAGACAACACATGGAACATTCAGACTGGGTTGTTAGACAACACATGGAACATTCAGACTGGGTTGTTAGTACATGGAACATTCAGGCTGGGTTGTTAGACAACACATGGAACATTCAGACTGGGTTGTTAGCACATGGAACATTCAGACTGGGTTGTTAGTACATGGAACATTCAGGCTGGGTTGTTAGACAACACATGGAACATTTAGACTGGATTGTTAGACAACACATGGAACATTCAGGCTGGATTGTTAGCACATGGAACATTCAGACTGGGTTGTTAGTACATGGAACATTCAGGCTGGGTTGTTAGACAACACATGGAACATTTAGACTGGATTGTTAGACAACACATGGAACATTCAGGCTGGGTTGTTAGACAACACATGGAACATTTAGACTGGGTTGTTAGACAACACATGGAACATTCAGACTGGGTTGTTAGACAACACATGGAACACTCAGGCTGGGTTGTTAGACAACACATGGAACATTCAGGCTGGGTTGTTAGACAACACATGGAACATTCAGACTAGGTTGTTAGACAACACATGGAACATTCAGACTGGGTTGTTAGACAACACATGGAACATTCAGACTGGGTTGTTAGCACATGGAACATTCAGGCTGGGTTGTTAGACAACACATGGAACATTTAGACTGGGTTGTTAGACAACACATGGAACATTTAGGCTGGGTTGTTAGACAACACATGGAACATTCAGGCTGGGTTGTTAGACAACACATGGAACATTCAGACTGGGTTGTTAGACAACAAATGGAACATTCAGACTGGGTTGTTAGACAACACATGGAACATTCAGACTGGGTTGTTAGACAACACATGGAACATTCAGACTGGGTTGTTAGCACATGGAACATTCAGGCTGGGTTGTTAGACAACACATGGAACATTCAGACTAGGTTGTTAGACAACACATGGAACATTTAGGCTGGGTTGTTAGACAACACATGGAACATTCAGACTGGGTTGTTAGACAACACATGGAACATTCAGGCTGGGTTGTTAGACAACACATGGAACATTCAGACTGGGTTGTTATACAACACATGGAACATTCAGACTGGGTTGTTAGACAACACATGGAACATTCAGACTGGGTTGTTAGACAACACATGGAACATTCAGGCTGGGTTGTTAGACAACACATGGAACATTTAGACTGGGTTGTTAGCACATGGAACATTCAGGCTGGGTTGTTAGACAACACATGGAACATTCAGGCTGGGTTGTTAGACAACACATGGAACATTCAGGCTGGGTTGTTAGACAACACATGGAACATTCAGACTGGGTTGTTAGACAACACATGGAACATTCAGACTGGGTTGTTAGCACATGGAACATTCAGGCTGGGTTGTTAGACAACACATGGAACATTTAGACTGGGTTGTTAGACAACACATGGAACATTCAAGCTGGGTTGTTAGACAACACATGGAACATTCAGGCTGGGTTGTTAGACAACACATGGAACATTCAGGCTGGGTTGTTAGACAACACATGGAACATTCAGACTGGATTGTTAGACAACACATGGAACATTCAGGCTGGGTTGTTAGACAACACATGGAACATTCAGGCTGGGTTGTTAGTACATGGAACATTTAGACTGGGTTGTTAGACAACACATGGAACATTCAGGCTGGGTTGTTAGACAACACATGGAACATTTAGACTGGGTTGTTAGACAACACATGGAACATTCAGACTGGGTTGTTAGTACATGGAACATTTAGACTGGGTTGTTAGACAACACATGGAACATTCAGGCTGGGTTGTTAGACAACACATGGAACATTTAGACTGGGTTGTTAGACAACACATGGAACATTCAGACTGGGTTGTTAGACAACACATGGAACATTCAGACTGGGTTGTTAGACAACACATGGAACATTCAGACTGGGTTGTTAGAAAACATGGAACATTCAGACTGGGTTGTTAGCACATGGAACATTCAGGCTGGGTTGTTAGACAACACATGGAACATTCAGGCTGGGTTGTTAGACAACACATGGAACATTTAGGCTGGGTTGTTAGACAACACATGGAACATTCAGACTGGGTTGTTAGCACATGGAACATTCAGGCTGGGTTGTTAGCACATGGAACATTCAGGCTGGGTTGTTAGACAACAAATGGAACATTCAGGCTGGGTTGTTAGACAACACATGGAACATTTAGGCTGGGTTGTTAGACAACACATGGAACATTTAGGCTGGGTTGTTAGACAACACATGGAACATTCAGGCTGGGTTGTTAGACAACACATGGAACATTCAAGCTGGGTTGTTAGACAACACATGGAACATTTAGACTGGGTTGTTAGTACATGGAACATTCAGGCTGGGTTGTTAGACAACACATGGAACATTTAGACTGGGTTGTTAGACAACACATGGAACATTCAGACTGGGTTGTTAGTACATGGAACATTCAGGCTGGGTTGTTAGACAACACATGGAACATTCAGACTGGGTTGTTAGTACATGGAACATTCAGACTGGGTTGTTAGACAACACATGGAACATTCAGGCTGGGTTGTTAGACAACACATGGAACATTCAGACTGGGTTGTTAGTACATGGAACATTCAGGCTGGGTTGTTAGACAACACATGGAACATTTAGACTGGGTTGTTAGACAACACATGGAACATTCAGACTGGGTTGTTAGTACATGGAACATTCAGACTGGGTTGTTAGTACATGGAACATTCAGACTGGGTTGTTAGTACATGGAACATTTAGACTGGGTTGTTAGAAAACATGGAACATTCAGACTGGGTTGTTAGCACATGGAACATTCAGGCTGGGTTGTTAGACAACACATGGAACATTCAGACTGGGTTGTTAGTACATGGAACATTCAGGCTGGGTTGTTAGACAACACATGGAACATTCAGGCTGGGTTGTTAGAACATGGAACATTCAGGCTGGGTTGTTAGACAACACATGGAACACTCAGACTGGGTTGTTAGTACATGGAACATTCAGGCTGGGTTGTTAGACAACACATGGAACATTCAGGCTGGGTTGTTAGAACATGGAACATTCAGGCTGGGTTGTTAGACAACACATGGAACACTCAGGCTGGGTTGTTAGACAACACATGGAACATTCAGGCTGGGTTGTTAGACAACACATGGAACATTCAGACTGGGTTGTTAGCACATGGAACATTCAGGCTGGGTTGTTAGTACATGGAACATTCAGGCTGGGTTTATAACAGCACATGAAACATTCAGACTGGGTTGTTAGACAACACATGGAACATTCAGACTGGGTTGTTAGCACATGGAACATTTAGACTGGGTTGTTAGACAACACATGGAACATTCAGGCTGGGTTGTTAGACAACACATGGAACATTCAGACTGGGTTGTTAGACAACACATGGAACATTCAGACTGGGTTGTTAGACAACACATGGAACATTCAGACTGGGTTGTTAGACAACACATGGAACATTCAGGCTGGGTTGTTAGACAACACATGGAACATTCAGACTGGGTTGTTAGTACATGGAACATTCAGGCTGGGTTGTTAGACAACACATGGAACATTCAGACTGGGTTGTTAGCACATGGAACATTCAGACTGGGTTGTTAGTACATGGAACATTCAGGCTGGGTTGTTAGACAACACATGGAACATTTAGACTGGATTGTTAGACAACACATGGAACATTCAGGCTGGATTGTTAGCACATGGAACATTCAGACTGGGTTGTTAGTACATGGAACATTCAGGCTGGGTTGTTAGACAACACATGGAACATTTAGACTGGATTGTTAGACAACACATGGAACATTCAGGCTGGGTTGTTAGACAACACATGGAACATTTAGACTGGGTTGTTAGACAACACATGGAACATTCAGACTGGGTTGTTAGACAACACATGGAACACTCAGGCTGGGTTGTTAGACAACACATGGAACATTCAGGCTGGGTTGTTAGACAACACATGGAACATTCAGACTAGGTTGTTAGACAACACATGGAACATTCAGACTGGGTTGTTAGACAACACATGGAACATTCAGACTGGGTTGTTAGCACATGGAACATTCAGGCTGGGTTGTTAGACAACACATGGAACATTTAGACTGGGTTGTTAGACAACACATGGAACATTTAGGCTGGGTTGTTAGACAACACATGGAACATTCAGGCTGGGTTGTTAGACAACACATGGAACATTCAGACTGCGTTGTTAGACAACACATGGAACATTCAAGCTGGGTTGTTAGACAACACATGGAACATTCAGACTGGGTTGTTAGACAACACATGGAACATTCAGACTGGGTTGTTAGACAACACATGGAACATTCAGGCTGGGTTGTTAGACAACACATGGAACATTCAGACTGGGTTGTTAGACAACACATGGAACATTCAGGCTGGGTTGTTAGACAACACATGGAACATTCAGACTGGGTTGTTAGTACATGGAACATTCAGGCTGGGTTGTTAGACAACACATGGAACATTCAAGCTGGGTTGTTAGACAACACATGGAACATTCAGACTGGGTTGTTAGACAACACATGGAACATTCAGACTGGGTTGTTAGACAACACATGGAACATTCAGGCTGGGTTGTTAGACAACACATGGAACATTCAGACTGGGTTGTTAGTACATGGAACATTCAGGCTGGGTTGTTAGACAACACATGGAACATTTAGACTGGGTTGTTAGACAACACATGGAACATTCAGACTGGGTTGTTAGTACATGGAACATTCAGACTGGGTTGTTAGTACATGGAACATTCAGACTGGGTTGTTAGTACATGGAACATTCAGGCTGGGTTGTTAGTACATGGAACATTCAGGCTGGGTTGTTAGTACATGGAACATTCAGGCTGGGTTGTTAGACAACACATGGAACATTTAGACTGGGTTGTTAGACAACACATGGAACATTCAGACTGGGTTGTTAGACAACACATGGAACATTCAGACTGGGTTGTTAGACAACACATGGAACATTTAGACTGGGTTGTTAGAAAACATGGAACATTCAGACTGGGTTGTTAGCACATGGAACATTCAGGCTGGGTTGTTAGACAACACATGGAACATTCAGACTGGGTTGTTAGTACATGGAACATTCAGGCTGGGTTGTTAGACAACACATGGAACATTCAGGCTGGGTTGTTAGACAACACATGGAACATTCAGACTGGGTTGTTAGTACATGGAACATTCAGGCTGGGTTGTTAGACAACACATGGAACATTCAGGCTGGGTTGTTAGACAACACATGGAACATTCAGGCTGGGTTGTTAGAACATGGAACATTCAGGCTGGGTTGTTAGACAACACATGGAACATTCAGGCTGGGTTGTTAGACAACACATGGAACATTTAGACTGGATTGTTAGACAACACATGGAACATTCAGACTGGGTTGTTAGCACATGGAACATTCAGGCTGGGTTGTTAGACAACACATGGAACACTCAGGCTGGGTTGTTAGACAACACATGGAACATTCAGGCTGGGTTGTTAGACAACACATGGAACATTCAGACTGGGTTGTTAGCACATGGAACATTCAGGCTGGGTTGTTAGTACATGGAACATTCAGGCTGGGTTTATAACAGCACATGAAACATTCAGACTGGGTTGTTAGACAACACATGGAACATTCAGACTGGGTTGTTAGCACATGGAACATTTAGACTGGGTTGTTAGACAACACATGGAACATTCAGGCTGGGTTGTTAGACAACACATGGAACATTCAGACTGGGTTGTTAGACAACACATGGAACATTCAGACTGGGTTGTTAGACAACACATGGAACATTCAGACTGGGTTGTTAGACAACACATGGAACATTCAGGCTGGGTTGTTAGACAACACATGGAACATTCAGACTGGGTTGTTAGTACATGGAACATTCAGGCTGGGTTGTTAGACAACACATGGAACATTCAGACTGGGTTGTTAGCACATGGAACATTCAGACTGGGTTGTTAGTACATGGAACATTCAGGCTGGGTTGTTAGACAACACATGGAACATTTAGACTGGATTGTTAGACAACACATGGAACATTCAGGCTGGATTGTTAGCACATGGAACATTCAGACTGGGTTGTTAGTACATGGAACATTCAGGCTGGGTTGTTAGACAACACATGGAACATTTAGACTGGATTGTTAGACAACACATGGAACATTCAGACTGGGTTGTTAGACAACACATGGAACACTCAGGCTGGGTTGTTAGACAACACATGGAACATTCAGGCTGGGTTGTTAGACAACACATGGAACATTCAGACTAGGTTGTTAGACAACACATGGAACATTCAGACTGGGTTGTTAGACAACACATGGAACATTCAGACTGGGTTGTTAGCACATGGAACATTCAGGCTGGGTTGTTAGACAACACATGGAACATTTAGACTGGGTTGTTAGACAACACATGGAACATTCAGGCTGGGTTTATAACAGCACATGAAACATTCAGACTGGGTTGTTAGACAACACATGGAACATTCAGACTGGGTTGTTAGCACATGGAACATTTAGACTGGGTTGTTAGACAACACATGGAACATTCAGGCTGGGTTGTTAGACAACACATGGAACATTCAGACTGGGTTGTTAGACAACACATGGAACATTCAGACTGGGTTGTTAGACAACACATGGAACATTCAGGCTGGGTTGTTAGACAACACATGGAACATTCAGACTGGGTTGTTAGTACATGGAACATTCAGGCTGGGTTGTTAGACAACACATGGAACATTCAAGCTGGGTTGTTAGACAACACATGGAACATTCAGACTGGGTTGTTAGACAACACATGGAACATTCAGACTGGGTTGTTAGACAACACATGGAACATTCAGACTGGGTTGTTAGACAACACATGGAACATTCAGGCTGGGTTGTTAGACAACACATGGAACATTCAGGCTGGGTTGTTAGACAACACATGGAACATTCAGACTGGGTTGTTAGCACATGGAACATTCAGGCTGGGTTGTTAGACAACACATGGAACATTTAGACTGGGTTGTTAGACAACACATGGAACATTCAGGCTGGGTTGTTAGACAACACATGGAACATTTAGACTGGGTTGTTAGACAACACATGGAACATTCAGACTGGGTTGTTAGACAACACATGGAACATTCAGACTGGGTTGTTAGTACATGGAACATTCAGGCTGGGTTGTTAGACAACACATGGAACATTCAGACTGGGTTGTTAGACAACACATGGAACATTCAGACTGGGTTGTTAGTACATGGAACATTCAGGCTGGGTTGTTAGACAACACATGGAACATTTAGACTGGGTTGTTAGACAACACATGGAACATTTAGGCTGGGTTGTTAGACAACACATGGAACACTCAGGCTGGGTTGTTAGACAACACATGGAACATTCAGGCTGGGTTGTTAGTACATGGAACATTCATGCTGGGTTGTTAGTACATGGAACATTCAGACTGGGTTGTTAGACAACACATGGAACATTCAGACTGGGTTGTTAGTACATGGAACATTCAGGCTGGGTTGTTAGTACATGGAACATTCAGGCTGGGTTGTTAGTACATGGAACATTCAGACTGGGTTGTTAGACAACACATGGAACATTCAGACTGGGTTGTTAGTACATGGAACATTCAGACTGGGTTGTTAGACAACACATGGAACATTCAGACTGGGTTGTTAGTACATGGAACATTCAGGCTGGGTTGTTAGACAACACATGGAACATTTAGACTGGGTTGTTAGACAACACATGGAACATTTAGACTGGGTTGTTAGACAACACATGGAACATTCAGACTGGGTTGTTAGACAACACATGGAACATTCAGGCTGGGTTGTTAGTACATGGAACATTCAGACTGGGTTGTTAGACAACACATGGAACATCCAGACACAATAGACATTACCACAGCATTGGTCCTAGAGATCTGGGCCACCAGCCACCCCCCAATGGAGTCAATGTTGACTTGAGTTTCATGTTCCAAGAAAACAAGCAGAGCATAGGCTGTAGCCTCCACAGAGTTGACCTGAGATTTTGTACTATTTGCAGCTTGGTTGTGTAACTCTGGCAATGGTAGACAAGTCACTTTAGTTTTGTTGTACTGACCTAATAGTTTTGTTGTACTGACCTAATAGTTTTATTGTACTGACCTAATAGTTTTATTGTACTGACCTATTAGTTTTGTTGTACTGACCTAATAGTTTTGTTGTACTGACCTATTAGTTTTGTTGTACTGACCTTATAGTTTTGTTGTACTGACCTACTGACCTTATAGTTTTGTTGTACTGACCTTATAGTTTTGTTGTACTGACCTATTAGTTTTGTTGTACTGACCTATTAGTTTTGTTGTACTGACCTAATAGTTTTGTTGTACTGACCTAATAGTTTTGTTGTACTGACCTAATAGTTTTGTTGTACTGACCTAATAGTTTTGTTGTACTGACCTAATTGTTTTGTTGTACTGACCTAATAGTTTTGTTGTACTGACCTAATAGTTTTGTTGTACTGACCTACTGACCTTATAGTTTTGTTGTACTGACCTAATAGTTTTGTTGTACTGACCTAATAGTTTTGTTGTACTGAACTACTGACCTAATAGTTTTGTTGTACGGACCTTATAGTTTTGTTGTACTGACCTAATAGTTTTGTTGTACTGACCTAATAGTTTTGTTGTACTGACCTAATAGTTTTGTTGTACTGACCTAATAGTTTTGTTGTACTGACCTACTGACCTAATAGTTTTGTTGTACTGACCTAATAGTTTTGTTGTACTTACCTAATAGTTTTGTTGTACTGACCTAATAGTTTTATTGTACGGACCTTATAGTTTTGTTGTACTGACCTAATAGTTCTGTTGTACTGACCTTATAGTTTTGTTGTACTGACCTAATAGTTTTGTTGTACTGACCTAATAGTTTTGTTGTACTGACCTAATAGTTTTGTTGTACTGACCTAATAGTTTTGTTGTACTGACCTAATAGTTCTGTTGTACTGACCTAATAGTTTTGTTGTACTGATCTAATAGTTTTGTTGTACTGACCTACTGACCTAATAGTTTTGTTGTACTGACCTAATAGTTTTGTTGTACTGACCTAATAGTTTTATTGTACTGACCTAATAGTTTTGTTGTACTGACCTAATAGTTTTGTTGTACTGACCTATTAGTTTTGTTGTACTGACCTAATAGTTTTGTTGTACAGACCTAATAGTTTTGTTGTACTGACCTAATAGTTTTGTTGTACTGACCTAATAGTTTTGTTGTACTGACCTATTAGTTTTGTTGTACTGACCTAATAGTTTTGTTGTACTGACCTAATAGTTTTGTTGTACTGACCTAATAGTTCTGTTGTACTGACCTAATAGTTTTGTTGTACTGACCTAATAGTTCTGTTGTACTGACCTAATAGTTTTGTTGTACTGACCTACTGACCTTATAGTTTTGTTGTACTGACCTAATAGTTTTGTTGTACTGACATAATAGTTTTGTTGTACTGACCTAATAGTTTTGTTGTACTGACCTAATAGTTTTGTTGTACTGACATAATAGTTTTGTTGTACTGACCTAATAGTTTTGTTGTACTGACCTAATAGTTTTGTTGTACTGACCTAATAGTTTTGTTGTACTGACCTAATAGTTTTGTTGTACTGACCTAATAGTTTTGTTGTACTGAGCTAATAGTTTTGTTGTACTGACCAAATAGTTTTGTTGTACTGACCTACTGACCTAATAGTTTTGTTGTACTGACCTAATAGCTTTGTTGTACTGACCTAATAGTTTTGTTGTACTGACCTAATAGTTTTGTTGTACTGACCTAATAGTTTTGTTGTACTGACCTAATAGTTTTGTTGTACTGACCTACTGACCTAATAGTTTTGTTGTACTGACCTAATAGTTTTGTTGTACTGACCTAATAGTTTTATTGTACTGACCTTATAGTTTTGTTGTACTGACCTAATAGTTTTGCTGTACTGACATAATAGTTTTGTTGTACTGACCTAATAGTTTTGTTGTACTGACCTAATAGTTTTATTGTACTGACCTAATAGTTTTATTGTACTGACCTAGTAGTTTTGTTGTACTGACCTAATAGTTTTGTTGTACTGACCTAATAGTTTTGTTGTACTGACCTAATAGTTCTGTTGTACTGACCTAATAGTTTTGTTGTACTGACCTAATAGTTTTGTTGTACAGACCTAATAGTTTTGTTGTACTGACCTAATAGTTTTGTTGTACTGACCTAATAGTTTTGTTGTACTGACCTATTAGTTTTGTTGTACTGACCTAATAGTTTTGTTGTACTGACCTAATAGTTTTGTTGTACTGACCTAATAGTTTTGTTGTACTGACCTAATAGTTTTGTTGTACTGACCTAATAGTTTTGTTGTACTGACCTAATTGTTTTGTTGTACTGACTTAATAGTTTTGTTGTACTGACCTAATAGTTTTGTTGTACTGACCTAATAGTTTTATTGTACTGACCTAATAGTTTTATTGTACTGACCTTATAGTTTTGTTGTACTGACCTAATAGTTTTGTTGTACTGACCTAATAGTTTTATTGTACTGACCTTATAGTTTTGTTGTACTGACCTTATAGTTTTGTTGTACTGACCTAATAGTTTTGTTGTACTGACCTAATAGTTTTGTTGTACTGACCTAATAGTTTTGTTGTACTGACCTAATAGTTTTGTTGTACTGACCTAATAGTTCTGTTGTACTGACCTAATAGTTTTGTTGTACTGACCTAATAGTTTTGTTGTACTGACCTACTGACCTAATAGTTTTGTTGTACTGACCTAATAGTTTTATTGTACTGACCTTATAGTTTTGTTGTACTGACCTAATAGTTTTGTTGTACTGACATAATAGTTTTGTTGTACTGACCTAATAGTTTTGTTGTACTGACCTAATAGTTTTGTTGTACTGACCTAATAGTTTTGTTGTACTGACCTAATAGTTTTGTTGTACTGACCTAATAGTTCTGTTGTACTGACCTAATAGTTTTGTTGTACTGACCTAATAGTTTTGTTGTACTGACCTAATAGTTTTGTTGTACTGACCTATTAGTTTTGTTGTACTGACCTAATAGTTTTGTTGTACTGACCTACTGACCTAATAGTTTTGTTGTACTGACCTAATAGTTTTGTTGTACTGACCTAATAGTTTTGTTGTACTGACCTAATAGTTTTGTTGTACTGACCTAATAGTTTTGTTGTACTGACCTAATAGTTTTGTTGTACTGACCTAATAGTTCTGTTGTACTGACCTAATAGTTTTGTTGTACTGACCTAATAGTTTTGTTGTACTGACCTAATAGTTTTGTTGTACTGACCTAATAGTTTTGTTGTACTGACCTACTGACCTAATAGTTTTGTTGTACTGACCTAATAGTTTTGTTGTACTGACCTAATAGTTTTGTTGTACTGACCTAATAGTTTTGTTGTACTGACCTAATAGTTTTGTTGTACTGACCTAATGGTTTTGTTGTACTGACCTATTAGTTTTGTTGTACTGACCTAATAGTTTTGTTGTACTGACCTAATAGTTTTGTTGTACTGACCTAATAGTTTTGTTGTACTGACCTATTAGTTTTGTTGTACTGACCTAATAGTTTTGTTGTACTGACCTAATAGTTTTGTTGTACTGACCTAATAGTTTTGTTGTACTGACCTAATAGTTTTGTTGTACTGAACTACTGACCTAATAGTTTTGTTGTACTGACCTAATAGTTTTGTTGTACTGACCTAATAGTTTTATGGTACTGACCTAATAGTTTTGTTGTACCGACCTAATAGTTTTGTTGTACTGACCTACTGACCTAATAGTTTTGTTGTACTGACCTAATAGTTTTGTTGTACTGACCTAATAGTTTTGTTGTACTGACCTAATAGTTTTGTTGTACTGACCTAATAGTTTTGTTGTACTGACCTAATAGTTTTGTTGTACTGACCTATTAGTTTTGTTGTACTGACCTAATAGTTTTGTTGTACTGACCTAATAGTTTTGTCGTACTGACCTAATAGTTTTGTTGTACTGACCTAATAGTTTTGTCGTACTGACCTAATAGTTTTGTTGTACTGACCTAATAGTTTTGTTGTACTGACCTAATAGTTTTGTTGTACTGACCTAATAGTTTTGTTGTACTGAACTACTGACCTAATAGTTTTGTTGTACTGACCTATTAGTTTTGTTGTACTGACCTTATAGTTTTGTTGTACTGACCTTATAGTTTTGTTGTACTGACCTACTAGTTTTGTTGTACTGACCTAATAGTTTTGTTGTACTGACCTAATAGTTTTGTTGTACTAACCTATTAGTTTTGTTGTACTGACCTAATAGTTTTGTTGTACTGACCTAATAGTTTTGTTGTACTGACCTAATAGTTTTGTTGTACTGACCTAATAGTTTTGTTGTACTGAACTACTGACCTAATAGTTTTGTTGTACTGACCTAATTGTTTTGTTGTACTGACCTAATAGTTTTGTTGTACTGACCTACTGACCTAATAGTTTTGTTGTACTGACCTAATAGTTTTGTTGTACTGACCTACTGACCTAATAGTTTTGTTGTACTGACCTACTGACCTAATAGTTTTGTTGTACTGACCTAATAGTTTTGTTGTACTGACCTAATAGTTTTGTTGTACTGACCTAATAGTTTTGTTGTACTGACCTAATAGTTTTGTTGTACTGACCTATTAGTTTTGTTGTACTGACCTAATAGTTTTGTTGTACTGACCTAATAGTTTTGTTGTACTGACCTAATAGTTTTGTTGTACTGACCTAATAGTTTTGTTGTACTGACCTATTAGTTTTGTTGTACTGACCTTATAGTTTTGTTGTACTGACCTAATAGTTTTGTTGTACTGACCTAATAGTTTTGTTGTACTGACCTAATAGTTTTGTTGTACTGACCTAATAGTTTTGTTGTACTGACCTATTAGTTTTGTTGTACTGACCTTATAGTTTTGTTGTACTGACCTAATAGTTTTGTTGTACTGACCTAATAGTTTTGTTGTACTGACCTAATAGTTTTGTTGTACTGACCTAATAGTTTTGTTGTACTGAACTACTGACCTAATAGTTTTGTTGTACTGACCTATTAGTTTTGTTGTACTGACCTTATAGTTTTGTTGTACTGACCTTATAGTTTTGTTGTACTGACCTACTAGTTTTGTTGTACTGACCTAATAGTTTTGTTGTACTGACCTAATAGTTTTGTTGTACTAACCTATTAGTTTTGTTGTACTGACCTAATAGTTTTGTTGTACTGACCTAATAGTTTTGTTGTACTGACCTAATAGTTTTGTTGTACTGACCTAATAGTTTTGTTGTACTGAACTACTGACCTAATAGTTTTGTTGTACTGACCTAATTGTTTTGTTGTACTGACCTAATAGTTTTGTTGTACTGACCTACTGACCTAATAGTTTTGTTGTACTGACCTAATAGTTTTGTTGTACTGACCTACTGACCTAATAGTTTTGTTGTACTGACCTACTGACCTAATAGTTTTGTTGTACTGACCTAATAGTTTTGTTGTACTGACCTAATAGTTTTGTTGTACTGACCTAATAGTTTTGTTGTACTGACCTAATAGTTTTGTTGTACTGACCTATTAGTTTTGTTGTACTGACCTAATAGTTTTGTTGTACTGACCTAATAGTTTTGTTGTACTGACCTAATAGTTTTGTTGTACTGACCTATTAGTTTTGTTGTACTGACCTAATAGTTTTGTTGTACTGACCTAATAGTTTTGTTGTACTGACCTAATAGTTTTGTTGTACTGACCTAATAGTTTTGTTGTACTGAACTACTGACCTAATAGTTTTGTTGTACTGACCTAATTGTTTTGTTGTACTGACCTAATAGTTTTGTTGTACTGACCTAATAGTTTTGTTGTACTGACCTAATAGTTTTGTTGTACTGACCTAATAGTTTTGTTGTACTGACCTATTAGTTTTGTTGTACTGACCTTATAGTTTTGTTGTACTGACCTAATAGTTTTGTTGTACTGACCTAATAGTTTTGTTGTACTGACCTAATAGTTTTGTTGTACTGACCTATTAGTTTTGTTGTACTGACCTAATAGTTTTGTTGTACTGACCTAATAGTTTTGTTGTACTGACCTAATAGTTTTGTTGTACTGACCTAATAGTTTTGTTGTACTGAACTACTGACCTAATAGTTTTGTTGTACTGACCTAATTGTTTTGTTGTACTGACCTAATAGTTTTGTTGTACTGACCTACTGACCTAATAGTTTTGTTGTACTGACCTAATAGTTTTGTTGTACTGACCTACTGACCTAATAGTTTTGTTGTACTGACCTACTGACCTAATAGTTTTGTTGTACTGACCTAATAGTTTTGTTGTACTGACCTAATAGTTTTGTTGTACTGACCTACTGACCTAATAGTTTTGTTGTACTGACCTAATAGTTTTGTTGTACTGACCTAATAGTTTTGTTGTACTGACCTAATAGTTTTGTTGTACTGACCTATTAGTTTTGTTGTACTGACCTAATAGTTTTGTTGTACTGACCTAATAGTTTTGTTGTACTGACCTAATAGTTTTGTTGTACTGACCTAATAGTTTTGTTGTACTGAACTACTGACCTAATAGTTTTGTTGTACTGACCTAATTGTTTTGTTGTACTGACCTAATAGTTTTGTTGTACTGACCTACTGACCTAATAGTTTTGTTGTACTGACCTAATAGTTTTGTTGTACTGACCTACTGACCTAATAGTTTTGTTGTACTGACCTACTGACCTAATAGTTTTGTTGTACTGACCTAATAGTTTTGTTGTACTGACCTAATAGTTTTGTTGTACTGACCTACTGACCTAATAGTTTTGTTGTACTGACCTAATAGTTTTGTTGTACTGACCTAATAGTTTTGTTGTACTGACCTAATAGTTTTGTTGTACTGACCCAATAGTTTTGTTGTACTGACCCAATAGTTTTGTTGTACTGACCTAATAGTTTTGTTGTACTGACCTAATAGTTTTGTTGTACTGACCTTCATCCAAGAAAGCCTTGAGATCTGCGTGTGTGGCCTGCTGATGAAACAAGTGAAGTGCATACGTGACTTTAGCTCGCACCAGAGTTTGATTGGCCAGGCCAAGGTTGTCTTCTAGAAACACAGCCAGGTACGCTTGAAGGACAAGATCTTCTTCCTACAACAACAAAACTTCTGTAAACACAGCAAGTTTCACATTAGGGTCCATCTAGCAAATTTTAACCAGAATAAAAACATTGTTTTACCTTCTCTGATCTATTACACTGAATAAATGCAATCAAAACTTCAGCTGCCAGCATCAGTCTAGAGTCCAAAGTCTCCTGAAAAAAAAACATAATTTTTTTTAACAACCATTTAATTTATATATATACACACACACACACACACACGTGTGTGTGTGTAACTAGTGTAGTTACAAAAACAACATATTTGTCAACAAGGACAAGTTCAATGCCAAAACCGAACCGAGCTATGGGTAACTAGTGGAAAGTTACCCACGCCACAATTGATAACAATGTAATAGTTGTCTGTCAACAAGGACAAAACTGAACAGAGTTATTAAGCAACGGTGATATACACAAGTTGTGATGTAGCTGGTCTGACTATATGTAGGTCTGACATGTCAACAAAAAGTGACACTTTGATGCAACCAACTCTGTAAACAGATGAACTAACCAATATGAGATATGACGCAATTGGTGGTACCAAAATAGGATAGTTTGACTTTCATAGACATTGTTGACAACACCCGATGGACAGCTGGGTGTGTCAGGGGGTGTGTCAGGGGGTGTGTCAGGGGGTGTGTCAGGGGGTGTGTATATAAGCAGGATGGACAGCTGGGTGTGTCAGGGGGTGTGTCAGGGGGTGTGTATATAAGCAGGATGGACAGCTGGGTGTGTCAGGGGGTGTGTATATAAGCAGGATGGACAGCTGGGTGTGTCAGGGGGTGTGTCAGGGGGTGTGTATATAAGCAGCGCTACTTTTGGGTTTGTGTTGAGGCAGAGAATGATTGGGCACTGAAATGCTGAGAGATAGAGAATGAATAGAATCAGAGAGAGAGAGAGCGCTAGAATCAGAGAGAGAGAGAGAGAGCGCTAGAATCAGAGAGAGAGAGAGAGAGCGCTAGAATCAGAGAGAGCGAGCTATCTGTTGTTGTGAATGTTGTTGGTATGTAGTCACATACATGTCACAATAGTAGACATGAACTATCTTCCAAATTCCAACAATAAGGCATTTTAGAGAACTATTGTCAAAGAACAAACAATACTAGAGTTACCTTCTCTTGAAGTCTTGGGTTGTATTCTTTCATTGAACCATCTTGTTTGACATTTTTTAGAAGCCATTTGAATCCTTGATCCCTCAAATTCTGATCCACAAAAGTAAAAGCTGAGGCATGACAAAGTGTTTTAAGCACAAGAACTGTTAACCTGTTGAAAAAATGATTGGAAGAGTTAGGACATCTTGTAGGTGCTGCACGCTGCTAATCTTGACCACCTCGGTTTTGTCAACAGTTAAGGTTAGGTTTTACTTCAGCAATAATTCTTAATTACAAACATTTTATTTTTATCTGGAATAAGATATGATGAAAAAATCAAAAACATTCCCCCTAACAAGGGAAACAAAATCAAAAACATTCCCCCTAACAAGGGAAACAAAATTAAAAACATTCCCCCTAACAAGGGAAACTTAACAGAGCCATGGGATATTTCCCCCTTCAAATATTTGATGCCAAGTTTGAAATTTTCAAGTTCTTTACTTTTGCTAATTTTATTATTTATACATTTTTAAAAATTAGTAAACAGTACATTCAGTGTATAAAATAAATTAAAGGCAGTATTTAGAATATCCGTGTTTTACCGACCATATTGCACTTTATAAATTCATGCATATTTTTCAGTACTTTTTAAAATTTACAATAAGTTTCATGACTAAAACCATTGCGCACCTAATGAACGTGATGACTTAATATAATAATGGAGAATAGTTGATTAAAAATTATAATTAGTAAACAGTACATTCAGTAAATAAAAGATAGCCTTTTATCATAATTATAATATTCCAACAATAGTGTACTCTTACACATCTGCATAATTTGCATTCACATTTTGCTAATTATATTATTCCAACAATTATTCCGTCTTGCAGATTTTGCATTCAGATTTTAGCATGAGTTCAATTTATTTTTAAAGTACCTCCCTTGGCAAAATTACTAAACAGTTTAATTAGATTTTTCCAACCTATAGTTATTATGTTATTAAAATGTATCCACTTTTTATTTTTTCTAGGAATATTAACGAAAATGATATTTGACATTGATCCTTTTAATATGTTTTAGCGATGTGCTTGTATTTAATATTCTCTTTACATTATGCGAAAGAGTAAAAACAGTGGCAACTATAAAATAGCTTTATGTCGTTATATAAACAAACCCTACTCTATTACTTATAATAAGAGAATGCGATGCACTTAAAAGCACTGCATGGTGCAATGTTTACTTTTATGGTTCCAAAATCTATATCGATGATGGACTGACACACTACCTAGCCGCTTATATTATAGACTAGCTGCATCCCGTGCTCCGCCAAGTTAAATCTTTTTTTAATGTACCAACTTTGGAACAGAACAAAACAAACAAAAACACAACACAAACAAAACACAACCACAACACAACACAACACAACCACAACACAACCGCAACCACAACACAACCACAACACAACAATAGAATCACCACCGAACAACACGCTTTTCCTAGGCGTCCGCGCCCAGAGAGAGCCTTTCCAGCATTCTCTATACTATAATTCTTAATTTTCACCATCTGTTAACACCGAAAAACAAAAAATAGTGATTTTGAGAGATCATAGTCTAATTAGAAAATAATGTAAATAATCTTAACATGTTTTTATTTTACTTTTGAACCTTAACATATAATAATCAATGTGGTAGTAATAAAAAAATTAACTTAAATTATTGAGAGTGAGTTGAATATTGAAAACACGTTTTCCCCGGCGTCTGCGCACAGAGAGAGCCTTTCCGTTATTCTCAAAAAGTCTAATTTCAACATCTGTTTTCATAACACCGAAAAACAAAAGCAAACAGATAGTGATTTTTGAGAAATCATAGACTAATTAGAAAATAATAATAAATAATATAAATAATCTTAACATTTTTCTCTTTTAATTATGAACCTTAACATATAATAATCAATGCGGTAGTAATAAAAAAAAAATTATTTATGAGTTAAATATATTTTCAAATTACCTCCCTTGCAAAAATTACAACCAAAAAAAAGTTTAATTAATTAGTTTTTTCGACCTACTTTTATGAAAATGTATCCATTTTTTCTAGGAATATAAACGAAAATAATATTTGACATTGATCTTTTTAATATGTTTTAGCAATGTGCGTGTATTTAATATTTTCTTTACTTTATGGGTCTACAGCTAGTGCACTTGTCTCAGTGTCTGACTGGGTCTACAGCTAGTGCACTTGTCTCAGTGTCTGACTGGGTCTATAGCTAGTGCACTTGTCTCAGTGTCTGACTGGGTCTATAGCTAGTGCACTTGTCTCAGTGTCTGACTGGGTCTACAGCTAGTGCACTTGTCTCAGTGTCTGACTGGGTCTACAGCTAGTGCACTTGTCTCAGTGTCTGACTGGGTCTACAGCTAGTGCACTTGTCTCAGTGTCTGACTGGGTCTACAGCTAGTGCACTTGTCTCAGTGTCTGACTGGGTCTACAACTGGGTCTACAGCTAGTGCACTTGTCTCAGTGTCTGACTGGGTCTACAGCTAGTGCACTTGTCTCAGTGTCTGACTGGGTCTACAGCTAGTGCACTTGTCTCAGTGTCTGACTGGGTCTACAGCTAGTGCACTTGTCTCAGTGTCTGACTGGGTCTACAGCTAGTGCACTTGTCTCAGTGTCTGACTGGGTCTACAGCTAGTGCACTTGTCTCAGTGTCTGACTGGGTCTACAGCTAGTGCACTTGTCTATGAGTCTCACCATGTAGCTGGCAGTGAGCTGTTGAGCTGTGGAACAAATGCTGGGCCACGTCTAAACTTCTGCAGTCTGGCTAAACCTGGAGACAAACAAACATGCACCAATAGCTTGAGTTTTGGACTTCACATTTTAAATTCTTATTCCTTTACAATTTTAATAACTAAATAGTTACTAATTAGCACTAGTAATTGATTGTCAGCAAGTGTAAAAGAAGTTACAAATGGCCCACACTGATTAGCACTAGCTGCTGACCTCAACTTACAATGTAAACAAACAATGAGAAACTCCCCACATTCTAGAAGTAAAAACTCTTTTTTTTTAAAGTTTAATGTTATCAGCTAAATGGTATCCCTATTGTAAAAACTCTTTTTTTTTAAAGTTTAATGTTATCAGCTAAATGACATCCCTATTGTAAAAACTCTTTTGTTTTAAAGTTTAATGTTAAAAACTCTATTATTTTATTACTGAATGCTTCATAACATACCAGGTGTAATTTGCATGACAGCTTTTTCCTTCAAACTTTCATCTAAGAGTCCAGCTTGGTCTAAGTAAATAAGGGCATGAACAGTTGCTCCCAGCTCATTTACCACTTCTTCAGCGCTGCTAGACTGGTCAGCAGTGTCAGAGATGATGTCACACATTAGCTCCGCTGTTCATGGCACAAAGTTGAACGAGTTAATTCATTAATTTAGATACAAGTATCATCCCAGTGTAAGATAAATGGTAGCTGTCCACTACAAAATGTTGACACCACTACAAATGTTGACACCACTACAAATGTTGACACCACTACAAATATTGACACCACTACAAATGTTGACACCACTACAAATGTTGACACCACTACAAATGTTGACACCACTACAAATGTTGACACCACTACAAATGTTGACACTACTACAAATGTTGACATCACTACAAATGTTGACACCACTGCAAATGTTGACACCACTACAAATGTTGACATCACTACAAATGTTGACACTACTACAAATGTTGACACTACTACAAATGTTGACACCACTTACAAATGTTGACACTACTACAAATGTTGACACCACTACAAATGTTGACACCACTACAAATGTTGACACTACTGCAAATGTTGACACTACTACAAATGTTGACACTACTACAAATGTTGACACTACTACCAATGTTGACACTACTACAAATGTTGACACAAATAACTTGAACTTACTGATGCTAGTGGTCACTATTTGACAAGTCTTGTTTGAGTGACCTGGAACGTCAACTTTATTAAGGTTATCCGTGCGTGAGCATATGGGTGCTTTTAGACCCTCTTCCTAAACAAAAAAGGAGAAAAACAATTATTTTAAGCTCATAAACTACAAACAATTATTTTAAGCTCATAAACTACAAACAATTATTTTAAGCTCATAAACTACAAACAATTATTTTAAGCTCATAAACTACAAACAATTATTTTAAGCTCATAAACTACAAACAATTATTTTAAGCTCATAAACTACAAACAATTATTTTAAGCTCATAAACTACAAACAATTATTTTAAGCTCATAAACTACAAACAATTATTTTAAGCTCATAAACTACAAACAATTATTTTAAGCTCATAAAGTATTCAAAGAAAATAAAAAATAATCAGTATTAATCTGGCAGATAAAACAATGTTACATTTGTCAAGAATGACATGTTGAAAACTTAACAATGTAACCGTATCAAACTTGTTGAAAACTTAATGCTGTAACCTTATCAAACTTGTTGAAAACTTAATGCTGTAACCTTATCAAACTTGTTGAAAACTTAATGATGTAACCTTATCAAACTTGTTGAAAACTTAATGATGTAACCTTATCAAACTTGTTGAAAACTTAATGCTGTAACCTTATCAAACTTGTTGAAAACTTAATGATGTAACCTTATCAAACTTGTTGAAAACTTAATGCTGTAACCTTATCAAACTTGTTGAAAACTTAATGCTGTAACCTTATCAAACTTGTTGAAAACTTAATGCTGTAACCTTATCAAACTTGTTGAAAACTTAATGATGTAACCTTATCAAACTTGTTGAAAACTTAATGCTGTAACCTTATCAAACTTGTTGAAAACTTAATGCTGTAACCTTATCAAACTTGTTGAAAACTTAATGATGTAACCTTATCAAACTTGTTGAAAACTTAATGATGTAACCTTATCAAACTTGTTGAAAACTTAATGCTGTAACCTTATCAAACTTGTTGAAAACTTAATGATGTAACCTTATCAAACTTGTTGAAAACTTAATGCTGTAACCTTATCAAACTTGTTGAAAACTTAATGCTGTAACCTTATCAAACTTGTTGAAAACTTAATGATGTAACCTTATCAAACTTGTTGAAAACTTAATGCTGTAACCTTATCAAACTTGTTGAAAACTTAATGCTGTAACCTTATCAAACTTGTTGAAAACTTAATGCTGTAACCTTATCAAACTTGTTGAAAACTTAATGCTGTAACCTTATCAAACTTGTTGAAAACTTAATGATGTAACCTTATCAAACTTGTTGAAAACTTAATGCTGTAACCTTATCAAACTTGTTGAAAACTTAATGCTGTAACCTTATCAAACTTGTTGAAAACTTAATGATGTAACCTTATCAAACTTGTTGAAAACTTAATGCTGTAACCTTATCAAACTTGTTGAAAACTTAATGCTGTAACCTTATCAAACTTGTTGAAAACTTAATGCTGTAACCTTATCAAACTTGTTGAAAACTTAATGCTGTAACCTTATCAAACTTGTTGAAAACTTAATGATGTAACCTTATCAAACTTGTTGAAAACTTAATGCTGTAACCTTATCAAACTTGTTGAAAACTTAATGATGTAACCTTATCAAACTTGTTGAAAACTTACTTGAAATGTGATTGTTTTCGTCAGCCTGTGAATGACTGTTGTTGTAGTTAGATCAAGTAAAACCACCAGCAAAGAACACTCTGTTATGTTTTCTGTGTTGAATGGTCTAGCCTAGACAAAACATTCAGATCATACGATCGGATGAATGTACACAATACACACACAGTTTGTTAAAACCAATACAAGACAGAACTAGACATAATTATTTACATTGGATATAACTATACCGTAATATTTTCATAGTGAGCAGAGTATTTTGGTACAACCAACATTCTTTCAAACGTTTTATTCCCAGAAAAATTGAGGCAGGAACTAATAACTTGTATTGTAACCTGGTGAAAAAAAATTGTGTTTCCATTCTTCAATCTTTGATTCCTCACGCTATATTAGCAAAAATTAGATAAAATTTCTTGTCTAATAAAACAGTTCATATCTAGACTAATAAGATGAATAGTTTGCCCACTTATGTGCTAGACTTGACCAATTATGTTATATGGTAGACTTGCCCAATTATGTTATGTTGTAGACTTGCCCAATTATGTTATGTTGTAGACTTGCCCAATTATGTTATGTTGTAGACTTTCCCAATTATGTTATGTTGTAGACTTGCCCAATTATGTTATATGGTAGACTTGCCCAATTATGTTATGTTGTAGACTTTCCCAATTATGTTATGTTGTAGACTTGCCCAATTATGTTATGTTGTAGACTTGCCCAATTATGTTATGTTGTAGACTTGCCCAATTATGTTATGTTGTAGACTTGCCCAATTATGTTATGTTGTAGACTTGCCCAATTATGTTATGTTGTAGACTTGCCCAATTATGTTATGTTGTAGACTTGCCCAATTATGTTATGTTGTAGACTTGCCCAATTATGTTATGTTGTAGACTTGCCCAATTATGTTATGTTGTAGACTTGCCCAATTATGTTATGTTGTAGACTTGCCCAATTATGTTATGTTGTAGACTTGCCCAATTATGTTATGTTGTAGACTTGCCCAATTATGTTATGTTGTAGACTTGCCCAATTATGTTATGTTGTAGACTTGCCCAATTATGTTATGTTGTAGACTTGCCCAATTATGTTATGTTGTAGACTTGCCCAATTATGTTATGTTGTAGACTTGCCCAATTATGATATGTTGTAGACTAGATGATGGGATAACATTTGTTTTTCCAGATTATATGAAGTACAAATAAGTACCAACCCTGGATGAAGTAACTACCAACCCTGGATGAAGTAACTACCAACCCTGGATGAAGTAAGAACTGTGAGTACCAACCCTGGATGAAGTAACTACCAACCCTGGATGAAGTAAGAATTGTGAGTACCAACCCTGGATGAAGTAACTACCAACCCTGGATGAAGTAACTACCAACCCTGGATGAAGTAAGAACTGTGAGTACCAACCCTGGATGAAGTAACTACCAACCCTGGATGAAGTAAGAATTGTGAGTACCTTGTGCGTATCGTGTGCTTGCCGATTGAGCACTGTGATGTTGATGGGAAAACATGAATGTCTGCTGACTTGAGAGGGCGCCACAAGCTCCAGATACTGGAGTTGGTTGACAGAGATCTCCAGGGGATCTGTCACACAGATGCCACCCTGGGCAGAGATGCCCACTGCCACAACTGACCACACTGTCTGGTCATTAGGCAAGGTCAAGCTCACAGTTTTGTTGGTCTCATTGCTACATGTGGACAACAGAAAGGACATTTAGATCTACCATCTGACATTTAGATCTACCATCCTGTGTTCAACTCTACCATCCGTCATTTAGATCTACCATCCTATGTTAAACTCTACCATCTGACATTTAGATCTACCATCCAGTGTTCAACTCTACCATCCGACATTTAGATCTACCATCCTATGTTAAACTCTACCATCTGACAATTAGATCTACCATCCTATGTTAAACTCTACCATCTGACATTTAGATCTACCATCCTATGTTAAACTCTACCATCTGACAATTAGATCTACCATCCTATGTTAAACTCTACCATCCGACATTTAGATCTACCATCCTATGTTAAACTCTACCATCTGACATTTAGATCTACCATCCTATGTTAAACTCTACCATCCGACATTTAGATCTACCATCTGACATTTAGATCTACTATCCTATGTTAAACTCTACCATCTGACATTTAGATCTACCATCCTGTGTTCAACTCTACCATCCGACATTTAGATCTACCATCCTATGTTAAACTCTACCATCTGACAATTAGATCTACCATCCTATGTTAAACTCTACCATCTGACATTTAGATCTACCATCCTATGTTAAACTCTACCATCTGACAATTAGATCTACCATCCTATGTTAAACTCTACCATCCGACATTTAGATCTACCATCCTATGTTAAACTCTACCATCTGACATTTAGATCTACCATCCTATGTTAAACTCTACCATCCGACATTTAGATCTACCATCTGACATTTAGATCTACTATCCTATGTTAAACTCTACCATCTGACATTTAGATCTACCATCCTATGTTAAACTCAACCATCAGACATTTAGATCTACCATCTGACATTTAGATCTACCATCCTATGTTAAACTCTACCATCTGACATTTAGATCTACCATCCTATGTTAAACTCTATCATCTGACAATTAGATCTACCATCTGACAATTAGATCTACCATCCTATGTTAAACTCTACCATCTGACATTTAGATCTACCATCTGACATTTAGATCTACCATCCTATGTTAAACTCTACCATCTGACATTTAGATCTACCATCCTATGTTAAACTCAACCATCTGACATTTAGATCTACTATCCTATGTTAAACTCAACCATCTGACATTTAGATCTACCATCCTATGTTAAACTCTACCATCTGACATTTAGATCTACCATCTGACATTTAGATCTACCATCTGACATTTAGATCTACCATCTGACATTTAGATCTACCATCTGACATTTAGATCTACCATCTGACATTTAGATCTACCATCTGACATTTAGATCTACCATCTGACATTTAGATCTACCATCTGACATTTAGATCTACCATCCTATGTTAAACTCAACCATCTGACATTTAGATCTACCATCTGACATTTAGATCTACCATCTGACATTTAGATCTACCATCTGACATTTAGATCTACCATCTGACATTTAGATCTACCATCTGACATTTAGATCTACCATCCTATGTTAAACTCTACCATCTGACATTTAGATCTACCATCCTGTGTTCAACTCTACCATCCGACATTTAGATCTACCATCCTATGTTAAACTCTACCATCTGACAATGAGATCTACCATCCTATGTTAAACTCTACCATCTGACATTTAGATCTACCATCCTATGTTAAACTCTACCATCTGACAATTAGATCTACCATCCTATGTTAAACTCTACCATCCGACATTTAGATCTACCATCCTATGTTAAACTCTACCATCTGACATTTAGATCTACCATCCTATGTTAAACTCTACCATCCGACATTTAGATCTACCATCTGACATTTAGATCTACTATCCTATGTTAAACTCTACCATCTGACATTTAGATCTACCATCCTATGTTAAACTCAACCATCAGACATTTAGATCTACCATCTGACATTTAGATCTACCATCCTATGTTAAACTCTACCATCTGACATTTAGATCTACCATCCTATGTTAAACTCTATCATCTGACAATTAGATCTACCATCTGACAATTAGATCTACCATCCTATGTTAAACTCTACGATCTGACATTTAGATCTACCATCTGACATTTAGATCTACAATCCTATGTTAAACTCTACCATCTGACATTTAGATCTACCATCCTATGTTAAACTCAACCATCTGACAATTAGATCTACTATCCTATGTTAAACTCAACCATCTGACATTTAGATCTACTATCCTATGTTAAACTCAACAATCTGACATTTAGATCTACCATCCTATGTTAAACTCTACCATCTGACATTTAGATCTACCATCTGACATTTAGATCTACCATCTGACATTTAGATCTACCATCTGACATTTAGATCTACCATCTGACATTTAGATCTACCATCTGACATTTAGATCTACCATCTGACATTTAGATCTACCATCTGACATTTAGATCTACCATCTGACATTTAGATCTACCATCCTATGTTAAACTCAACCATCTGACATTTAGATCTACCATCTGACATTTAGATCTACCATCTGACATTTAGATCTACCATCTGACATTTAGATCTACCATCTGACATTTAGATCTACCATCTGACATTTAGATCTACCATCTGACATTTAGATCTACCATCTGACATTTAGATCTACCATCTGACATTTAGATCTACCATCTGACATTTAGATCTACCATCTGACATTTAGATCTACCATCTGACATTTAGATCTACCATCTGACATTTAGATCTACCATCTGACATTTAGATCTACCATCTGACATTTAGATCTACCATCTGACATTTAGATCTACCATCTGACATTTAGATCTACCATCTGACATTTAGATCTACCATCTGACATTTAGATCTACCATCTGACATTTAGATCTACCATCTGACATATAGATCTACCATCTGACATTTAGATCTACCATCCTATGTTAAACTCTACCATCTGACATTTAGATCTACCATCCTATGTTAAACTCAACCATCTGACAATTAGATCTACTATCCTATGTTAAACTCAACCATCTGACATTTAGATCTACTATCCTATGTTAAACTCAACCATCTGACATTTAGATCTACCATCCTATGTTAAACTCTACCATCTGACATTTAGATCTACCATCCGACATTTAGATCTACCATCTGACATTTAGATCTACCATCTGACATTTAGATCTACCATCCTATGTTAAACTCTACCATCTGACATTTAGATCTACCATCTGACATTTAGATCTACCATCCTATGTTAAACTCTACCACCTGACATTTAGATCTACCATCCTATGTTAAACTCTACCATCTGACAATTAGATCTACTATCCTATGTTAAACTCAACCATCTGACATTTAGATCTACCATCCTATGTTAAACTCTACCATCTGACATTTAGATCTACCATCTGACATTTAGATCTACCATCTGACATTTAGATCTACCATCTGACATTTAGATCTACCATCTGACATTTAGATCTACCATCTGACATTTAGATCTACCATCCTATGTTAAACTCAACCATCTGACATTTAGATCTACCATCTGACATTTAGATCTACCATCTGACATTTAGATCTACCATCTGACATTTAGATCTACCATCTGACATTTAGATCTACCATCTGACATTTAGATCTACCATCTGACATTTAGATCTGACATTTAGATCTACCATCCTATGTTAAACTCTACCATCTGACATTTAGATCTACCATCTGACATTTAGATCTACCATCTGACATTTAGATCTGACATTTAGATCTACCATCTGTCATTTAGCTCCTCCCCAATGCTGAGTGACAAACCTAACCTGCTGAATGCTAATAAACTAAAACCACCATCAAGACTTACTTGAGAAATTCTTCTAACAGCCAGGACTCATTTCTGACCACAGGGTTCTTGACATTCTTGCCATACAATGTCTCAGTATTCTTGTCATTAGATGTCTCAGTATTCTTGTCATTAGATGTCTCAGTATTCTTGTCATTAGATGTCTCAGTATTCTTGTCATTAGATGTCTCAGTATTCTTGCCATTAGATGCCTCAGTATTTATTCCAATGGCCTGATGATGTTGAGCCCCTAATTAAAGTTAAAACAAAACATTTCTCACATTGCACTCATTAACTCATCGCTTTATAAATTCTGGGGGACGGAGTGGTCTAGCGGTAGAGAGCTGGACTGCTAACCCGTAAGTCTCGAGTTCGAATCCGGGTTCAAGTCAGTAGACCGTCCCTGAGTCCACCCAACTCTGATGGGTACCTAACTCACGTTAGGGAAAGTAAAGGCGGCTGGGCATAGTGCTGACCACACTATCTCTTCATATGCCGAGGTCACAGAAACAAGTGAACTCTACTTCACTTGCCCGATAGACCGTCAGGTTTGAAAGGGAAACTTTACTTTATAAATTCTGTTGCTGCCATTACTTTGTTCTCACACTTGTAACCATCACAAGTCTCAAACCCCCCCCCCCTCCAAGATGACTGTTGACAAATGAGTGGTTTAGTAGAATACAACTGTTACAATGAATGTCTACAAACACAATGTACAAACATATACAAACAAAACATGTTGTACAAACTATTCTTAGGTGTGTTGTCCACTTGTTTCCCATCAGTCCTGATGACCAAGTAATCAAGCCCAGAGTTCTAGAAGTAAGAACAGAAGCAAAGTCAATTTTAGCATGGACCAACAAAATTCTCTAAAAGTAAGAACAGAAGCAAAGTCAATTTTAGCATGGACCAACAAAATTCTCTAAAAGTAAGAACAGAGGCAAAGTCAATTTTAGCATGGACCAACAAAATTCTCTAAAAGTAAGAACAGAAGCAAAGTCAATTTTAGCATGGACCAACAAAATTCTCTAAAAGTAAGAACAGAAGCAAAGTCAATTTTAGCATGGACCAACTTTGAGATTTTTCACCAAAAGTTTGCATCCTGTGGATTGTGCATGATTAAAATGTGGTCAACTAAATTGTTACATCAAAACAGTAACATGTAGTTGGTCATGTGACCTACCTCAAGAACTAGGGATGAATTAAGCCCATCCCATGGACCTGTGACCTACCTCAACTAGGGATGAATTAAGCCCATCCCATGGACCTGTGACCTACCTCAACTAGGGATGAATTAAGCCCATCCCATGGACCTGTGACCTACCTCAAGAACTAGGGATGAATTAAGCCCATCCCATGGACATGTGACCTACCTCAAGAACTGGGGATGAATAAAGACCATCCCATGGACCTGTGACTTACCTCAACTAGGGATGAATTAAGCCCATCCCATGGACCTGTGACCTACCTCAACTAGGGATGAATTAAGCCCATCCCATGGACCTGTGACCTACCTCAACTAGGGATGAATTAAGCCCATCCCATGGACCTGTGACCTACCTCAAGAACTAGGGATGAATTAAGCCCATCCCATGGACCTGTGACCTACCTCAACTAGGGATGAATTAAGCCCATCCCATGGACCTGTGACCTACCTCAACTAGGGATGAATTAAGCCCATCCCATGGACCTGTGACCTACCTCAACTAGGGATGAATTAAGCCCATCCCATGGACCTGTGACCTACCTCAAGAACTAGGGATGAATTAAGCCCATCCCATGGACCTGTGACCTACCTCAACTAGGGATGAATTAAGCCCATCCCATGGACCTGTGACCTACCTCAACTAGGGATGAATTAAGCCCATCCCATGGACCTGTGACCTACCTCAAGAACTAGGGATGAATTAAGCCCATCCCATGGACATGTGACCTACCTCAAGAACTGGGGATGAATAAAGACCATCCCATGGACCTGTGACTTACCTCAACTAGGGATGAATTAAGCCCATCTCATGGACCTGTGACCTACCTCAACTAGGGATGAATTAAGCCCATCCCATGGACCTGTGACCTACCTCAACTAGGGATGAATTAAGCCCATCTCATGGACCTGTGACCTACCTCAACTAGGGATGAATTAAGCCCATCCCATGGACCTGTGACCTACCTCAACTAGGGATGAATTAAGCCCATCCCATGGACCTGTGACCTACCTCAAGAACTAGGGATGAATTAAGCCCATCCCATGGACCTGTGACCTACCTCAACTAGGGATGAATTAAGCCCATCCCATGGACCTGTGACCTACCTCAAGAACTAGGGATGAATTAAGCCCATCCCATGGACCTGTGACCTACCTCAACTAGGGATGAATAAAGCCCATCCCATGGTCCTGTGACCTACTTCAACTAGGGATGAATTAAGCCCATCCCATGGACCTGTGACCTACCTCAAGAACTAGGGATGAATTAAGCCTATCCCATGGACCTGTGACCTACCTCAACTAGGGATGAATTAAGCCCATCCCATGGACCTGTGACCTACCTCAACTAGGGATGAATTAAGCCCATCCCATGGACCTGTGACCTACCTCAACTAGGGATGAATTAAGCCCATCCCATGGACCTGTGACCTACCTCAACTAGGGATGAATTAAGCCCATCCCATGGACCTGTGACCTACCTCAAGAACTAGGGATGAATTAAGCCCATCCCATGGACCTGTGACCTACCTCAACTAGGGATGAATTAAGCCCATCCCATGGACCTGTGACCTACCTCAACTAGGGATGAATTAAGCCCATCCCATGGACCAGTGACCTACCTCAACTAGGGATGAATTAAGCCCATCCCATGGACCTGTGACCTACCTCAACTAGGGATGAATTAAGCCCATCCCATGGACCTGTAACCTACCTCAACTAGGGATGAATTAAGCCCATCCCATGGACATGTGACCTACCTCAAGAACTGGGGATGAATAAAGACCATCCCATGGACCTGTGACTTACCTCAACTAGGGATGAATTAAGCCCATCTCATGGACCTGTGACCTACCTCAACTAGGGATGAATTAAGCCCATCCCATGGACCTGTGACCTACCTCAACTAGGGATGAATTAAGCCCATCCCATGGACCTGTGACTTACCTCAACTAGGGATGAATTAAGCCCATCCCATGGACCTGTGACCTACCTCAACTAGGGATGAATTAAGCCCATCCCATGGACCTGTGACCTACCTCAACTAGGGATGAATTAAGCCCATCCCTAGAGCCCTGGTCCCTGTTGTCCAATTGTTGGAACACCTGCAGTAGAAGTAGAAAGAATACTTGTGTTACTTAAGGATTTTATCAACTTGGGTTACTTAAGGATTTTATCAACTTGGGTGACTTAAGGATTTTATCAACTTGGGTGACTTAAGGATTTTATCAACTTGGGTTACTTAAGGATTTTATCAACTTGTTACTTAAGGATTTTATAAACTTGGGTTACTTAAGGATTTTATCAACTTGGGTGACTTAAGGATTTTATCAACTTGGGTGACTTAAGGATTTTATCAACTTGGGTTACTTAAGGATTTTATCAACTTGGGTTTCTTAAGGATTTTATCAACTTGTTACTTAAGGATTTTATCAACTTGGGTTACTTAAGGATTTTATCAACTTGGGTTTCTTAAGGATTTTATCAACTTGTGTTACTTAAGGATTTTATCAACTTGGGTTACTTAAGGATTTTATCAACTTGTGTTACTTAAGGATTTTATCAACTTGTGTTACTTAAGGATTTTATCAACTTGTGTTACTTAAGGATTTTATCAACTTGTGTTACTTAAGGATTTTATCAACTTGGGTTTCTTAAGGATTTTATCAACTTGTTACTTAAGGATTTTATCAACTTGGGTTACTTAAGGATTTTATCAACTTGGGTTACTTAAGGATTTTATCAACTTGGGTGACTTAAGGATTTTATCAACTTGTTACTTAAGGATTTTATCAACTTGGGTGACTTAAGGATTTTATCAACTTGGGTTACTTAAGGATTTTATCAACTTGTTACTTAAGGATTTTATCAACTTGGGTTTCTTAAGGATTTTATCAACTTGGGTTTCTTAAGGATTTTATCAACTTGGGTTTCTTAAGGATTTTATCAACTTAATACTTAAGGATTTTATCAACTTGGGTTACTTAAGGATTTTATCAACTTGTGTTACTTAAGGATTTTATCAACTTGTGTTACTTAAGGATTTTATCAACTTGGGTTACTTAAGGATTTTATCAACTTGTGTTACTTAAGGATTTTATCAACTTGGGTTACTTAAGGATTTTATCAACTTGGGTTACTTAAGGATTTTATCAACTTGGGTTTCTTAAGGATTTTATCAACTTGTGTTACTTAAGGATTTTATCAACTTGGGTTACTTAAGGATTTTATCAACTTGTGTTACTTAAGGATTTTATCAACTTGTGTTACTTAAGGATTTTATCAACTTGGGTTACTTAAGGATTTTATCAACTTGGGTTACTTAAGGATTTTATCAACTTGGGTTACTTAAGGATTTTATCAACTTAATACTTAAGGATTTTATCAACTTGGGTTACTTAAGGATTTTATCAACTTGGGTTACTTAAGGATTTTATCAACTTGGGTGACTTAAGGATTTTATCAACTTGTTACTTAAGGATTTTATCAACTTGGGTTACTTAAGGATTTTATCAACTTAATACTTAAGGATTTTATCAACTTGGGTTACTTAAGGATTTTATCAACTTGGGTTACTTAAGGATTTTATCAACTTGGGTGACTTAAGGATTTTATCAACTTGTTACTTAAGGATTTTATCAACTTGGGTTACTTAAGGATTTTATCAACTTGGGTTTCTTAAGGATTTTATCAACTTGTTACTTAAGGATTTTATCAACTTGGGTTACTTAAGGATTTTATCAACTTGGGTGACTTAAGGATTTTATCAACTTGGGTTACTTAAGGATTTTATCAACTTAATACTTAAGGATTTTATCAACTTGGGTTACTTAAGGATAATATCAACTTGTTACTTAAGGATTTTATCAACTTGGGTTTCTTAAGGATTTTATCAACTTGTTACTTAAGGATTTTATCAACTTGGGTTACTTAAGGATTTTATCAACTTGGGTTACTTAAGGATTTTATCAACTTGGGTTTCTTAAGGATTTTATCAACTTGGGTTTCTTAAGGATTTATCAATTTGGGTTTCTTAAGGATTTTATCAACTTGGGTTACTTAAGGATTTTATCAACTTGTGTTACTTAAGGATTTTATCAACTTGGGTTACTTAAGGATTTTATCAACTTGTGTTACTTAAGGATTTTATCAACTTGGGTTTCTTAAGGATTTTATCAACTTGGGTTACTTAAGGATTTTATCAACTTGGGTTTCTTAAGGATTTTATCAACTTGTTACTTAAGGATTTTATCAACTTGGGTTTCTTAAGGATTTTATCAACTTGGGTTTCTTAAGGATTTTATCAACTTGGGTTTCTTAGGATTTTATCAACTTGGGTTACTTAAGGATTTTATCAACTTGGGTTACTTAAGGATTTTATCACTTGGGTTTCTTAAGGATTTTATCAACTTGGGTTTCTTAAGGATTTTATCAACTTGTTACTTAAGGATTTTATCAACTTGGGTTACTTAAGGATTTTATCAACTTGGGTTACTTAAGGATTTTATCAACTTGGGTTTCTTAAGGATTTTATCAACTTGTTACTTAAGGATTTTATCAACTTGTGTTACTTAAGGATTTTATCAACTTGTTACTTAAGGATTTTATCAACTTGTGTTACTTAAGGATTTTATCAACTTGGGTTTCTTAAGGATTTTATCAACTTGGGTTACTTAAGGATTTTATCAACTTGGGTTACTTAAGGATTTTATCAACTTGTGTTACTTAAGGATTTTATCAACTTGGGTTACTTAAGGATTTTATCAACTTGTGTTACTTAAGGATTTTTTCAACTTGTGTTACTTAAGGATTTTATCAACTTGTGTTACCAAAATTTTTCCATCAATTTTATTTTTGTGGAAAAGCATTTTCGGATGTACCTTAAAAAGCTATAGAGGAAAAATTGTTTTTTTACCAGAGCCTACCCCCTTAAAAGCTCTAGTTAACTTTCTTTACAAACATTATAAAAACTCTTTATAAAAAGATTTTAAAAATGTAAAACTTACCATCTGTCGTGTTAGAGTCTGTTTATCATTCAGCATTAGAACAGCTTTATCCACCGCCCAAATAGCAACACGCATGCCTGGGCTACCAGTTATTGTTATCTTAGCTTCTTCCTTGAGTTTATAAGGAACAGTTGCTGACTTGATCCCAACCTAGGAAGAAACATTGGAGAAAATCATTTGCTAGACATGAAAACTTTCAGTCCCAGCTTAAGTTTTATTTGCTTTGCCTGCTGCTATGGTACATAAAAAGTAACTGAAAGAATGCCTTCACAGGTAAGTTTTTCACAGAGGCCAGTGCAGGGCCTGGCCAGGACGGCTAGTCCTAATATATAAATCCCCACATTCGCACATCTCTCTCTCTCTCTCTTTCTCTGTCCGCAAAAAATTTTCGCCGGACATCACGTCAGAATCGGCAGCGATATATGGAGAACTTTTTACGAACTTTTGTTGAAAATAATATGTTAGATGTTTTAAATGTATAACCACAATTTTACTTAAAGAAGAAAAATAAAAATTAAAGGCGTATTCGAATGCAGAGAAACAGTATTATTTATGCAACCGGAAAAGCATTAATACATGTGAAAAAGAACGCATAAAACTGTGACGTCGCTATTGCTTATACATTAACTAATGACGTCATCTGCTGTGTTTTGAATAAAAAGAAATGAACTATTTCATTCAAATTTGATTTAGATCTACGTACACTATGAAATGTATACAATACAATTTTTCCGGACTAAACTCATAAAATTTATTTTATTTATTTGGATTCTAGATCTAGAGATTCTAGATCTAGACTAGATCTAAATCTACAAATCTACGCAATAACTAGATTCTATATCGAGACGTAGACGCTACTAAGATCTAGAATCTAGATCTAGATTTAGACTCTAACTTCTCTAGAATCTATTCCAAAAATAAATTTCTATATTAGGACTAAACTATTTCAAGACATAACTATTTTATACAAAATCTTTGTTTGGAACTGGCTAATTTGGGATAAAAAAATTAATTTGAAAGAATAGGCATATTCGCGTAAGTTAAGGTTTTAAAATACGTCTTTTATTCTCTGTGTGTTATAAGGTGCCTATATAGCGGAGATGATAGTGTACTTAAACCCACGCAGGTGGTGCGGGTTCGAGACGCACCAAGTCAACTTAGTAAATCTTTTTTTTTTTTATTTTGCTCGGGCTAAACTTTAAAAAAAATTCTATTAGGATTCTAGATCTAGATGATCTAGATCTACGAAGAAATTAGACTTACACAGATGTACACCCTACCTAGATCTAGAATCTATTCAAACAATACATTTCTATACTAAAGTATTTCAGGCCTTAATTACTTTATTGAAATCTTTGTTTATCTATGCAATTTGCTAATCTCTATAATATATAAAGCAAAGTTGTCGGGTGCCCGATAGGGCACTTCCCGGCGCCGCAGGCGCTTCAAATTTGGCAGGATCTTGCCTTGGGGCGACAGAACACGAGGGCCGGTTGGCCGAAAAGTCTACGATGAGGGGGTCAAAACTGACCTCGACTGACCGGCGCCTTATATGAACTATAAATCGAAAAAAAATGTCCACGGAGGAACCTCTTCATAACTCTTGAGGTCGTAGACCGACCCTCTGGCGAATTAATTAAGCATTCAAATTCTCAATGTTTTCGAAAGCCTAAGAAAAGCTGGGAAGCATGCCTAGTAGTACATAAAAAGCAACTGAAAGAATGCCTTACTTTATCAAGACAAGAGGGGTTTGTATCCACAAAAAGTGAATCTGACACAAGTTCATCTAATGTATGGTAATAAGCCACAATCCTGTAGTTAGGAGATAAATCAGGGCAGATATTTTTTGGTAGCTCAACTACAGAACTCCCATTGTTGTTTCTTGGAACTTTTGTGGTGTAGATGATTCTACCTTTAGAAAGTACCTTAGAAGATAATACAATAGGTTAGACTCATGTTTCAAATAGTTGTTGTATTCAAGACTATTAGAAAATAAAACAGGTTGTCTACTTACAGAAACTGTGAGGTACTTATGGATTTCTGTCCCAATGTTGTGATCTGTGGTGTTATTAGTTTTTTTATAATTCAGTGATACTAGATCACAAATATTTTTCTGAAAATATACACAGAATCTCTTGGTTTAATGTTGGCCATACAATCAGACCAATTATTAAAACACAATCCATATTGGGTTTGTAATGTGGGATAGTGTCAAGTGAGGTGTAGGGTATGCATTTCAATGTGGTGTATGTAGTGGGGTGCCTCGTGGTTTCTGTAGAAGGGGATGTGTGGTTCAGTGTCAGGGGTGGGGTAATGTTTGTTTATCTTGTCATGCAGATGGTGGTGCAGTGTTATATCCCCTCTTTCCTTCATTGATAATGTTTATCTTGTCATGCAGATGGTGGTGCAGTGTTATATCCCCTCTTTCCTTCATTGATATCATCAGAAGTTAAAATTACAAAGGTTGTTTTGGTTACAGGGCATTACCCCCCCCCCCCCGCCCCCCAGTATTTACCCCACGGAGCAATTACTGCCCTGTCAATTACCCCCCCCCCCCCAAGTTAGAATCCTAACACTAATTCAAATTTCATACCTGTATATTACCTTAATCCTAACTTTAAGAAAAAGACAAAAACCTAAGCCTTCACCTCAGCCTATATCTTAACACAAAACCAAAGCTAGACATTGGTAATGCCCTGTTCCCGGTTATTTTGTGCCTTTCTTTGAAATTTTCACACTACATATGATGGTGTTCGACAATGTGTCTGGGATATTATGTCCAAGAGATCATTTATCTGGGATATTATGTCCATAAGATCATTCATCTAGGATATTTTATCCTAAAATTATTTGTCTGGGATATTATGTCCAAGAGATCATTCATCTAGGATATTTTATCCTAAAATTATTTGTCTGGGATATTATGTCCATAAGATCATTCATCTAGGATATTTTATCCTAAAATTATTTGTCTGGGATATTATGTCCATAAGATCATTCATCTAGTATATTTTATCCTAAAATTATTTCTGGAATATTATGTCCAAGAGATCATTATCTAGGATATTGTGTCAATAAGATGATTTGTCTAGGATATTTTATCCTAAAATTATTTGTCTGGTAAATTTTATCCATGAGATCTTTAAATTATGCCTTAAATAACATGTAGGTAGAAAAATACAATAAAATCATGACCAACACACTAATTTCTAGATCTAGATCATCTATCTTGTAACTTGTTATTCATATGGCCTAGAACATAGCAAGGCTGAAATAATCAAATCAATGTTATGTCAAAGCTATGGTTTTTATTGGGGAGGAGAGGGAGGGGGGGTTCTCAGGTTTCTGGTTAACTTTTGTTGCTTCAAATTTGAAGCTGTCATTAAGAATTATTTTGATTTTAGATGTAGCCTAGAGAGTAGGTATATAGAACTAGAGGTCTACTAAACACTACTAAACCTATGCTTGTATCTATACTACTGTGTACAATGCCTGGAGAGGGGCGGGAGCAGGTTTAGAGAGTTGGTGTGCGTGCGTGGTGTCCTGCGACGTAGAGAATTATATATATATAGACTAGAGATGATTTTATTTTCACACCTATTGGAAAATTGTGTAGAGTAAATTTTTAAGGACTTTTTCTTTTATCCCCATTATTATCGTTTATTTTTGTGTGTAATCTAGGAACTGGGGAAATTAAAAGTTGAATTCCATATGCAGTGATATCCTTTATGTAGGTAAAATTTAGCTATAAAAATAGTCAATTATTTTATTTATTTTCATACCTATTTGAAAACTGCTTGGTGCAAATTTTAAAGGAATTTTTCTTTCATCCAATATTTCTTCGCTTATTTTTGTATGTAGTCAAAGAATGGGGGAATCAAAAGTTTCAAGTCAAAGAATGGGGGAATCAAAAGTTTAAAGTCAAAGAATAGGGGAATCAAAAGTTTAAAGTCAAAGAATGGGGGAATCAAAAGTTTAAAGTCAAAGAATGGGGGAATCAAAAGTTTCAAGTCAAAGAATGGGGGAATCAAAAGTTTAAAGTCAAAGAATGGGGGAATCAAAAGTTTAAAGTCAAAGAATGGGGAAATCAAAAGTTTAAAGTCAAAGAATGGGGGAATCAAAAGTTTAAAGTCAAAGAATGGGGGAATCAAAAGTTTAAAGTCAAAGAATGGGGGAATCAAAAGTTTTAAGTCAAAGAATGGGGGAATCAAAAGTTTAAAGTCAAAGAATGGGGGAATTAAAAGTTGAAAGGGTTTGGCGTGGTCAAGTCGGTATAGCACATGGTTTTTAAACTGAAAAGTCTCAAGTTTCGAACTCTCGAGCAGATGAGGCTCATTAGCTGGTGGAGACAACTCCAAAATCAATTAAGACTGAGATTTTTTCTAGTTAATAGTCAAGTGAAATTTAAGAACATAAGTAATTAATCATGTCTTTACAAAGAAATTAAATTCTATTACTTCTTTGCTTAAGATTAAATTGATATATATTTTATGATGAAATCAATAAATGATAGGAAATAAAGATAGATTGATGCCTGGTAATTTATTTGGAATAATTGATAGCATGAGGAGAATTATTTGAGGAAATCTAATTATAGATATCAAAATGTATGAACTAAGCAAAAATAATTCAATTATTTAAATAAGCTATTGCAGTTGCCATCTTAGTCTAGAAGTGTGAGGATCACTACTAGACTGACTGCCTGTCTCCTAAATATTTATACCTATATTTAAAGCAGGACAGTTCTGTTTGTTACTATCAAACTAATTATCACTCTCCTAGATGTATATGAAACCTTACCTTTTTTTTATCTACTCTATAGATGATAATGTTCTCTCTTGCAATGACTGTATTCACCTCCAAGAAATATTCTTTAGAAGTTGGATGTTCTTTATCTACAACTCTAGCCTAGCATAAAACCAGTCAAGTTAGTGTTGGTGAAATGGTGTATGAGGTCTTAAGGGCCTGGGCAGGTCATGAAAACCAAAATAACCAAGATGCTTATTTCTAAACCTAATGCTATAATATTAAGTATATGGTTATGACTTAAAGGGTTAAGTCTAAAAAAATTTAAAATGACCAAAAATGTCATACCATTGCCATGGTGATGGCGGCCATCTTGTATTTTGTTTTTTACAATTTTAACACTGAAATAACTTTCCTAATTATTATTAAAATTGATCAAAATTTTCTCGAGCTAATCTGTATAAATATACCAACACAAGTTTTCGAAAATGTGTATGATTTTTCTTTTACAGTTAAAAATGTGTATTATTTGTAACTCACTCTTCTTGTATTAGTCTTATATTTATAATGTTGTTTTGAGTGATGTCCCTTGTATATATATATATATGTCATGTGACTTCCTGTTCCCGTTCCGTCATGTTAGCTGAATAAAAGATCTATATACTATCAACATGGCTCTATCGTCAGTGTATCATTAATAGAAACATCAATCTATCACATTATTTGCACAAATTTCAATTTTTAAAGTGATTTTCAGAAAAAAAATTGTAAAAAAATTTTTTTTTTAGAATTTGAAAATGTAATCTACAAGAATTGTTACCAACATGTATTTCTATAATCCTTCAAGATTTTATTGAATTTGCATAAGCCATCTTTGAGTTATTTCATTGTTAAAAAGGTAAATAAAAAATCATGGCAACAGCATGAACTCTTTGAGTTATAACTATATGCTAAATATTACAGCATTAGGTTCAGAAAGAAAACATTTTGGTTATTTTGGTTTTCATCCCCCACCCATGCCCTTAACATGCTGCTACATAGATAAGTCTCTAGAAGACATTTAAAAATAAAAACATTTATTATCAGATGAAAACAAGTGAATCAGCACAAGAATTTCAACAAATTAAACTGTACTATTTGAGTCAATGAGAGCTTAGAAAATTGATGTTTGATTTCTAATTTTTTATTCATTGAAAAGCTTATTATAAAAGTTATTTATGATATTGTCAAAATAATGGAGTTATACTTATAAAACAATGTAGGCCTCTACTATCTTTTATGCTTTCCAATCTGGTTATTTTTTAGTCTACATTCCTAATGATTAAAATACTTTGCTTCATAATTCAAAGACATGAAAACCAGCTCACTAACTGATGGCACTACTCATTCTGCTGTAGAATTGTTTCATCTTAAAATTTACTTTCAACGACTCATTTATCTCGTCATCTCTTCCCATTCTTGCCAAGACAAATAGGGCAGATGAAGTAGAGTTCATCTGTTTCAATGACCTTGGTATACAGTGGTTATGTGGTCAGCACTATGCCCAGCCGCCTTAGCTTGAGTCAGTGACTCATCAGAGCTGGTCAGACTCAGGGTTGTCCTGCAGATTTTGGCCCCATTTTTTAATATCTAATTAGACTACCTGTGGTTCTTGAATAACCGTGTGTTTCTGTGATCATCCATAAATGACGTCATGTTTGTTTGACCATTTTTATATCTAATTAGACTACCTGTGGTTCTTGAATAACCGTGTGTTTCTGTGATCATCCATAAATGACGTCATGTTTGTTTGACCATTTTTATATCTAATTAGACTACCTGTGGTTCTTGAATAACCATGTGTTTCTGTGATCATCCATAAATGACGTCATGTTTGTTTGACCATTTTTATATCTAATTAGACTACCTGTGGTTCTTGAATAACCGTGTGTTTCTGTGATCATCCATAAATGACGTCATGTTTGTTTGACCATTTTTATATCTAATTAGACTACCTGTGGTTCTTGAATAACCGTGTGTTTCTGTGATCATCCATAAATGACGTCATGTTTGTTTGACCATTTTTATATCTAATTAGACTACCTGTGGTTCTTGAATAACCGTGTGTTTCTGTGATCATCCATAAATGACGTCATGTTTGTTTGACCATTTTTATATCTAATTAGACTACCTGTGGTTCTTGAATAACCGTGTGTTTCTGTGATCATCCATAAATGACGTCATGTTTGTTTGACCATTTTTATATCTAATTAGACTACCTGTGGTTCTTGAATAACCGTGTGTTTCTGTGATCATCCATAAATGACGTCATGTTTGTTTGACCATTTTTATATCTAATTAGACTACCTGTGGTTCTTGAATAACCGTGTGTTTCTGTGATCATCCATAAATGACGTCATGTTTGTTTGACCATTTTTATATCTAATTAGACTACCTGTGGTTCTTGAATAACCGTGTGTTTCTGTGATCATCCATAAATGACGTCATGTTTGTTTGACCATTTTTATATCTAATTAGACTACCTGTGGTTCTTGAATAACCGTGTGTTTCTGTGATCATCCATAAATTTATGTTTGTTTGACCATTTTTATATCTAATTAGACTACCTGTGGTTCTTGAATAACCGTGTGTTTCTGTGATCATCCATAAATGACGTCATGTTTGTTTGACCATTTTTATATCTAATTAGACTACCTGTGGTTCTTGAATAACCGTGTGTTTCTGTGATCATCCATAAATTTATGTTTGTTTGACCATTTTTATATCTAATTAGACTACCTGTGGTTCTTGAATAACCGTGTGTTTCTGTGATCATCCATAAATGACGTCATGTTTGTTTGACCATTTTTATATCTAATTAGACTACCTGTGGTTCTTGAATAACCGTGTGTTTCTGTGATCATCCATAAATTTATGTTTGTTTGACCATTTTTATATCTAATTAGACTACCTGTGGTTCTTGAATAATCGTGTGTTTCTGTGATCATCCATAAATGACATCATGTTTGTTTGACCATTTTTATATCTAATTAGACTACCCGTGGTTCTTGAATAACCGTGTGTTTCTGTGATCATCCATAAATGACGTCATGTTTGTTTGACCATTTTTATCTTTCCCCTTCCCACAGTCACACATTGGGTCACATTCAAAAAGACATCACACCTCGAAAAACATATTTTCGTCTTTTAAAAACACAGATTGCGGCTGTTCATATGCTGAGGTCACAGAAACAGGTGAACTCTACTTCACCTGCACCTGGTCCCGCCAAGTCCCAATAGGCAATTTTATTATTCACATTTTTTTTTTAAATTGAAACAAAAATTAACATTGGCATGATGTGTCTTGAACTCGTACCACCCACATGGTAACTGTTACTATCATCTCAGCTAGCTGGGCACATACAATAAAGTGCACATTTATAGGGGTAATTTTCTTAGCATCATATAATATTAATAAAGTTAAATTACCTAAATATTATTTAATATTTAATTATATCCAAATTTAGCCAATTCAATTGCCAAACAAACATAGATTTATATAAAATAAGTATGGCCTGAAATGTTTAAGGAATAAAATAGTTTAATAAAAAAACTCATTTATCTATTGTGTTTTTTAATTTATATTTTGTTTCTAACTAATTAATTTTGGTTTGGCCTATCGGTAGATCTAGATCTAGGCTAGATCAAATTAATTTTATGGTCAAATTAGAAGAACTGCCCAGCGTATCCTATTGAAAATCGATAATAATGTTGGAAAGTAATAAAAATAGCAAACAGAAAGATTAGCTTTATAATGTGTTAAACTTTTGAACTAGCAACATATGGTCTCCCATGGAAGCCACGATGTTCCATTGTTTGTTGTGCAACAAATGAATCAAGTGACGTCACTATAATGTCATTGTTCTGAACTTATATAATTAAAGTGGTGTTTCTACCAATGAATATATCAATAAATTAATTAAAGTCTTTAAATGAATTAGTGATTAACAGTTTGGTAAAAAAAAGAACATTATTCTCTACATAAATATGTATTTTACAGTTCTACAAATAGTGCAGATGTTCTCATGTAACCAAACAGACAAACAAACAAAAAACAAAATAAATAAATATATACATTTTTTTGCTTTAAAAGTAGCATGTAGATTAAAAAATGAGATGTTGTGTTGAAGTGAGTAAAGAACTTAACTAAAAAATGTGACGACATATTGCTCCATTAAAAATAGGTGTAAATCTTATCACAACATATGACCACTAACCCACAGAGTTATCTAACTTTGACTATCATAATAACAATTACAATAAAATGTCTAACAAACAAGGAATGTTCAGAAAATGTAAAGAAGAAATGTTTACCAGAAATTTGATCTTTGTATAGCCATTTGAAGTTGAAATATTTTCAAACATTTTCCCATACTGATCTAAATTCACTTGACGACTTTCCCCTATAAATGTATAAAGATGAAAATAAAAAATAGACTGATAAGATAAACACTTGATATATCAGATGTATCGGTTAAAATATTTTAAAACCTTACATTTAGAATTTGATCCTGAGACATACTCAATAGTTAGGTTGATTTGCTTTGATGATGCTATATTTCCAAGCTTAGATTTTGCTTGTGCCTAAAATCAAATTTAAGTACACATTTATTTTACTATCATTTTAGGAGGTTGCTGTTTTATAAACAATTCATAATATAATTAGTAGACAGAATATTAAGGGGGAACGCCCAAGTTAAAGGAAAATATTTGCAAGCACCAGGGACTTTTATGAAAATATGGTTGACATAGTTCTAAAATTTCATAAATTAACATATATATCTGCTGTATAACCATTGATCCTTCTTTTACTAATACTAATCGAGTCATAACAGAAAACATTCTTGAAATTTTTTCTTTTTTTAATTGGCAAAATTCCATTGAAATTAATGCTAAACTTAATGTTATTTCACCATAAAATGAACTTTGAAAATTTGAAAAAAATATTTCTAGCCGTTTTTTCTGTTACAAAAATTAGCAAGCTGACCCTATTATTGTTAGTATTAGAAGGATTATAGGGCAGTTATTATGTTACTTAATGAAATTTTACAAGTGCACAAAAGGTTGTTTTTTCAAATGTAATCTCAGAAGAGTCCCTGAGTGTTGCTAGCAAATGTTTTCCCTTAAGTAAACTAACTTATACATAAACAAAAAATAAAAAAGGCTTATTTATTCCAAAGTTTTTTTCCCAGCGCCTACCCCCTTAATAATCTACAATTTCTTTAGCATGACAACCATGGTTAATTTTCTCATGGTACAAATTTACTTTTGAATGTTCATATTTTTCTTAACCTTACCAATTTGTTAATGTAGATGTACAAATTTACTTTTGAATGTTCATATTTTTCTTAAGTTTACCAATTTGTTAATGTAGATGTACAAATTTACTTTTGAATGTTCATATTTTTCTTAACCTTACCAATTTGTTAATGTAGATGTACAAATCTACTTTTGAATGTTCATATTTTTCTTAAGCTTACCAATTTGTTAATGTAGATGTACAAATTTACTTTTGAATGTTCATATTTTTCTTAAGCTTACCAATTTGTTAATGTAAATGTACAAATTTACTTTTGAATGTTCATATTTTTCTTAACCTTACCAATTTGTTAATGTAGATGTACAAATCTACTTTTGAATGTTCATATTTTTCTTAACCTTACCAATTTGTTAATGTAGATGTACAAATCTACTTTTGAATGTTCATATTTTTCTTAAGCTAACCAATTTGTTAATGTAGATGTACAAATCTACTTTTGAATGTTCATATTTTTCTTAAGCTAACCAATTTGTTAATGTAGATGTACAAATCTACTTTTGAATGTTCATATTTTTCTTAACCTTACCAATTTGTTAATGTAGATGTACAAATCTACTTTTGAATGTTCATATTTTTCTTAAGCTAACCAATTTGTTAATGTAGATGTACAAATCTACTTTTGAATGTTCATATTTTTCTTAACCTTACCAATTTGTTAATGTAGATGTACAAATTTACTTTTGAATGTTCATATTTTTCTTAAGCTTACCAATTTGTTAATGTAGATGTACAAATTTACTTTTGAATGTTCATATTTTTCTTAAGCTAACCAATTTGTTAATGTAGATGTACAAATCTACTTTTGAATGTTCATATTTTTCTTAACCTTACCAATTTGTTAATGTAGATGTACAAATTTACTTTTGAATGTTCATATTTTTCTTAAGTTTACCAATTTGTTAATGTAGATGTACAAATCTACTTTTGAATGTTCATATTTTTCTTAAGCTTACCAATTTGTTAATGTAGATGTACAAATTTACTTTTGAATGTACATATTTTTCTTAAGCTTACCAATTTGTTAATGTAGATGTACAAATCTACTTTTGAATGTTCATATTTTTCTTAAGTGACACTCGTCAACTACTGCAGGGTACTACATATGGCCACTAACTACTGCAGGGTACTACATATGGCCACTACTGCAGGGTACTACATATGGCCACTAACTACTGCAGGGTACTACATATGGCCACTACTGCAGGGTACTACATATGGCCACTAACTACTGCAGGGTACTACATATGGCCACTAACTGCTGCAGGGTACTACATATGGCCACTAACTACTGCAGGGTACTACATATGGCCACTAACTACTGCAGGGTACTACATATGGCCACTAACTACTGCAGGGTACTACATATGGCCACTAACTACTGCAGGGTACTACATATAGCCACTAACTACTGCAGGGTACTACATATGGCCACTAACTACTGCAGGATACTACATATGGCCACTAACTACTGCAGGGTACTACATATGGCCACTAACTACTGCAGGGTACTACATATGGCCACTAACTACTGCAGGGTACTACATATGGCCACTAACTACTGCAGGGTACTACATATGGCCACTAACTACTGCAGGGTACTACATATGGCCACTACTGCAGGGTACTACATATGGCCACTAACTACTGCAGGGTACTACATATGGCCACTAACTACTGCAGGGTACTACATATGGCCACTAACTACTGCAGGGTACTACATATGGCCACTAACTACTGCAGGGTACTACATATGGCCACTAACTACTGCAGGGTACTACATATGGCCACTAACTACTGCAGGGTACTACATATGGCCACTAACTACTGCAGGGTACTACATATGGCCACTAACTACTGCAGGGTACTACATATGGCCACTACTGCAGGGTACTACATATGGCCACTAACTACTGCAGGGTACTACATATGGCCACTAACTACTGCAGGGTACTACATATGGCCACTAACTACTGCAGGGTACTACATATGGCCACTAACTACTGCAGGGTACTACATATGGCCACTAACTACTGCAGGGTACTACATATGGCCACTAACTACTGCAGAGTACTACATATGGCCACTAACTACTGCAGGGTACTACATATGGCCACTAACTACTGCAGGGTACTACATATGGCCACTACTGCAGGGTACTACATATGGCCACTAACTACTGCAGGGTACTACATATGGCCACTAACTACTGCAGGGTACTACATATGGCCACTAACTACTGCAGGGTACTACATATGGCCACTAACTACTGCAGGGTACTACATATGGCCACTACTGCAGGGTACTACATATGGCCACTAACTACTGCAGGGTACTACATATGGCCACTAACTACTGCAGGGTACTACATATGGCCACTAACTACTGCAGGATACTACATATGGCCACTAACTACTGCAGGGTACTACATATGGCCACTACTGCTGGGTACTACATATGGCCACTAACTACTGCAGGGTACTACATATGGCCACTAACTACTGCAGGGTACTACATATGGCCACTAACTACTGCAGGATACTACATATGGCCACTAACTACTGCAGGGTACTACATATGGCCACTACTGCTGGGTACTACATATGGCCACTAACTACTGCAGGGTACTACATATGGCCACTAACTACTGCAGGGTACTACATATGGCCACTAACTACTGCAGGGTACTACATATGGCCACTACTGCAGGGTACTACATATGGCCACTACTGCAGGGTACTACATATGCCCCTCCCTCACCCGATAGACTGCTGAAAGTATGCCCATTTTACATAATGATAGAATTAGAGATTAGCTTCATTCAGAGCTAAACTATCTTTTACCTGGAGTGTGTAGTTCGATCCTGGCTCAGAAAAATGTTTTGACTTAGAAAAATCTATCTGGTAAAAATGGTCAGAAAACACTGAGTGATTTTTTATAATGGACAAAGTTTTGTGGGTGTAGCTCTCTGTGATGGTTACATTCACGTACAAGTTTTCCTTCTCAAGAGACTTTAAGAAAGACTGGTTAAAGATCTCCAGAGAAACGCCAACAGTATCCTGAAAATCAAAGAAAATGACATTGTCACTGTCAGCTGTAACAGGCCACCCTACAGTCAGCTGTAACAGGCCACCCTACAGTCAGCTGTAACAGGCCACCCTACAGTCAGCTGTAACAGGCCACCCTACAGTCAGCTGTAACAGGCCACCCTACAGTCAGCTGTAACAGGCCACCCTAGTCAGCTGTAACAGGCCACCCTACAGCTGTAACAGGCCACCCTACAGCTGTAACAGGCCACCCTACAGTCAGCTGTAACAGGCCACCCTACAGCTGTAACAGGCCACCCTACAGCTGTAACAGGCCACCCTACAGCTGTAACAGGCCACCCTACAGTCAGCTGTTACAGGCCACCCTACAGCTGTAACAGGTCACCCTACAGTCAGCTGTAACAGGCCACCCTACAGCTGTAACAGGCCACCCTACAGCTGTAACAGGTCACCCTACAGCTCTAACAGGTCACCCTACAGTCAGCTGTAACAGGCCACCCTACAGTCAGCTGTAACAGGCCACCCTACAGTCAGCTGTAACAGGCCACCCTACAGCTGTAACAGGCCACCCTACAGCTGTAACAGGCCACCCTACAGTCAGCTGTAACAGGCCACCCTACAGCTGTAACAGGTCACCCTACAGCTGTAACAGGCCACCCTACAGTCAGCTGTAACAGGCCACCCTAAAGCTGTAACAGGCCAGGCTACAGTCAGCTGTAACAGGCCACCCTACAGCTGTAACAAGCCACCCTACAGTCAGCTGTAACAGGCCACCCTACAGCTGTAACAGGCCACCCTACAGTCAGCTGTAACAGGCCACCCTACAGCTGTAACAGGCCACCCTACAGCTGTAACAGGCCACCCTACAGTCAGCTGTAACAGGCCACCCTACAGCTGTAACAGGCCACCCTACAGTCAGCTGTAACAGGCCACCCTACAGCTGTAACAGGTCACCCTACAGTCATCTGTAACAGGCCACCCTACAGCTGTAACAGGCCACCCTACAGCTGTAACAGGCCACCCTACAGTCAGCTGTAACAGGCCACCCTACAGCTGTAACAGGCCACCCTACAGTCAGCTGTAACAGGCCACCCTACAGTTGTAACAGGCCACCCTACAGCTGTAACAGGCCACCCTAGTCAGCTGTAACAGGCCACCCTACAGCTGTAACAGGCCACCCTACAGTCAGCTGTAACAGGCCACCCTACAGTAAGCTGTAACAGGCCACCCTACAGCTGTAACAGGCCACCCTACAGCTGTAACAGGCCACCCTACAGTCAGCTGTAACAGGCCACCCTACAGCTGTAACAGGCCACCCTACAGTCAGCTGTAACAGGCCACCCTACAGCTGTAACAGGCCACCCTACAGTCAGCTGTAACAGGCCACCCTACAGTCAGCTGTAACAGGCCACCCTACAGCTGTAACAGGCCACCGTACAGTCGGCTGTAACAGGCCACCCTACAGTAGGCTGTAACAGGCCACCCTACAGCTGTAACAGGTCACCCTACAGCTGTAACAGGCCACCCTACAGTCAGCTGTAACAGGCCACCCTACAGTTGTAACAGGCCACCCTACAGTCAGCTGTAACAGGCCACCCTACAGCTGTAACAGGCCACCCTACAGCTGTAACAGGCCACCCTACAGTCAGCTGTAACAGGCCACCCTACAGTCAGCTGTAACAGGCCACCCTACAGCTGTAACAGGCCACCCTATAGCTGTAACAGGCCACCCTACAGCTGTAACAGGTCACCCTACAGTCAGCTGTAACAGGCCACCCTACAGCTGTAACAGGCCACCCTACAGCTGTAGCAGGCCTGTACAACTAATGAGCAGTTTTAAAGTCTTTACCTCAGCACTTGAATTCTGATAGGGCAGACTGAGTCTGTCCTTTGTCCATGTTCCAACTCTTATTTGTAGCCTTGCATTCACTGGTTGACCAAAAACATTCCTGGAGGAGATCAATCTTAAGGCAATCATTGGGGCACATGGGCCTACTGGAGGAGATCAATCTTTAGGCAATCATTGGGGGACATGGGCCTACTGGAGGAGATCTATCATTGGGGACATGGGCCTACTGGAGATCTATCTTTAGGCAATCATTGGGGGACATGGGCCTACTGGAGGAGATCAATCTTTAGGCAATCATTGGGCACATGGGCCTACTGGAGGAGATCAATCTTTAGGCAATCATTGGGGCACATGGGCCTACTGGAGATCTATCTTTAGGCAATCATTGGGGCACATGGGCCTACTGGAGATCTATCTTTAGGCAATCATTGGGCACATGGGCCTACTGGAGGAGATCAATCTTTAGGCAATCATTGGGGACATGGGCCTACTGGAGGAGATCAATCTTAAGGCAATCATTGGGCACATGGGCCTACTGGAGGAGATCAATCTTAAGGCAATCATTGGGGCACATGGGCCTACTGGAGATCTATCTTAAGGCAATCATTGGGCACATGGGCCTACTGGAGGAGATCAATCTTTAGGCAATCATTGGGGGACATGGGCCTACTGGAGATCTATCTTTAGGCAATCATTGGGGACATGGGCCTACTGGAGATCTATCTTTAGGCAATCATTGGGGGACATGGGCCTACTGGAGATCTATCTTTAGGCAATCACTGGGGCACATGGGCCTACTGGAGATCTATCTTTAGGCAATCACTGGGGCACATGGGCCTACTGGAGATCTATCTTTAGGCAATCATTGGGGGACATGGGCCTACTGGAGATCTATCTTTAGGCAATCATTGGGGACATGGGCCTACTGGAGATATATCTTTAGGCAATCATTGGGGACATGGGCCTACTGGAGATCTATCTTTAGGCAATCATTGGGGCACATGGGCCTACTGGAGGAGATCAATCTTAAGGCAATCATTGGGGGACATGGGCCTACTGGAGGAGATCAATCTTAAGGCAATCATTGGGGCACATGGGCCTACTGGAGATCAATCTTAAGGCAATCATTGGGGCACATGGGCCTACTGGAGATCTATCTTTAGGCAATCATTGGGGACATGGGCCTACTGGAGATCTATCTTTAGGCAATCATTGGGGACATGGGCCTACTGGAGATCTATCTTTAGGCAATCATTGGGGGCACATGGGCCTACTGGAGATCTATCTTTAGGCAATCATTGGGGCACATGGGCCTACTGGAGATCTATCTTAAGGCAATCATTGGGGCACATGGGCCTACTGGAGGAGATCAATCTTAAGGCAATCATTGGGGCACATGGGCCTACTGGAGATCAATCTTAAGGCAATCATTGGGGCACATGGGCCTACTGGAGATCTATCTTTAGGCAATCATTGGGGCACATGGGCCTACTGGAGATCTATCTTTAGGCAATCATTGGGGACATGGGCCTACTGGAGATCTATCTTTAGGCAATCATTGGGGGACATGGGCCTACTGGAGATCTATCTTTAGGCAATCATTGGGGGACATGGGCCTACTGGAGATCTATCTTTAGGCAATCATTGGGGACATGGGCCTACTGGAGATCTATCTTTAGGCAATAATTGGGGGACATGGGCCTACTGGAGATCTATCTTTAGGCAATCATTGGGGCACATGGGCCTACTGGAGGAGATCAATCTTTAGGCAATCATTGGGGGACATGGGCCTACTGGAGATCAATCTTAAGGCAATCATTGGGGACATGGGCCTACTGGAGATCTATCTTTAGGCAATCATTGGGGCACATGGGCCTACTGGAGGAGATCAATCTTAAGGCAATCATTGGGGCACATGGGCCTACTGGAGATCTATCTTTAGGCAATCATTGGGGGACATGGGCCTACTGGAGATCTATCTTTAGGCAATCATTGGGGACATGGGCCTACTGGAGATCTATCTTTAGGCAATCATTGGGGACATGGGCCTACTGGAGATCTATCTTTAGGCAATCATTGGGGACATGGGCCTACTGGAGATCTATCTTTAGGCAATCATTGGGGACATGGGCCTACTGGAGATCTATCTTTAGGCAATCATTGGGGACATGGGCCTACTGGAGATATATCTTTAGGCAATCATTGGGGACATGGGCCTACTGGAGATCTATCTTTAGGCAATCATTGGGGCACATGGGCCTACTGGAGGAGATCAATCTTAAGGCAATCATTGGGGGACATGGGCCTACTGGAGGAGATCAATCTTAAGGCAATCATTGGGGCACATGGGCCTACTGGAGATCAATCTTAAGGCAATCATTGGGGCACATGGGCCTACTGGAGATCTATCTTTAGGCAATCATTGGGGACATGGGCCTACTGGAGATCTATCTTTAGGCAATCATTGGGGACATGGGCCTACTGGAGATCTATCTTTAGGCAATCATTGGGGGCACATGGGCCTACTGGAGATCTATCTTTAGGCAATCATTGGGGCACATGGGCCTACTGGAGATCTATCTTAAGGCAATCATTGGGGGACATGGGCCTACTGGAGGAGATCAATCTTTAGGCAATCATTGGGGCACATGGGCCTACTGGAGGAGATCAATCTTTAGGCAATCATTGGGGCACATGGGCCTACTGGAGGAGATCAATCTTTAGGCAATCATTGGGGACATGGGCCTACTGGAGATCTATCTTTAGGCAATCATTGGGGCACATGGGCCTACTGGAGATCAATCTTAAGGCAATCATTGGGGGACATGGGCCTACTGGAGATCTATCTTTAGGCAATCATTGGGGCACATGGGCCTACTGGAGATCTATCTTTAGGCAATCATTGGGGCACATGGGCCTACTGGAGATCTATCTTTAGGCAATCATTGGGGCACATGGGCCTACTGGAGATCTATCTTTAGGCAATCATTGGGGACATGGGCCTACTGGAGATCTATCTTTAGGCAATCATTGGGGCACATGGGCCTACTGGAGATCTATCTTTAGGCAATCATTGGGGCACATGGGCCTACTGGAGGAGATCAATCTTAAGGCAATCATTGGGGCACATGGGCCTACTGGAGGAGATCAATCTTAAGGCAATCATTGGGGCACATGGGCCTACTGGAGGAGATCAATCTTAAGGCAATCATTGGGGGACATGGGCCTACTGGAGGAGATCAATCTTAAGGCAATCATTGGGGACATGGGCCTACTGGAGATCTATCTTTAGGCAATCATTGGGGGACATGGGCCTACACTCATTCAAGACAGACACAGAGATACATCTCTCAGGATAACCTCTACAATGTTTGCAACTAATTTTGAAGTCTAGAATAGTTTGAGTCCATAAATAGATAAGAACTATAGATGTGGTTGACAGAAAATCCAGCAACTCTGTTTCTACCCTGCTCCAACAAACACATCCATTCCATCCAAATCTACTTCTATTTACATTAGGGGTAAGAAACTGAGAACTTAGGTCAGAAGTGACATCATGCAAGCCTGCTTTGATTTTAAAAAAAGGATGGCTATCCAATGTGGTCATTTTTTCTCTTGCAATGTTTAATGCCTTACAATGAATTATTAGCTTTTGGCTTTAGCTTTAATGATATAACTTGTTTTTTGTTCTATAAGGTAACATTGGGATTTTACTTTATGATTACGGAGAGTATACTAAATAATACAAACTATTGTTCACCAATGGTTATGAGAGTTCCTAGCTAAGATGAAGGTGCGTTAGCTAATCACTTGGGCGGCATAGGTACAGAACCTGTCACTGTCAGTTTTTTTGTTTTAATGTTCTCCCCCAGAAAGTGGATAGAGGGAAATCTCAAAGCACGCTAATGGCTCTAAATCATTGCTATTTTTTGACATTTGGATTAATAATTTATTTATTTATTATTCAAATGAGGTTCACGCCAGAAAGAAACTGCCTCATAATTATTATGAGTGTGGTTCAGATTTAGTGAATCACGGGTTTTGTTTTAAAAATTTGTTTCCCAATCAAACAATTACAAATGGGCTGTGCTAAAGGCAAGCCAGATTTAAACTGTCATGGAGAGGCTAGCTTGCCTGTGCTAAAGGGAAGCCAGATTTAAACTGTCATGGAGAGGCTAGCTTGCCTGTGCTAAAGGGAAGCCAGATTTAAACTGTCATGGAGAGGCTAGCTTGCCTGTGCTAAAGGGAAGCCAGATTTAAACTGTCATGGAGAGGCTAGCTTGCCTGTGCTAAAGGGAAGCCAGATTTAAACTGTCATGGAGAGGCTAGCTTGCCTGTGCTAAAGGCAAGCCAGATTTAAACTGTCATGGAGACGTTAGCTTGCCTGCCCCACACCCTACAGTGATGGGGGGATGTCCACACCTAAACAACACATACACAAGGGGCACCACCAACTACATACTAAATATATGAGTGACCTTTGAACTTACTTGGCCATGGCATTCAGGGTTATGTTGTTTGTATCAGGTGTAACAATGTCAGGTTTTATTGTCAGACTGGCGAAAATACTGGGCAAATCTGCCAACATGAAAATACAACAATTGTACAAGTGTCATTGAAACAAGGCAAATCTGCCAACATGAAAAAGGTAAATGTAGGTGTAGCACAGGGGCCTGTAAAGGTAGGTGTAGCACAGGGGCCTGTAAAGGTAGGTGTAGCACAGGGGTCTGTAAAGGTAGGTGTAGCACAGGGGTCTGTAAAGGTAGGTGTAGCACAGGGGCCTGTAAAGGTAGGTGTAGCACAGGGGTCTGTAAAGGTAGGTGTAGCACAGGGGTCTGTAAAGGTAGGTGTAGCACAGGGGCCTGTAAAGGTAGGTGTAGCACAGGGGCCTGTAAAGGTAGGTGTAGCACAGGGGTCTGTAAAGGTAGGTGTAGCACAGGGGCCTGTAAATGTAGGTGTAGCACAGGGGCCTGTAAAGGTAGGTGTAGCACAGGGGTCTGTAAAGGTAGGTGTCTGCTTGTTTTATATGAATGTGCTTATTTGATTTTTTTATGATTTTTCACTTAACTGTATCTGTTTTCAGATTGCCATGTCTAAATGGGTGTTTTGTCCTTTTTATTTTCCTAAGATTTGTGTAGTGATAGTTTTTTCAAATAATTTGATTGTAGAGTTTTTACATCTTACAAATATCTTGGTTCTACCTTCTTGTAATCAAGTTTAAGATTAGAAGTTAATTAGCATATATATATAACAATTTCAGTAGGGGGGGGGGAGAGGATGAATCTTCAGGGAGTAATTGACAGGGGGTAATCTTCAACTCCCTTGTGTGTGTGTGTGTGCATGTGTGTGTTTGTGTACAAAACAGGTGTGTGTGACCCAGGTAACTTACCATATTCAGTGACTTCAAAGCTAACAGAATGCTCAGAGTTGCTTTTATTTTCCTACAAGATGTAGAACAAAATGTAGAACAAAATGTAGAACAAAATGTAGAACAAAATGTAGAACAAAATGTAGAACAAAATGTAGAACAAAATGTAGAACAAAATGTAGAACAAAATGTAGAACAAAATGTAGAACAAAATGTAGAACAAAATGTAGAACAAAATGTAGAACAAAATGTAGAACAAAATGTAGAACAAAATGTAGAACAAAATGTAGAACAAAATGTAGAACAAAATGTAGAACAAAATGTAGAACAAAATGTAGAACAAAATGTAGAACAAAATGTAGAACAAAATGTAGAACAAAATGTAGAACAAAATGTAGAACAAAATGTAGAACAAAATGTAGAACAAAATGTAGAACAAAATGTTTAACAAAATGTAGAACAAAATGTGAAACAAAATGTAGAACAAAATGTAGAACAAAATGTAGAACAAAATGTAGAACAAAATGTAGAACAAAATATGGGTCATTTTAAAATCATGTCACACACCTGTGTGATGAGTTGGGTTTGCCAGAGGTGCCAATAGACGTTGGTGCCAGATGTGAAGCGGAATGAAATGTGTTTTGTCATGATCGTTTGTCCCAATGTGAAGTGGAATGAAAGGTGTTTTGTCATGATCGTTTGTCCCGATGTGAAGTGGAATGAAAGGTGTTTTGTCATGATCTTTTGTCCCAATGTGAAGTAGAATGAAAGGTGTTTTGTCATGATCGTTTGTCCTGATGTGAAGTGGAATGAAAGGTGTTTTGTCATGATCGTTTGTCCCAATGTGAAGTGGAATGAAAGGTGTTTTGTCATGATCGTTTGTCCCAATGTGAAGTGGAATGAAAGGTGTTTTGTCATGATCGTTTGTCCCAATGTGAAGTGGAATGAAAGGTGTTTTGTCATGATCGTTTGTCCCGATGTGAAGTGGAATGAAAGGTGTTTTGTCATGATCGTTTGTCCTGATGTGAAGTGGAATGAAAGGTGTTTTGTCATGATCGTTTGTCCCAATGTGAAGTGGAATGAAAGGTGTTTTGTCATGATCGTTTGTCCTGATGTGAAGTGGAATGAAAGGTGTTTTGTCATGATCGTTTGTCCTGATGTGAAGTGGAATGAAAGGTGTTTTGTCATGATCGTTTGTCCTGATGTGAAGTGGAATGAAAGGTGTTTTGTCATGATCGTTTGTCCCAATGTGAAGTGGAATGAAAGGTGTTTTGTCATGATCGTTTGTCCCAATTTGAAGTGGAATGAAAGGTGTTTTGTCATGATCGTTTGTCCCAATGTGAAGTGGAATGAAAGGTGTTTTGTCATGATCGTTTGTCCTGATGTGAAGTGGAATGAAAGGTGTTTTGTCATGATCGTTTGTCCTGATGTGAAGTGGAATGAAAGGTGTTTTGTCATGATCGTTTGTCCCAATGTGAAGTGGAATGAAAGGTGTTTTGTCATGATCGTTTGTCCCAATGTGAAGTAGAATGAAAGGTGTTTTGTCATGATCGTTTGTCCCAATGTGAAGTGGAATGAAAGGTGTTTTGTCATGATCGTTTGTCCCAATGTGGAGGAACAGGGCTGTCAAAATGTCATCTTTGGGTTGTAGTGAAACAGGGCTGTCAAAATGACATCTTTGGGTTGTAGAGGAACAGGGCTGTCAAAATGTCATCTTTGGGTTGTAGTGAAACAGGGCTGTCAAAATGACATCTTTGGGTTGTAGAGGAACAGGGCTGTCAAAATGTCATCTTTGGGTTGTAGAGGAACAGGGCTGTCAAAATGTCATCTTTGGGTTGTAGAGGAACAGGGCTGTCAAAATGTCATCTTTGGGTTGTAGTGAAACAGGGCTGTCAAAATGACATCTTTGGGTTGTAGAGGAACAGGGCTGTCAAAATGTCGTCTTTGGGTTGTAGTGGAACAGGGCTGTCAAAATGACATCTTTGGGTTGTAGAGGAACAGGGCTGTCAAAATGTCATCTTTGGGTTGTAGTGAAACAGGGCTGTCAAAATGACATCTTTGGGTTGTAGAGGAACAGGGCTGTCAAAATGTCATCTTTGGGTTGTAGAGGAACAGGGCTGTCAAAATGTCATCTTTGAGTTGTAGAGGAACAGGGCTGTCAAAATGTCATCTTTGGGTTGTAGTGAAACAGGGCTGTCAAAATGTCATCTTTGGGTTGTAGAGGAACAGGGCTGTCAAAATGTCATCTTTGGGTTGTAGTGAAACAGGGCTGTCAAAATGACATCTTTGGGTTGTAGAGGAACAGGGCTGTCAAAATGTCGTCTTTGGGTTGTAGTGGAACAGGGCTGTCAAAATGTCGTCTTCGGGTTGTAGTGAAACAGGGCTGTCAAAATGACATCTTTGGGTTGTAGAGGAACAGGGCTGTCAAAATGTCGTCTTTGGGTTGTAGTGGAACAGGGCTGTCAAAATGACATCTTTGGGTTGTAGAGGAACAGGGCTGTCAAAATGTCATCTTTGGGTTGTAGAGGAACAGGGCTGTCAAAATGTCATCTTTGGGTTGTAGTGAAACAGGGCTGTCAAAATGACATCTTTGGGTTGTAGAGGAACAGGGCTGTCAAAATGTCGTCTTTGGGTTGTAGTGGAACAGGGCTGTCAAAATGTCGTCTTCGGGTTGTAGTGAAACAGGGCTGTCAAAATGACATCTTTGGGTTGTAGAGGAACAGGGCTGTCAAAATGTCGTCTTTGGGTTGTAGTGGAACAGGGCTGTCAAAATGACATCTTTGGGTTGTAGTGGAACAGGGCTGTCAAAATGACGTCTTTGGGTTGTAGAGGAACAGGGCTGTCAAAATGTCATCTTTGGGTTGTAGAGGAACAGGGCTGTCAAAATGTCATCTTTGGGTTGTAGTGGAACAGGGCTGTCAAAATGTCGTCTTTGGGTTGTAGTGGAACAGGGCTGTCAAAATGACGTCTTTGGGTTGTAGTGGAACAGGACTGTCAAAATGTCACCTAGCATAGGTTTGCCAACACATACAAGTTGAAGAATTGAAACAACAGACCAGCATCTGGTAGACAGCAGAAATGTTCCAGACTCCATGCACCGCCGGGCTAGGCAGGTCAAAGTCCTGAGTCCCTGCCACATTTATGTGCTGGTGATAAACTTTGCCACGGCTGTCCTGATAGAGGACAAAACATGGCATGTCACAAAATGTGATGACAAAACATGGCATGTCACAAAATCTGATGACAAAACATGGCATGTCACAAAATCTGATGACAAAACATGGCATGTCACAAAATGTGACACTAAAAAATTGTCTTGTCACAAAATGTGATCTTACATTAACCTTGAGGATATTAAGATTTAAAAAAAAAAACATGACAACAAACAGTAATTTTAGAATAGGATGTAAAAAAACTTTGATGTTGTTTAAAAAAGCTACCTTTATCTTCACAACAACTGGCTTATTAGACAACCTCTGCTCTTCATCCACAGCAAACACTCTATATTTGACTGAAAGAGTTCAATGCATATAGGCTCTACCAATGATATCACCACCTCACCTGCCTCACCACACCACCTCACTTGTCTCACCACACCACACCACCTCACCACACCACCCCACCTGTCTCACCACACCACCCCACCTGTCTCACCACACCACCTCACCGCACCACCCCACCTGTCTCACCACGCCACCTCACCTGTCTCACCACACCACCTCACCTGCCTCACCACACAACCTCACCTGTCTCACCACACCACCCCACCTGTCTCACCACGCCACCTCACCTGTCTCACCATACCACACCACCTGTCTCACCATACAGCCTCACCTGTCTCACCACACCACCCCACCTGTCTCACCACGCCACCCCACCTGTCTCACCACACCACCCCACCTGTCTCACCATGCCACCCCACCTGTCTCACCACACCACACCACCCCACCTGTCTCACCATACAGCCTCACCTGTCTCACCACACCAGCTCACCACACCACCACACCTGTCTCACCATACAGCCTCACCTGTCTCACCACACCACCTGTCTCACCACACCACCCCACCTGTCTCACCACACCACCCCACCTGTCTCACCACACCACCACACCTGTCTCACCACACCACCCCACCTGTCTCACCACACCACCTCACCTGTCTCACCACACCACCTCACCTCACCACCCCACCTCACCTCACCACCCCACCTGTCTCACCACACCACCCCACCTGTCTCACCACACCACCTCACCTGTCTCACCACACCACCCCACCTGTCTCACCACACCACCCCACCTGTCTCACCACACCACCCCACCTGTCTCACCACACCACCCCACCTGTCTCACCACACCACCTCACCTGTCTCACCACAGCACCTCACCACATTACCTCACCTGTCTCACCACACCACCTCACCTGTCTCACCACACCACCTCACCTCACCACCCCACCTGTCTCACCACACCACCCCACCTGTCTCACCACACCACCCCACCTGTCTCACCACGCCACCCCACCTGTCTCACCACACCACCCCACCTGTCTCACCATGCCACCCCACCTGTCTCACCACACCACACCACCCCACCTGTCTCACCATACAGCCTCACCTGTCTCACCACACCAGCTCACCACACCACCACACCTGTCTCACCATACAGCCTCACCTGTCTCACCACACCACCCCACCTGTCTCACCACACCACCCCACCTGTCTCACCACACCACCCCACCTGTCTCACCACACCACCCCACCTGTCTCACCACACCACCCCACCTGTCTCACCACACCACCTCACCTGTCTCACCACACCACCTCACCTCACCACCTCACCTGTCTCACCACACCACCCCACCTGTCTCACCACACCACCTCACCTGTCTCACCACACCACCCCACCTGTCTCACCACACCACCCCACCTGTCTCACCACACCACCCCACCTGTCTCACCACACCACCCCACCTGTCTCACCACACCACCCCACCTGTCTCACCACACCACCCCACCTGTCTCACCACACCACCCCACCTGTCTCACCACACCACCTCACCTGTCTCACCACAGCACCTCACCACATTACCTCACCTGTCTCACCACACCACCTCACCTGTCTCACCACACCACCTCACCTCACCACCCCACCTGTCTCACCACACCACCCCACCTGTCTCACCACACCACCTCACCTGTCTCACCACACCACCCCACCTGTCTCACCACACCACCCCACCTGTCTCACCACACCACCCCACCTGTCTCACCACACCACCCCACCTGTCTCACCACACCACCCCACCTGTCTCACCACACCACCCCACCTGTCTCACCACACCACCTCACCTGTCTCACCACACCACCTCACCTGTCTCACCACACCACCTCACCACATTACCTCACCTGTCTCACCACACCAGCTTACCTGTCTCCCCTGGTCTATAAACTGGTTTGTCAGTCTTGATAAAAATGTGCCCCAGTGACTGATGAAAGACAAGCTCCAGACTCCTGGAAGAATTATTGATGGTCATCCTCAGGTTGACCTTGTCAACAGTACAGTTGTATGTCATCTCACAAGTGAAGTGCATTGTCCAGTTCTGTACATCATCTACGGCACAGACATGCATATTATCAGCAGACAAAACCAACACAACTTTACTGAAGGATGGCTCTCATATTTACAGAAGACAAAACACAACTTTACTAATTAAAGTACTGTCACTGATCTCTAATTAAAGTAGTTACTGACCTCTAATTAAAGTAGTTACTGACCTCTAATTAAAATAGTTACTGACCTCTAATTAAAATAGTTACTGACCTCTAATTAAAGTAGTTACTGACCTCTAATTAAAGTAGTTACTGACCTCTAATTAAAGTAGTTACTGACCTCTAATTTAAACACTGTTACTGACCTCTGTTAAACACAAGGGTAGAGTTGCACTGGCCCCCTGCCCAAGAATATTCCAGATAAACTTCCTCAGCTACATTAGCCTTAAACTCAAAGGCTGTCACCACAGCAGTATAATTGGTCTCGTAGTATGGCTGTCTAGGGACAGTCAACATATAGATTGTCCTGTGGACAAATTATAGAGGATAGTATGGCTCTCTAGGGACAGTCAACACATAGATTGTCCTGTGGACAAATTATAGAGGATAGTATGGCTGTCTAGGGACAGTCAACACATAGATTGTCCTGTGGACAAATTATAGAGGATAGTATGGCTCTCTAGGGACAGTCAACACATAGATTGTCCTGTGGACAAATTATAGAGGATAGTATGGCTCTCTAGGGACAGTCAACACATAGATTGTCCTGTGGACAAATTATAGAGGATAGTATGGCTCTCTAGGGACAGTCAACACATAGATTGTCCTGTGGACAAATTATAGAGGATAGTATGGCTCTCTAGGGACAGTCAACACATAGATTGTCCTGTGGACAAATTATAGAGGATAGTATGGCTCTCTAGGGACAGTCAACACATAGATTGTCCTGTGGACAAATTATAGAGGATAGTATGGCTCTCTAGGGACAGTCAACACATAGATTGTCCTGTGGACAAATTATAGAGGATGCACAGATGGGTGACTATACAATCACCCCCACCTATCAACCTTATCTAGGTACCTCCCCATCCATTTATGACCTACACACTTAGGGGAGGGGGGTGGGTCCAAAAATAAATCGACTTTTGCAACGCGTTTGGACTGGGGGTTGGGATGTGTTCGGGTTCACTTGGCAGTCAACATTAAATTTAACATGAAATTGCTTACAATTTAAAATAGCCAATTTAAAACCGAGTCTGCTGGAAATGTGTGGTTGCAGCCCTTTGCTCCCCAGGGACTACAAACGAATGATGATGATGATAAAAAGGTAAAATTATGACGGCCGTGTAAATAAAGCACTGGATTTATACCTACACTGTGGTCATCTATAAGTAATGTCGACATGTTTAACGACTTTTACCTCCCCTCCCTCCCAAAAGTCAATAATCTTCACTAAAAACAAGGACCCAACACCCAAAATGATGTCACACCTCGGCCTACCACAACTCTCAAAACTAAAAAAACAGCACATTTTTTCTAAAATATTTACTGAGCATGGACAGCATTGAGTAGGCCCCCATTGGTTTTCATTGAAGTTTTTAAGCAAATTAACTACGTGAAGGTATGGATTTATTTCTGTTCCTAACATTATTGCAAAGTGTGTTGTCACACTTTCTGAAATCCCCCTCAAGCCCCTCCAGGGTGACATCATTTATTGACGAACCCTAATTTTAAAAATAGCACCTCTTTGGAAAGCGAGCGATTAGTAAACAGAAATAGAAGCAATGAACCCAAGGAGGCCTTGCGACTTATTAATCTCACAAATGCTAATATTAATCATTAAAATACATTCAACGAGTCAACAAGTGAAGAAAATAATACTGTTACAAGAATAGAGAATTGTAATGTGTGTTAGCACCCTCCCCCCCCCCCCCCCCCCCACACACACAAAGGGTTTAATACTTTGCATTGTTTTTTTTAGTTGGTAATGGGGAAAATCTTTGACATTTTTTTATATTTATACTTTGACGTTTAAAACAATTTTCTCTAGACAAGCTACATTCTACTTTTAATATTTAGGCCTAAAAGTAAACATTATTAAAAATATTAAAGCTGCGTATCAGTAAATAAGAACACAATACATGTTACTATTGTTACTGAAATTGTAAATTGGTAATAAGTTTTGAGAGGTCTATTATTAGTTATTACTATTAAATTTTTGTGGATTAGTGTGGATGAGGGGGGGGGGGGGGTGGGTCTGAAATTCTAATTTTTTCTGGACGTCATGAACGGATGACCCCAAGGGCTTATATAATATAATAAAATTAATATAAGATGTCTTTTACTTTCTTGGTAGATCTAGATTAGTTTAGATTTTAGATCTAGATTCTAGATCTAACTAGATCTAGTAGTAGCAGCTAGGATCTAGCTAGTAGATCAAGAATCTAGATATGAGTTAATGAAATGAGTTAGGCTAACAGTTACAATATGATAATGATAATGGTAAGAAGTCTAGATCTAGGATCTAGGCCTATTCTATTCTAGATAATAATAATACACAAGATCTAGATCTAGATCTAGTAGATCTAGATCTAGATTTCTAGACTCTAGTCTAGTGATCTAGAATCTAGACTCTAGATCTAGATCTCTAGTCACTCTAGACTCTAGATCTAGATCTGTTCTATACACTAGATCTAGATCTAGATCTAGTAGATCTAGATTTCTAGATCTAGTCTAGATCTAAATGTAAAGTTACAAAATATTATCTAGATTATATTTCTAGGTCTAGAATAGTCTAGATCTCTAGATCTAGATCTAAATCTAGATCCTATGCCTAAGCTTTTTCATATTTGTTACCCGAAACTCATGTCCAAACTTGCCAGAAAAAGAACAGCGTGTAAGGTGAATCTGGAGATCATTCTCATTGTCTTGAACATTTTCTTTTACAATTTTTGCTGCGTCACACACGTCTCTATCAAAATGAAAAGAAAAATAATGGTAGGCCTAGTATATTGTGTTCAAAATAAAGAATCTGCTATGCTTAATAAATTAACAAAATAGTGAAAATACTATGGTGTTTTTTGTAGGCCCACGTAATGTCAGTGTAATGTCAGCATAACCTATGTTAACACTGACATTCCCTCTTATCAAAGTTGGACGAGTGCTCATCCAATTAATAGTTAGGCCTAGATCTTAAACCAAAATTAATATATTTGGGTAAACGCCACCGGTGTTTGACAAATAAATTAGCTTTGAAATGCTTGTCTGACGAGTTTCAAAATCAGCTCTTGGAATTAGATCTAGATCTAGATCTATGTTCGATGTTCGATCTAGATAAAGATCTAGAACTAGAACTCATTTTCTAGATTCTACAACTTGTCCTAATTTTTTTATTTTTTCTTGTTTATTTATATTAATAAAAGAACATCGAATGCTGACACAATTTGACTTTGACACACGACTTTTAATGAAATGTGACTAGATCTAGATTGATCTAGATCTAGGTTAGAATATTATATGTACGCCGAATTGTAACATAGGCCACTTAGGAATTCATCATTTTAGTAGGCCTATTATTAATAAAACAAAAATATTAATAAAGGTCTAAATTAATTTTAAAACAGAAACCGAAAAAACACATTTGATCATCAATCCCATAGAGCCAAATGCTAGATCTAGCTCCTTTGCTACAGACAATATTGGAAAATCCCAATCGGTCAAAAAGAAACCTGACTAGCAAGAAAACATTTGTAGCTACCAAAATAGGAGTCATAAATTAAATAAACGAGTCGAAACGACCCCCCCCCCCCTTTCACATGGTCACAATAAAAGTCAGACCCCTTTTCTAAATGAACAATTTTTGTTTCAGAAAATAACGATTTCCTTGGAAATATTAATTTAGCTCGATCAACATTTTATGGAAGACCCCCCTTAGGCCTTCATTTCGCATTTAGGCCTACATTTCGCATTTAAGACTTCATTTCGAAAGTTTTCGTCTTAAGGGGGGGGGGGGTCCAATTTTTACCCGGGGACAAACTTTCGATTTGCACCCCCCCCCCTCAAACTTTCGATCTGCACCCCCCCCCCCTCAAACTTTCGATTTGCACCCCCCCCCCCTCAAACTTTCGATTTGCACCCCCCTCCCTCAAACTTTCGATTTGCACCCCCCCCCCCTCAAACTTTTGATTTGCACCCCTTGTGACGGTAATGTTATTCTACCACCATCCTGTGCTCCGCCTCTTCCTCCCCTCTCTACCCCCCCCCCCCCCCCCGTTAGACTGTTCAGTCGCTAGATCTACATTGTGACTCATCCCAGGCCGAAAAGGCTTATGGGACAGGCCGTCGCTGGTGTGATAAAAGGGCCGGTAACCGATTAACTCGGTCTTTTTTACCCTGACCACTGCCCTTGCTCAGCGCACCTGCACGCTAACCCTCACCCTGGGTATAAGCGTCCAAGAAATTAGCAGTTATCGCTTCTTAACAGAAGGTATTTGATTATTTTTAAAAAACTAGAAATCTATAATACCCACGTTAAGTGTCATATGTTTTATTGTTTGCATTTGATGTAATTTTACTATTATCTATATTGTTGTAATTTTCCCTCAACTTGAGTTGTATTTAATGAGAACCTCTCATTACTATATCCCACAACCAGAGTTTCTTCCAGGCATCTCTTCGGGGGGGGGGGGGGGGGGGCTATGCCCCCCCCCCCCCCCGAAATTTTTTTACCGCTCCCCCCCCCCCCCGAACGAAATGAAATTTAAATAATTTATATAAAAATATATATACTTTTAACAGTGTCCGCCCCCCCCCCCCCGAAGAAATTTTACCGCCCCCCCCCCCCGAAGATTTCAAGTGCCCCCCCCCCCGGAGAAAAAAGTCTGGAAGAAACACTGCCCACAACATTGTTCTATCCTACACATGTAACTCTAGTTATGTTGTTTATGTTAGCAATATTTAGTAGGCCATGCCTTCTATTTACAGCGTCCTAGGTCGGGGACCAATCATTCAACTCACAACTGCTATTTTAACAGACAAGGCGAGCGCAAGTGTACGCGCTGGAAGTCTAAAGTTATTAAGTTATGTAAACTCTATATGTGTAATGAAAGTTTATAATTAAGACATCACATACGCAAAACAAAGTTTATAATAAATTTATTAATAACCTTCTAGGTTATTAGCGTTATTATTTTAATATCAGTAACTGTTGTACTATATGTCTATATTCCCGGTAGAGAAGCGGCACAGACCCTCCTACCGGTTGAATTTACAGGTTTTACTACTATCACGGTACAAATATACAGTTTTACCGTTAACACCCCCCCCCTCAAACTTTCGATTTGCACCCCCCTCATACTTTTTATATATATACCGAGGGGTCTATGGGGGGGGGGGTGTTATGACCCCCTAACCCCCCTGCCTACGCCACTGCTTTTGTTACAGTTAGTATAATTTCAGCCAGGGGATTGAGAGGGACCCTCCACGCCCAGGGGATTGAGAGGGACCTTCCACGCCCAGGGGATTGAGAGGGACCCTCCACGCCCAGGGGATTGAGAGGGACCCTCCACGCCCAGGGGATTGAGAGGGACCCTCCACGCCCAGGGGATTGAGAGGGACCCTCCACGCCCAGGGGATTGAGAGGGACCTTCCACGCCCAGGGGATTGAGAGGGACCCTCCACGCCCAGGGGATTGAGAGGGACCCTCCACGCCCAGGGGATTGAGAGGGACCTTCCACGCCCAGGGGATTGAGAGGGACCCTCCACGCCCAGGGGATTGAGAGGGACCCTCCACGCCCAGGGAATTGAGAGGGACCCTCCACGCCCTTCTGGGCCAGTGGAACTAGGACTTCTTCTTCTTCTTCGTTCTTAATTTTTAATGTTGGAAGGGATCGAGCCTTACCTGCCAGAGGGTTTGAACTCGAGACTTTTTTCGAATTTATCAACCATGAGCTCGACCACACCTCCATCACAATTAAGGATACCTGTCAACTCGTTATGCGCCACTCATTGACTCCGATTTCAGCCTGCTTTTCTTTTTGGATTTGCTTCCATAGCCTTTGTCCGAACAAGAACAAACTACAAGGCAACAGTTGTTTGATTTTGGAGTTGTCTCTCCTAGAAGAGTGGCTGTCACCAGCTAACGAGCCTCATCTGCCCGAGGGTTCGAACTCGAGACTTTTCGGTTTAGCAAACATGAGCTTTACCGACTCTACCACAACGACCCGAACTAGGACAACGGGGCTAACCCCCCACCCCCACCCCCACCCCCACCCCCACCCTTCGCATTTACCGTATGGCTGCACTACCCTCCCACTACCCGCTGCACTAACTACCCTACCACTACCCGCTGCACTAACTACCCTACCACTACCGCTGCACTAACTACCCTACCACTACCCGCTGCACTAACTACCCTACCACTACCCGCTGCACTAACTACCCTACCACTACCCGCTGCACTAACTACCCTACCACTACCCGCTGCACTAACTACCCTACCACTACCCGCTGCACTAACTACCCTACCACTACCCGCTGCACTAACTACCCTACCACTACCCGCTGCACTAACTACCCTACCACTACCCGCTGCACTAACTACCCTACCACTACCCGCTGCACTAACTACCCTACCACTACCCGCTGCACTAACTACCCTACCACTACCCGCTGCACTAGCTACCCTACCACTACCCGCTGCACTAACTACCCTACCACTACCTGCTGCACTAACTACCCTACCATCTGATTTTGTTTTCAAACGGTGCTAAAAGCGGGAACAAGCCTTTCAGTTTCCTGGAAATCTCATTGACCTTGACCTAGTTGGCGCAGGTTTCGCTGCAGTCTGTACTATAAATAGATCGAAAGTTTGGGTTTCTTCTTCTTGTCACGTGACATTCAGTTAAGTGTCTGTGTGTGTGTGTGTGTGTGTTTGTTTGTGCTAGACTTTCACAAGGAAAGACAAGGGTGGTGGGGGGGGGGCTCAGTCAGGTTGTTTAGGGGTCCAAAATCTGACAAAAACAACATAGTAACAATTAACTAGTGCTTTTATAAAAAAAAAAATTAAAAAATTATTACAGCAGTGATTGTTCTACACCAGTGGTTCCCAACCTTTTTCGAGTGGCGACCCCCTTTTATAAAAAGTAAGTGACCCGCGACCCCCATAGAATTAAAAAGCCGAAATTAGTATGGGGATTAATAAGCACTAAAATGAGATTTTCTAGTAGACTTTCAATATGAACTACTCTTGATAACTATTTTAATAGCATGAGTAAAATTGCATACTATTCACTAAACCTTCGTGGTTAAGTTTTTAATTAAAAAATTTTGTTGTTAACGCCAACCTATGTCGTTATAATTATCTTAATATTGTTTTTAATCAGAGAATAGTGTTGAAAATATATTCTCGAAAAGTCAATCAATTTTACGTTTTGATATGAATGATGAATACTACACCAACATTGTGTCTGCAGTTTTTCATCTTACTCGGAATCATTCTGCAAATCAAAGAATTCATCTTGTAATTCATCGTGAATGCTGGCAACATCAAGGGAAGAAGAGAATGGGTTATGCGTAAATGCAGATTCTTCTTTTTTTCAGCTCAGAGAAATAGCGATGCAGTTCGTTTTCAAGAGATTCATGATGCCCAGAAATCGCTTCTTTCAAAAATTGTATTATCTCACAATCAGATTCATCTACCACACCGCAGAGTTTCTCAAATTTACAATATTTCCAAGATTTGTTTTCTTTACCGATTTTGCAGCTTTGATAAAAATGCCCCGAGATTATCATGGAAAGTTATATTCTTTCATTTTTCCCTGAAGCTTCGGGTTAAGTTTATCTTGATGTTCGAACATATCTGCTAGGTATGATACTCTCTCCAACCACTCTATGTCGTATTAAGTATTCCAAAAAGTCTTGTTTCTTTTGCACCTCCAAGAACAATTTGATTTCAGATTTCAATTCAAAAACACAATTTACAACATTTCGTTTGACAGCCAGCGTACTGTAGTGTAGAAGAGCAGAATCTCGTGATCTATATCAATGTTTTTGCTCGGTTCTTTGAAGCTCCAGATTTTATATAATTTACGACTTATACTAGCAATGGACTCTTGATGTCGATTGGTTAGGGCAGTGGTTAGGAAGCTAAATCTTTTCTGTTTTCTGAAAGCCCGATTTTGAGCTAAACATAGATGGCGCACCATCCGTACAAACCCCCACAGCCGTTTTAACCCATTTTAATCATCCAGTTACAAAAAAGGTATTTATTTTCTCCCTGCTATCTTCACAAAAGAGCAACTCTTCTTTGCTATCATCCGCATGAATATAGACACAGACCAGCAACTGCGAGCAGAATTCACGTCTGTTGATTTATCAACTTGAAAAGCAAAGAATGGTGAAAGCTTAATTTTGATAAAAATGTGTTATTTAACATTTACGTACATGCAGCGTTTGATGAGATTTTCTCCTATTGTTTTTTTTTCTTGGCATTTTCTATCGCGACATCATTTGATGCTTGCACTAATTCTGGTGAAAACTTCCTGTTCGATCAAGTCTCTGGCGTTTGCAACTAGCTTCTTACCGACGAAAGAACTCCATATATTTTTTGGTGTGTTCCGAATGACTCGTCTCAAATGACGTTTTAGTTTTGAAGATTTCATAGATTCGTGACTGAGAACAACTTTGTACAGTGCGCTTTGTTTCTTCTCTATTACATTTCCAGTGATGTTAATGAAGCCGAATTAAAAAAATTCTTCTAAATATTTATGTTTCAAATTACTAAGGTTTAGTATACCAGTTGGCGACCCCCCAGAAAGACCTTCGCGACCCCCAGGTTGGGAACCCGTGTTCTACACTACAGCAAATAATACAGGCTGTTGCGAAGAAAAAAATATATGAGCCTTAAAGTGAAATATAGGCAAACGTTCAACCACTTCCATGACTTATTGTGCAACTAGCCGTAGGACAACCAATCAAACAACTAGCCGTAGGACAACCAATCAAACAACTAGCCGTAGGACAACCAATCAAACAACTAGCCGTAGGACAACCAATCAAACAACTAGCCGTAGGACAACCAATCAAACAACTAGCCGTAGGACAACCAATCAAACAACTAGCCGTAGGACAACCAATCAAACAACTAGCCGTAGGACAACCAATCAAACAACTAGCCGTAGGACAACCAATCAAACAACTAGCCGTAGGACAACCAATCAAACAACTAGCCGTGGGACGACCAATCACATGATGACACAAACCAAACAAGAAGCAGAAACTGTTTTATTGATGCACCTACATGTGTTTACTTTGGTTCAAAAGTTTTTCATGTGTCCAAAAAAAACAACCTCTCATTTAAGTTGAAAGCGTGTAAATAAAGCAGCGCGGGTTAGACTGGACTCCAATTTCTGCTGAACGATTTCATCCCCGCCATTAGTGTAATGACGTCATTGTGGAAGTGCTGGCTTGACCTTGTCGAACTCCTCGTCATAGCAGGCGTTGAAGCACGCGCTGTCCTCACATCGAGCTGCGCATGCGTCATAGACGCCCCAGCACGCCAGACGACATGGCGCCCCAATCTGCCAACACGCATCCACGCATGCGCGGGTCTCAGCTGTCCACTCGCTCGTCTGCCCGAAGCAATCTATTTTTAGAATTAGTATTACTTTAGTCAATGTCGGCAGGTGGCCACAACTCAGAAACTTATGACATTACGTTAGACAAATATTAATTCCTGTCATTAAAATCCTGACATTAAAATCATGACATCAAAATCGTGGCTACAGGACATTACCCCCCTGGATATTTCCCCCCCGGACATTTCCCCCCCGTATTTACCCCCCGGAGCAATTACCCCCCTGTCAATTACCCCCCTGTCAATTACCCCCCCGGGGAATTACCCCCCCCCCCCTCTCAAGTTAAAATCCTAACTCTAACTAGAATTTTATACCTATATACTACTTTAATCCAAACCTTAAGAAAAAGACCAAAACCTAAGCATCCACCTTAGCCTAAAACTCCACACATAACCAAAACCAAAGCTAGACACAACCTTAACCCTAAAACTAGCCCTAACCCTAACCCTAGCCCTAACCCTAACCCTAACCCTAACCCTAAACCTAAACCTAAACCTAAACCTAAACCTAAACCTAAACCTAAACCTAAACCTAAACCTAAACCTAAACCTAAACCTAGCCCTAGCCCTAGCCCTAGCCCTAGCCCTAAACCTAAACCTAACCCTAACCCTAACCCTAACCCTAACCCTAACCCTAACCCTAAACCTAGCCCTAGCCCTAACCCTAACCCTAACCCTAGCCCTAAAACCTAACCCTAACCCTAACCCTAACCCTAACCCTAACCCTAACCCTAACCCTAACCCTAGCCCTAGCCCTAGCCCTAGCCCTAAACCTAACCCTAAACCTAGCCCTAACCCTAACCCTAACTCTAACCCTGTCCGGGGGGGGGGGTAATGTCCTACTGGGTGGGGGGTAATTGACAGGGGGGTAATTGACAGGGGGGGGTAATTACTCTGGGGGGTAATGTCGGGGGGGGGGGAAATATCCGGGGGGTAATTGACAGGGGGGAAATGCCCTGTTCCCCAAAATCGTAACCTATCCCCCATCCCCCTTGCCGTGAACAAAAAATGACCTACCTCTGCCTGCGGTGAACAAAAAATTACCTACCTCTCCATGCCGTGAACAAAAAATGACCTACCTCTGCCTGCGGTGAACAAAAAATGACCTACCCTCCCTGCCGTGAACAAAAAATGACCTACCTCTGCCTGCCGTGAACAAAAAATGACCTACCTCTCCATGCCGTGAACAAAAAATGACCTACCTCTGCCTGCGGTGAACAAAAAATGACCTACCCTCCCTGCCGTGAACAAAAAATGACCTACCCTCCCTGCCGTGAACAAAAAATGACCTACCTCTGCCTGCCGTGAACAAAAAATGACCTACCTCTGCCTGCCGTGAACCAAAAAATGACCTACCCTCCCTGCCGTGAACCAAAAAATGACCTACCTCTGCCTGCCGTGAACCAAAAAATGACCTACCCTCCCTGCCGTGAACCAAAAAATGACATACCCTCCCTGCCGTGAACAAAAAATGACCTAACTCTGCCTGCCGTGAACAAAAAATGACCTACCTCTGCCTGCCGTGAACAAAAAATGACCTACCTCTCCATGCCGTGAACAAAAAATGACCTACCTCTGCCTGCGGTGAACAAAAAATGACCTACCTCTCCATGCCGTGAACAGAAAATGACCTACCTCTGCCTGCCGTGAACCAAAAAATTACCTACCTCTCCATGCCGTGAACAAAAAATGACCTACCTCTCCCTGCCAGACAGACCGACTCCTGCTCCTGCCAGGGCTGGCAGTAGCGGCTACAGATGGCGGCCCGGGGGTCACTGGCGGCCAGGGTCAAGGTCAGGAGAACGGACACGTGGACAACCAGCTGCAGCATCTTGGGCAACCCGTCAACCTGGTGGTAGCAATACTGTAGATCACGTGACTTGGGTAAACAACGCTTGTTTAGTTGGGCCGGATACATGAGATGACATTCCAACATCAGATGTCATGTCTGACATTGTGTCCTGTCTGACATTTGTCCTGTCTGACATTTGTCATGTCTGACATTATGTCCTGTCTGACATTTGTCCTGTCTGACATTGTGTCCTGTCATTTGTCCTGTCTGACATTTGTCCTGTCTGACATTTGCCCTGTCTGACATTGTGTCCTGTCATTTGTCCTGTCTGACATTTGTCCTGTCTGACATTTGTCCTGCCTGACATTTGTCCTGTCTGACATTTGTCCTGTCTGACATTTGTCCTACCCAGTAGAAAACCTCACCTCACAAGACCACAGCAACAACTAAGTTGGAGCTGAAAACATCTCTTTCTGTTTTTGGCTTATGTTTTATATTGGCTAGCACTAATTAACACCACTCTAATTAATGAAGATTATCTACCCTTAAATTACCCGCCAATTATGTCGACACGTGACAAAGAGAACCATCAGTAGAAAATGTGACGTCATTACAAAGATGAAACGAGATGTAATTAAATGTAATAAAATATAATTATAAGGTACCCTTTAGCGGAGCAATTTGCTTATTTTAAAATACCATATGTTAGGGCGATCCTTAAAAGCCTAATAGATTATGGGGGGGGGGTCTTATCAGGTTCTTTTTAGTGAAACAAAAATTGAAATACAAATATGGGGTCAATTATTCAAATGGATAGATCGCTACTGAAGGCTACACCCAAAGGTCGGGATGATTCTGTTTTCTGTGTACAATTTCTAATCAGTTAACTAAATACAATGTTAAATCCAGTACCGTTACAGCTAAATGAAATAAATACAAAGTTGAATCCAGTACCGTTACAGCTAAATGAAATAAATACAATGTTAAATCCAGTACCGTTACAGCTAAATGAAATAAATACAATGTTAAATCCGGTACCGTTACAGCTAAATGAAATAAATACAATGTTAAATTCAGTACCGTTACAGCTAAATGAAATAAATACAATGTTAAATCCAGTACCGTTACAGCTAAATGAAATAAATACAAAGTTGAATCCAGTACCGTTACAGCTAAATGAAATAAATACAATGTTAAATCCAGTACCGTTACAGCTAAATGAAATAAATACAATGTTAAATCCAGTACCGTTACAGCTAAATGAAATAAATACAATGTTAAATCCAGTACCGTTACAGCTAAATGAAATAAATACAATGTTAAATCCAGTACCGTTACAGCTAAATGAAATAAATACAAAGTTAAATCCGGTACCGTTACAGCTAAATGAAATAAATACAATGTTAAATCCAGTACCGTTACAGCTAAATGAAATAAATACAATGTTAAATCCAGTACCGTTACAGCTAAATGAAATAAATACAATGTTAAATCCAGTACCGTTACAGCTAAATGAAATAAATACGCTTTTTCAAAACATTAACATCACATTGATTGTAACAATTATTAATAGGTAGCTTCTCCCCCCCCCCCCCCCGAACGAAATGCAATCTATATAGAAAATATATGCTTTACCAGTGTCAGCACCCCTACCCCGGAAAACTTAATCCGCCCCCCCCCCCCCCCACCAGCGGCCAAAAGTAGGAAACGTTGCCGGTTAAAGTTGAGGTGGTGATTTTGGTTTCGGTTTAGGGAAAAAGACAACACTATCAACCTAGCGCCGGAATTTATTAGTCTCTAGTTTTAAGGGGATATGCGCCGTAAAAAATCACATTTCTTGTTTTTCGTCATGATGGGTTTCTTGCACTGTTGGATACTTTGTCCATTTTTTTTATTAAGAAAAAAATACTTTAATGAGAAAAAAATGTTATGTGTTTAAAATAACATTTTTATGACCCAATTAATTCAAAATAATCAAGTTTTCCCAATCTTACAAGCTCTATATGAAAAGTTTTATATCCGTCATCATATATATATATATATATATATATATATATATATATATATATATATATATATATATATATATATATATATATATATATATATATATATAGTGGCGTAGCGAGGTCGGGTGTCACCCGGTGCGGCACTTAATGGTGTCACCCCCCAGAGGCGTAGCGACCCTTCCCGGGGACAAACTTTCAAATTTTCGATTTGCAACCCCCACCCCCTCAAACTTTCGATTTGCACCCCCCTCAAGTTTTTCTCTATATAATTTGTTATTTTTTGCTTGGTGTCACCCCACTAAATGGTGTCACCGGGTGCGGTCCGCCCCCCCCCCCCCCCCGCCCATCCCCCCTCGCTACGCCTCTGTATATATATATATATTTATATATATATATATATATATACATACATATATATATATATATATATATATATATATATATATATATATATATATATGCCTGGAAGAAACTGTTTTCGAATGGTATCATCCATTGTTAACATGTAAACCGGACAGTAAGTAAGTGTGAAGAGCAGCGAGTGTTTGTCTAATTGGGTGTGAAATTGTAAGATAGTTATACTGATTCTGTTAACATTGATTTTTAAATACCTCTTATCATTGATATTTTATTTTCTTTATGTATTGTCTATTTTCATCATCCTGGCCCTCACAAAGTGGGCTAAAATTGGGCCATTTAAATATTTTCCACATATTTAATAAACACCATGAAGTTCTAAGAATTTTAAACAATTCCAACAATCCTTTCCATATCTTTGGTTTCTCTGAAACTCGATTACAATCTTTTATGAATAACGAGCTGACCCGCGGCGTAGCATACGCCGCTATTTAGATCTAGTTTGTTTTGTTTTCTACTTTTCAGTACTTCATACTTAGTGAAATTCGACACTACCCTCCCTTTCATTCTACGATTGTAAACATTCGGGGTGAACCTTAGCTCACAAGAATGGTGGGGGTGGTAGCTATATGCATAGAGAGCGGGGGAGTAACGGCGTGCGTTTACGTGGTGTCTCGCATGGTCCCCATGAAGAGAATTATATATAGAGATATATTCCCATTTTTCAGTTATTCATAATTTGTGAATTCGACACTACCAATGCTGCGACTGAAAATATTTTGCTTTAAAACACAATCAGTAGCTAGTGAAGGACGATTATTAGCCTCACCCTTACTTTCCACTCCTCTATCCGCAGACATGATGGTGAAGAGATTTTTTATGAATCTAGGTAGCCAGCAATTGGGATCTGTTGCTACCGAATTTAAACTTCTTTCCTACAAGATCTTCTAGCCATTGGGATTTATTTGTTGCTACTGAATGTAAACTTCTTTCCTACAAGATCTTCTAGCCATTGGGATTTATTTGTTGCTACTGAATGTAAACTTCTTTCCTACAAGATCTTCTAGCTATTGGGATCTGTTTGTTGCTACTGAATGTAAACTTCTTTCCTACAAGATCTTCTAGCTATTGGGATCTGTTTGTTGCTACTGAATGTAAACTTCATTCCTACAAGATCTTCTAGCTATTGGGATCTGTTTGTTGCTACTGAATGTAAACTTCTTTCCTACAAGATCTTCTAGCTATTGGGATCTGTTTGTTGCTACTGAATGTAAACTTCATTCCTACAAGATCTTCTAGCCATTGGGATTTATTTGTTGCTACCGAATGTAAACTTCTTTCCTACAAGATCTTCTAGCTATTGGGATTTATTTGTTGCTACTGAATGTAAACTTCTTTCCTACAAGATCTTCTAGCCACTGGGAATTATTTGTTGCTACCGAATGTAAACTTCTTTCCTACAAGATCTTCTAGCTATTGGGATTTATTTGTTGCTACAGAATGTAAACTTCTTTCCTACAAGATCTTCTAGCCATTGGGATCTGTTTGTTGCTACCGAATTTAAACTTCTTTCCTACAAGATCTTCTAGCTATTGGGATTTATTTGTTGCTACTGAATGTAAACTTCTTTCCTACAAGATCTTCTAGCTATTGGGATTTATTTGTTGCTACTGAATGTAAACTTCTTTCCTACAAGATCTTCTAGCCATTGGGATTTATTTGTTGCTACCGAATGTAAACTTCTTTCCTACAAGATCTTCTAGCTATTGGGATTTATTTGTTGCTACTGAATGTAAACTTCTTTCCTACAAGATCTTCTAGCCATTGGGATCTGTTTGTTGCTACCGAATTTAAACTTCTTTCCTACAAGATCTTCTAGCTATTGGGATTTATTTGTTGCTACTGAATGTAAACTTCTTTCCTACAAGATCTTCTAGCTATTGGGATTTATTTGTTGCTACTGAATGTAAACTTCTTTCCTACAAGATCTTCTAGCTATTGGGATTTATTTGTTGCTACTGAATGTAAACTTCATTCCTACAAGATCTTCTAGCCATTGGGATTTATTTGTTGCTACCGAATTTAAACTTCTTTCCTACAAGATCTTCTAGCTATTGGGATTTATTTGTTGCTACTGAATGTAAACATCTTTCCTACAAGATCTTCTAGCCAGAGGAGGACATCCAGTCGTGAACTAAACTCATGGCTTTACGAGCAGGGTGATCATCTTTAATTACACGGGGATTAATTGGCTGGAAATTATTGGAAGGATGGTCATCATTAATTCAGTAGCATAGCGGGGGGGAGGCGGGACATATGTCCCCGGGCGCCGACCTTAGGGGGCGCCAAAATGGGTTGGAAAAGGTTGAAAGGGGTGCAAATCGAAAGTTTGAGGGGGGGGGGGGGTGCAAATCGAAATCTTGAGGAGGGGGGTGCAAATCGAAAAGTTTGTCCCCGGGCGCCGGGAAGGGTCGCTACGCCTCTGCATTAATTTCACGTCAAGTCAATGTTGATAGACTAACCTAAAACACGTCACCTCAGCCTTGACCCAACTCACGTGACTAGATTCAAGATGGCTGGTGTTTACTCCCAACAAGTTCAACAACAAGCAAAGCACCGAATGATAACACAAAGTTTATTTTATTTTGGCACAAAAATCTAGCATATATTAGATTTACATATGAACATAGAAAAGACACTTCGGTTAGATAATCCCAAATGACTCAACCAAACACACAAGAAACAAAACATTACGCCTGCTCAGAATGTGGCGTAGCTAGGATTTTTTGGGCCACGAAAAAAAATATTAGTGGGCCCCTTTGTCAGCTGTTAGGCTACAATGGAGTGAAATGAAGAAATTAACTGCTACTTACGATAGTTTTACATAATATAAATACTCTGTACATTTTGTATTCTATACGTCCTGATTATGTATTTATACTATATTATTATTACTGCTACTACCCCGTAGTTTTGTAAAAAGTAATACAAGCTTCCAGTGAATTCATTAATTTTGTGAGTAACCAAACACAGTAGCGTCACAAGGCGGGGCAGGGGTGCTGTACGCATCTGATGACAACAATTATGCCTGACACTTTGACAAAACATTGTAGAATTTACTGTCAAAACTATCCAGCTAAAATAATAAAATATTAGTGAGAGAGGGGTAACACACCACCGAAAATGCAAAATGTTTTTAGGATAATAGGGTGACACTTTTAGTAAACGCACTGGGGAACATCCGACCTTGTGACGCCACTAACCAAACCCTTGTGTCGCCACTAACCAAACCCTTGTGTCGCCACTAACCAAACCCATTTTGTTAAAAAAATTGCTCAGGATTTATTTAGATGTTTTTTTTTTTTTTGCTTTAAATTTAGCAATTAAATGATCAATAAGTTGATTGAGATCTATTGAGATCTATTTTAGCTGCTTCTGTAAGTTGGATGCTCCGGATGGCCAAGCTACTGACACAATGGGCATATCTACAATTGTTCATAGCAAAGCACAATTATAATTGTTTTTCTAGCGGGTATTGAAATAAATATGTAACAAAATTTGCGGCTGTTGTGTAAATGATCTTATGTTATTTAACTTATTATTATATTAAGAAGTAAACAGATTACTATTATAATGTTTTTCAAAGTTTATAAATTTGTTACTTAAAAACACCCCCCAAATTTATAAATTCTAAAAGTTTTACAAGACTGAACAAGTTATCCAAATAATTTTAGACCATGTTTATGACTTTTTGCTGTGACTTTTTTCCTGTGACTTTTTTCCTGTGAATTTTTGGCTGTGACTTTTTTCCTGTGACTTTTTTCCTGTGACTTTTTTCCTATGACTTTTTTCCTGTGACTTTTTTCCTGTGAATTTCCCCCGCTAACCGCCCACTGATCGTGTGACGTCATTTCTTGCTCCGCTTTCCCCGGATGTAGAGCGTGTCTTCCTCGTCATCGTCTTCAGCGTCGGTCTCGTCATCTGACGACCTGGGGTCAGACAGGTGGGGGTTATAGGGGTCAGACAGGTGGGGGTTATAGGGGTCAGACAGGTGGGGGTCATAGGGGTCAGACAGGTGGGGGTTGTGGGGTCAGACAGGTGGGGGTTATAGGGGTCAGACAGGTGGGGGTTGTGGGGGTCAGACAGGTGGGGGTTATAGGGGTCAGACAGGTGGGGTATTAGGGGTCAGACAGGTGGGGGCTATAGGGGTCAGACAGGTAGGGGTTATAGGGGTCAGACAGGTGGGGTATTAGGGGTCAGACAGGTGAGGGTTGTGGGGTCAGACAGGTGGGGTATTAGGGGTCAGACAGGTGGGGGTTGTGGGGTCAGACAGGTGGGGTATTAGGGGTCAGACAGGTGGGGGTTGTGGGGTCAGACAGGTGGGGTATTAGGGGTCAGACAGGTGGGGGTTATAGGGGTCAGACAGGTGGGGGTCATAGGGGTCAGACAGGTGGGGGTTATAGGGGTCAGACAGGTGGGGGTTATAGGGGTCAGACAGGTGGGGGTTATAGGGGTCAGACAGGTGGGGGTTATAGGGGTCAGACAGGTGGGGGTTATAGGGGTCAGACAGGTGGGGTTATAGGGGTCAGACAGGTGGGGGTCATAGGGGTCAGACAGGTAGGGTTATAGAGGTCAGACAGGTAGGGTTATAGGGGTCAGACAGGTGGGGGTTATAGGGGTCAGACAGGTGGGGGTTATAGGGGTCAGACAGGTGGGGGTCATAGGGGTCAGACAGGTAGGGTTATAGAGGTCAGACAGGTAGGGTTATAGGGGTCAGACAGGTGGGGGTTGTGGGGTCAGACAGGTGGGGGGTTATAGGGGTCAGACAGGTGGGGTTATAGTGGTCAGACAGGTAGGGTATTAGGGTCACACAAAGGTGGGATTAAGGTCAACTGGAGGGTGGGACAGTTAAGTGAGAGGGTGGCATCCAGGAGGGGAGAGGTGCGGAGAGGGGAGTTGTGGGCTCAGCAATGGGGGGGGGGGGGTGTAGGCGCGGACTAACTCTGGCACCACCCATATGACATATCTGGCCATCTGGGTCATATTTGGCCATCTGGGAAATTTGCTTGGAAAGTTTCGAACCCAGGACCCCAGCCTCGTGACTTACATGTCAAAGAGCGCCGATGAGTGTTTCGATTTCTTTAAGACGGCGCGTTCGTCTGCTGTCCCCAGCCGTCGGTAGCGCTGATTCTGGTTTAGGTCTCGGTCTCTGGCGCGGCTGGGTGGGTGGGGGAGGTAAGGGGGGGGGGGGGGGTAAATAACAAAATATAAGGATTAGTAATACTTAAGGGTAGGAAATAAAATATATTAACAAGAAAGGGATAAATTAAGGGGGAACTGAGGGGGAACTGAGGGGAGAACTGAGGGGAGAACTGAGGGGAGAACTGAGGGGAGAACTGAGGGGAGAACTGAGGGGAGAACTGAGGTGAGTACTGAGGGGAGAACTGAGGGGAGAACTGAGGGGAGAACTGAGGGGAGAACTGAGGGGAGAACTTAGGTGAGTACTGAGGGGAGAACTGAGGGGAGAACTGAGGGGAGAACTGAGGGGGGAACTGAGGGGAGAACTGAGGGAGAACTAGGGAGAGAAGTGAGTGGAGGAAGCAAGTGTCGAGCTGCGTGAGTTACCTGCGCCTAACAAACAGGTGGATGATTGACATGATGATGATCAGGAGCCCCACACCTGCAATCACTGCACCTGCCACGATAAGGTCAGCTCGACCTAGACAACACAAATGTTTGGCGTGACGTTTGTCGTATGACATGTTGGGTGACATGCTGCGTGACGGTTTGGGTGATGTGTTGGATGACGAATCTGATGACGGGTATTGGATAGTGCGTATCGGATGACTTGACTTGTGTTGGATAACGTATGTCGGATGAGGTATGTCGTATGACGTGTTGGATGATGTATGATATATGTCGGATGACGTGTGTTAGATGACGTATGTCGGATGACGCGTGTCGGATGACGTATGTCGGATGACGTATGTCGGATGACGCGTGTCGGATGACGTATGTCGGATGACGTATGTCGGATGACATGTGTCGGATGACGTATGTCGGATGACGTATGTCGGATGACGTGTGTCGGATGACGTATGTCGGATGACGTGTGTCGGATGACATATGTCGGATGACGTATGTCGGATGACGTGTGTCGGATGACGTATGTCGGATGACGTATGTCGGATGACGTGTGTCGGATGACGTATGTCGGATGACGTGTGTCGGATGACATATGTCGGATGACGTATGTCGGATGACGTATGTCGGATGACGTGTGTCGGATGACGTATGTCGGATGACGTATGTCGGATGACGTGTGTCGGATGACGTATGTCGGATGACGTATGTCGGATGACGTATGTCGGATGACGTATGTTGGATGACGTGTATTGGATGACGTGTGACGTATGTCGGATGACGTATGTCGGATGACGTGTGTTGGATGACGTGTGACGTATGTCGGATGACGTATGTCGGATGACGTATGTCGGATGACGTATGTTGGATGACGTGTATTGGATGACGTATGTCGTATGACGTGTGTTGGATGACCTACCGTGTATGATGGTGTGCCAAGTGCTAGTCCCAGACAGTGGTACGTCAATCTTGTCCCGACCCTCCTCCACGATGCTGTACACGCTGCTGTTGGATTTGTGCGACTCTGCTTCACCTACAACCTGCGCCAGGGCCTCGTTGTCGAGGTCGTAGGCGGGGCTCATCGTCTGCTGGGAGCTGGCTGAAACAGGAAGGTCAAGGTCATTCCGTGTATGGGTCTACTGAGTGAAGAACAGTAGAAGACATCAACAAACAGATGACATCAACAAACAGATGACATCAACACACAGATGACATCAACAAACATGACATCAACAGATGACATCAAAAAACAGATGACATCAACAAACAGATGACATCAACAAACAGATGACATCAACACACAGATGACATCAACAAACATGACATCAACAGATGACATAAAAAACAGATGACATCAACACACAGATGACATCAACACACAGATGACATCAACAGATGACATCAACAAACAGATGCCATCAACACACAGACAGTAGAAGATATGAGATCTATGGTAACATGTCAAATGCAGTGCATCGTCTCTGCTTCCCCTACCCTGCACTGGACCACGAGCCCACTTACCGACCGTGGTTTTCCTCTTGCCTTTCCTCCTGAAGCTGCCGTCGTCCCCTGGGGTCGAGGGTCTGACGGTGGTCGCTGTATACGTTCTGTGGGTGATGTAGGCCGTCTTGATCTGGCCACCTAGGGCCGTGTCTGATTTCTCAGGCCCAAATTTATATCCATTCTCAAACTCGTTTGGCTTCCCTCTCGTATCGAGGTCCTGGCCATATTTCTCCAGGATGGGTTGCTTCCCAGTCTGGATGGTCTCCTGCAGGGTCTGGTGCTGACGTAGCTGTCCCAGCATGGCCTGAAGCTCCTCCGTCCTGTTGCCTGCCGGGCTCCCGGCAAAGTCTCGGAGAGTCTCGTCCTCGCTGTCCTGTAACCTCGAGGCCACAGACTTAAGCTCCTCGAACTCCGCGTCTTGCGGGGGGCGGGGCGGCCGGGGCGTCCCGTGTCTGGACAAGGCGGGTTTCAGTCTAGGGGCGTCGTCAGCAAGAAGTGGAGATTTTACTTTTGGTACTACGTAGGGTGAGAGAGTTCGACCTTGGGTAACTTCCTTGACACCGTTTTTATGTAGGTCAAGGCCGTTAGTGTCCTCCAGCCAATCAGGGCCAGTGTTGTCTTCTAGCTCCTCCCCGAATTTCTCATGAGCCACAGGGGGCGGTGCTGCTTCGGCGTTATACTCCACATCGTCGGACCACCCGTAGGGGCGCTCAGGGGGCAGGACGCCCCCCTCCCCCACAGGAGACTTGACGTAGCTCAGATCTTTCTCGATGTCCGACACTGATATGTCGTCAACCGGCAGCCGGGTTCCGGCTTTTTTTCGAGGCATGTCACGTGTCAAGCACACACAAGTCACGTGATCCGATCAAGCCTATATATAGATGCTCGTCTGTGTCAAACTGTGGGACATTTTTACAACGTGTTCAACATCATTGAGAGATTGTGAGACAGGAGATTGGGAGACAGGAGATTGTGAGACAGAAGATTGGGAGACAGGAGATTGGGAGACAGGAGATTGGGAGACAGGAGATTGGGAGACAGGGAGACAGGAGATTGGGAGCCAGGAGATTGGGAGACAGGAGATTGGGAGATTGGGAGACAGGAGATTGGGAGACAGGAGATTGGGAGACAGGAGATTGGGAGAAAGGAGATTGGGAGCCAGGAGATTGGGAGACAGGAGATTGGGAGACAGGAGATTGGGAGACAGGAGATTGGGAGACAGGAGATCGGGAGATTGGGAGACAGGAGATTGGGAGACAGGAGATTGGGAGATTGTGAGACAGGAGATTGGGAGAGAGGAGATTGGAAAAAAGGAGATTGGGAGACAGGAGATTGTCAGACAGGAGATTGGGAGATTGGGAGACAGGAGATTGGGAGACAGGAGATTGGGAGACAGGAGATTGTGAGACAGGAGATTGGGAGATTGGGAGACAGGAGATTGGGAGACAGGAGATTGGGAGATTGGGAGACAGGAGATTGGGAGACAGGAGATTGGGAGATTGGGAGACAGGAGATTGGGAGACAGGAGATTGGAAGAAAGGAGATTGGGAGACAGGAGATTGGGAGACAGGAGATTGGGAGACAGGAGATTGGGAGACAGGAGATTGGAAGAAAGGAGATTGGGAGATTGGGAGACAGGAGATTGGGAGACAGGAGGTTGGGAGAGGAGATTGGGAGACAGGAGATTGGGAGACAGAAGTTTGGGAGACAGGAGATTGGGAGACAGGAGGTTGGGAGACAGGAGATTGGAAGAAAGGAGATTGGGAGACAGGAGATTGGGAGACAGGAGATTGGGAGACAGGAGATTGGGAGACAGGAGATTGGGAGACCGGAGATTGGAAGAAAGGAGATTGGGAGACAGAAGATTGGGAGATTGGGGGACAGAAGATTGGGAGACAGGAGATTGGGAGACAGGAGATTGGGAGACAGGAGATTGGAAGAAAGGAGATTGGGAGACAGGAGATTGGGAGACAGGAGATTGGGAGACAGGAGATTGGGAGACAGGAGATTGGGAGACAGGAGATTGTGAGACAGGAGATTGGGAGATTGGGAGACAGGAGATTGGGACAGGAGATTGGGAGATTGGGAGACAGGAGATTGGGAGACAGGAGATTGGGAGATTGGGAGACAGGTGATTGGGAGACAGGATATTGGGAGACAGGAGATTGTAAGACAGGAGATTGTGAGACAGGAGATTGGGAGACAGGAGATTGGGAGACAGGAGATTGGGAGACAGGAGATTGGGAGACAGGAGATTGGGAGATAGGAGATTGGGAGACAGGAGATTGGGAGACAGGAGATTGGGAGACAGGAGATTGTGAGACAGGAGATTGGGAGACAGGAGATTGGGAGACAGGAGATTGGGAGACAGGAGATTGGGAGACAGGAGATTGGGAGATTGTGAGACAGGAGATTGGGAGAGAGGAGATTGGAAAAAAGGAGATTGGGAGACAGGAGATTGTCAGACAGGAGATTGGGAGATTGGGAGACAGGAGATTGGGAGACAGGAGATTGGGAGACAGGAGATTGTGAGACAGGAGATTGGGAGATTGGGAGACAGGAGATTGGGAGACAGGAGATTGGGAGATTGGGAGACAGGAGATTGGGAGACAGGAGATTGGGAGATTGGGAGACAGGAGATTGGGAGACAGGAGATTGGAAGAAAGGAGATTGGGAGACAGAAGATTGGGAGACAGAAGATTGGGAGACAGAAGATTGGGAGACAGGAGATTGGGAGACAGGAGATTGGGAGACAGGAGATTGGGAGACAGGAGATTGGAAGAAAGGAGATTGGGAGATTGGGAGACAGGAGATTGGGAGACAGGAGGTTGGGAGAGGAGATTGGGAGACAGGAGATTGGGAGACAGAAGTTTGGGAGACAGGAGATTGGGAGACAGGAGGTTGGGAGACAGGAGATTGGAAGAAAGGAGATTGGGAGACAGGAGATTGGGAGACAGGAGATTGGGAGACAGGAGATTGGGAGACAGGAGATTGGGAGACCGGAGATTGGAAGAAAGGAGATTGGGAGACAGAAGATTGGGAGATTGGGGGACAGAAGATTGGGAGACAGGAGATTGGGAGACAGGAGATTGGGAGACAGGAGATTGGAAGAAAGGAGATTGGGAGACAGGAGATTGGGAGACAGGAGATTGGGAGACAGGAGATTGGGAGACAGGAGATTGGAAGAAAGGAGATTGGGAGACAGAAGATTGGGAGATTGGGGGACAGAAGATTGGGAGACAGGAGATTGGGAGACAGGAGATTGGGAGACAGGAGATTGGAAGAAAGGAGATTGGGAGATTGGGAGACAGGAGATTGGGAGACAGGAGGTTGGGAGAGGAGATTGGGAGACAGGAGATTGGGAGACAGAAGATTGGGAGACAGGAGATTGGGAGACAGGAGGTTGGGAGACAGGAGATTGGAAGAAAGGAGATTGGGAGACAGGAGATTGGGAGACAGGAGATTGGGAGACAGGAGATTATGAGACAGGAGATTGGAAGAAAGGAGATTGGGAGACAGGAGATTGGGAGACAGGAGGTTGGGAGACAGGAGATTGGGAGACAGGAGATTGGGAGACAGGAGATTGGGAGACAGGAGATTGGAAGAAAGGAGATTGGGAGACAGGAGATTGGGAGACAGAAGATTGGGAGACAGGAGATTGGGAGACAGGAGATTGGGAGACAGGAGATTGGGTGACAGGAGATTGGGATATTGGGAGACAGGAGATTGGGAGACAGGAGATTGGGAGACAGTAGATTGGGAGACAGGAGATTGGGAGACAGAAGATTGGGAGACAGGAGATTGGAAGACAGGAGATTGGGAGATTGGGAGACAGGAGATTGGGAGACAGGAGATTGGGAGACAGGAGATTGGGAGACAGGAGATTGGGAGACAGGAGATTGGGAGACAGGAGGTTGGGAGACAGGAGATTGGGAGACAGGAGATTGGGAGATAGGAGATTGGGAGACAGGAGATTGGGAGACAGGAGATTGGGAGACAGGAGATTGTGAGACAGGAGATTGGGAGACAGGAGATTGGGAGACAGGAGATTGGGAGACAGGAGATTGGGAGATTGGGAGACAGGAGATTGGGAGATTGGGAGACAGGAGATTGGGAGACAGGAGATTGGGAGACAGGAGATTGGGAGACAGGAGATTGGGAGACAGGAGATTGGAAGAAAGGAGATTGGGAGACAGAAGATTGGGAGATTGGGGGAGAGAAGATTGGGAGACAGGAGATTGGGAGACAGGAGATTGGGAGACAGGAGATTTGAAGAAAGGAGATTGGGAGATTGGGAGACAGGAGATTGGGAGACAGGAGGTTGGGAGACAGGAGATTGGGAGACAGGAGATTGGGAGACAGAAGATTGGGAGACAGGAGATTGGGAGACAGGAGGTTGGGAGACAGGAGATTGGAAGAAAGGAGATTGGGAGACAGGAGATTGGGAGACAGAAGATTGGGAGACAGGAGATTGGGAGACAGGAGATTGGAAGAAAGGAGATTGGAAGACAGAAGATTATGAGACAGGAGATTGGGAGACAGGAGATTGGAAGAAAGGAGATTGGGAGACAGAAGATTGGGAGACAGTTGATTGGGAGACAGGAGATTGGGAGACAGGAGATTGGAAGAAAGGAGATTGGGAGACAGGAGATTGGGAGATTGGGGGACAGAAGATTGGGAGACAGGAGATTGGGAGACAGGAGATTGGGAGACAGGAGATTGGAAGAAAGGAGATTGGGAGACAGGAGATTGGGAGACAGGAGATTGGGAGACAGAAGATTGGAAGAAAGGAGATTGGGAGCCAGGAGATTGGGAGACAGGAGGTTGGGAGACAGGAGATTGGGAGACAGGAGATTGGGAGACAGGAGATTGGGAGACAGGAGGTTGGGAGACAGGAGATTAGAAGAAAGGAGATTGGGAGACAGGAGATTGGGAGACAGAAGATTGGGAGACAGGAGATTGGGAGACAGGAGATTAGGAGACAGGAGATTGGGTGACAGGAGATTGGGATATTGGGAGACAGGAGATTGGGAGACAGGAGATTGGGAGACAGGAGATTGGGAGACAGGAGATTGGGAGACAGGAGATTGGAAGACAGGAGATTGGGAGATTGGGAGACAAGAGATTGGGAGACAGGAGATTGGGAGACAGGAGATTGGGAGACAGGAGATTGGGAGACAGGAGATTGGAAGAAAAGAGATTGGGAGACAGAAGATTGGGAGATTGGGGGACAGAAGATTGGGAGACAGGAGATTGGAAGAAAGGAGATTGGGAGAAAGGAGATTGGAAGAAAGGAGATTGGGAGACAGGGGATTGGAAGAAAGGAGATTGGGGGACAGGAGATTGTGAGACAGGAGATTGGGAGACAGGAGATTGGGAGACAGGAGATTGGGAGACAGGAGATTTGGAGATTGGGAGACAGGAGATTGGGAAACAGGAGATTGGGAGACAGGAGATTTGGAGACAGGAGATTGGGAGACAGGAGATTGGGAGACAGGAGATTGGAAGAAAGGAGATTGGGAGACAGGAGATTGGGAGACAGGAGATTGGGAGACAGGAGATTGGGAGACAGGAGATTGGGAGACAGGAGGTTGGGAGACAGGAGATTGGAAGAAAGGAGATTAGGAGACAGGAGATTGGGAGACAGAAGATTGGGAGACAGGAGATTGGGAGACAGGAGATTGGGAGACAGGAGATTGGGTGACAGGAGATTGGGATATTGGGAGACAGGAGATTGGGAGACAGGAGATTGGGAGACAGGAGATTGGGAGACAGAAGATTGGGAGACAGAAGATTGGGAGACAGGAGACAGGAGATTGGGAGATTGGGAGACAGGAGATTGGGAGACAGAAGATTGGGAGACAGGAGATTGGGAGACAGGAGATTGGGAGACAGGAGATTGGGAGACAGGAGATTGGGAGACAGGAGATTGGAAGAAAGGAGATTGGGAGACAGGAGATTGGGAGACAGGAGATTGGGAGACAGGAGATTGGAAGACAGGAGATTGGGAGATTGGGAGACAGGAGATTGGGAGACAGGAGATTGGGAGATTGGGAGACAGGTGATTGGGAGACAGGATATTGGGAGACAGGAGATTGTAAGACAGGAGATTGTGAGACAGGAGATTGGGAGACAGGAGATTGGGAGACAGGAGATTGGGAGACAGGAGATTGGGAGACAGGAGATTGGGAGACAGGAGATTGGGAGATTGGGAGACAGGAGATTGGGAGACAGGAGATTGGGAGACAGGAGATTGGGAGACAGGAGATTGTGAGACAGGAGATTGTGAGACAGGAGATTGGGAGACAGGAGATTGGGAGACAGGAGATTGGGAGACAGGAGATTGGGAGACAGGAGATTGGAAGACAGGAGATTGGAAGACAGGAGATTGGGAGACATGAGATTGGGAGACAGGAGATTCGGAGATTGGGAGACAGGAGATTGGGAGACAGGAGATTGTGAGACAGGAGATTGGGAGACAGGAGATTTGGAGACAGGAGATTGGGAGACAGGAGATTGGGAGATTGGGAGACAGGAGATTGGGAGACAGGAGATTGGGAGACAGGAGATTGGGAGACAGGAGATTGGGAGACAGGAGATTGGGAGACAGGAGATTGGGAGACAGGAGATTGGGAGAGAGTGTAGTTAGGATTAGGATTAAAGTGTTTTGTACACACAACAAACTTAACTCAGAACGTGGAGCCATGTCAGTTGTTCCCATTTAAGGAATTATCTGGCCTTAAATTGAAGGTCAAGGTCCCCGCGTAAAATGTTTCTATTAATATCCTTCGCACCATACTTACCCTGACCTTGACCTCTATCACGACAGAGGTCAACTCATTGTTTCAAATCATTGCGGCTTAGCATTTGGTGGCAGGGTGGGTTGGTAGGGGTGTTAAGGGATCGGGCGTCTGGGTGTTGGGCGTCTGGGTGTTGGGCGTCTGGGTGTTGGTCGTCTGGGTGTTGGTCGTCTGGGTGTTGGGCGTCTGGGTGTTGGGCGTCTGGGTGTTGGGCGTCTGGGTGTTGGGCGTCTGGGTGTTGGGTGTTGGGCGTCTGGGTGTTGGGCGTTGGGCGTCTGGGGGTCGCCGGTACTAAACTGCGAGGAAATTAGCGTTTCGCTAAGGTCGTTGGGGACCAGAACTTTCCACCATCTCAACACATCGGGGGGAGGGGGGGGACAGTGCCCAACCCCCCTCCCCCCTCCCCCCTCCCCGAATGAAATAAATTTTATATATAAAATATCAGCTACAACCAGTGTCCGCTGCCCTAAAAAGATTCAAGCTCCCCCCCCCCCCCCCCCGTAGAAAAATGTCAAAAAGTAATACTAGTGGGGGCAGATGAGGGGGCGGGGTCTGAGGGTGTTAGATGTCGCCCTAGTTTGGTTAAGATTGCAGTTCATCTGGTCTGAACAGCTTTCTAGTTTCTAGGAACTAAATAAATCACCTGGATCTAGATTGCGATAGCTAAGGACTTAACTAAACACGACATTTTTGTTCACATTTTTTTGCGGTTTTATTTTTGCCACTAAAAAACTTGTCAGAACGACCTGCATCAAACTTGTCATCTGACAACATGCTCTGGGTGTGCTGTGGTGCTGTCGGCCTGAGACACGCGCTCAACACCAGACCCACCTGGTGCGCTCTAAGACATAACTGTCGTGCGCAATCTTGGGTGCGCACACAGATTTCTTTTTACTTTCTCGTATACGGAGTATAGAGGAAGTATTGTGCACATAATTAGCAGATATTTTGACAGTTTTAAACCTTCCTACTGTATCGTATACGGAATATAATGTGTGCGCATGTGTTCATCAGAGTTTCTTCCAAGCATCTCTTGTGGCAAAGAAACTCTACCGCTCCCCCCCTCCCCCCCCCCCACGAACGAGATGGAATTTATATAGTAAACATACTTTTACTAGTGTCCCCCCCCCCCCCCTACCCGGAAAAATGTCGTCCGTGGATGTTGGTGTTATTACTTTCTCGTATACGAAGTATAGAGAAAGTATTGTAATCGTGTAAAAAATAAACCGGGAGTGATCTCCCTAAACTTTCTCGAATATTCTTATTTAACACTACGGGGGATGGAAAGTCGGGATATAGACAATATTTTTGATCCATTTTTAATTACTTAATAAACTTTTTAAAATTAATAGAATCTCGTAGAAAAAGCACACCAAGTGAAAGCCAAACAAAATGTGTATAACAATGCGAAATATTATTAGTACTTTATAAATTCACAGGCGTTTTTTGAGAAGTCGGTGAGATCACTCCCAGTTTATTTTTATTCATTTCGCAAAATAATTTTTTATTTATTTTTTTTTATTTTTTGCGAATGTCACGAGATTTTTATTTTAAAAGTTGTCCGCGGCTCTAGAAATATAATATTTTTAACTGCAGCTACTTGAGAACCCCCATTGGCTGGGCGGGCGGAAGTGGTGTGTCATGTCGACTGCTGAGATAACCGCCAATGAATCAACCCGTTGTAGCCAGCAGACGATCTTTATGACCGGGAACCCATGGCTCTTTATCTGGCTCATGTACAGAGTTATCTGCTCGTGATGTATGGACGGCCAAAACTAACATTAACAAAAGCCTTCTCTTTGGGCAAGTTTGGTTCTATTCTTTATAAATCCTGACTTGCACATATCTTGCACCTGACTTGCACCTGACTTGCACATATCTTGCACCTGACTTGCACATATCTTGCACCTGACTTGCACATATCTTGCACCTGACTTGCACATATCTTGCACCTTGGGTCACCACTGGTACCAGACGCTGTCTGCCAGCTGTCGACACAAACTGTTGGTGATGTTGGTACCACATGTGTCACGGTCAGGTCAAATGTCACGGTCAGGTCAACATCATGTCAAATGTCACGGTCAGGTCAACATCAGGTCAAATGTCACGCTCAAGGCAGCTCACGTGACTACGTGTGTCGGTACCCTTGGTGTGACGTCACATCCCAGCTGCAGCGATGTCACGTGTTTGGACTGTCTTGGCTGCTGGTTGTGTTATTTATAGACCCACCCATCCCCTCAACCCACCCATCCCCTCAACCCACCCATCCCCTCAACCCACCCATCCCCTCAACCCTCCCATCCCCTCAACCCACCCATCCCCTCAACCCACCCATCCCCTCAGCCAAGACCCACCCATCCCCTCAACCCACCCATCCCCTCAACCCACCCATCCCCTCAACCCTCCCATCCCCTCAACCCTCCCATCCCCTCAACCCACCCATCCCCTCAACCCTCCCATCCCCTCAACCCACCTATCCCCTCAACCCACCCATCCCCTCAACCCACCCATCCCCTCAGCCCACCCATCCCCTCAACCAACCCATCCCCTCAGCCCACCCATCCCCTCAACCAAGACCCACCCATCCCCTCAACCAACCCATCCCCTCAGCCCACCCATCCCCTCAACCAAGACCCACCCCCTCAACCAAGACCCACCCATCCCCTCAACCCTCCCATCCCCTCAACCCACCCATCCCCTCAACCCACCCATCCCCTCAACCCACCCATCCCCTCAGCCCACCCATCCCCTCAACCCACCCATCCCCTCAACCCACCCATCCCCTCAACCCACCCATCCCCTCAACCCACCCATCCCCTCAACCCTCCCATCCCCTCAACCCACCCATCCCCTCAACCCACCCATCCCCTCAACCCGACCATCCCCTCAACCCTCCCATCCCCTCAGCCCACCCATCCCCTCAACCAAGACCCACCCATCCCCTCAACCCTCCCATCCCCTCAACCCACCCATCCCCTCAACCCACCCATCCCCTCAACCCTCCCATCCCCTCAACCCACCCATCCCCTCAACCCTCCCATCCCCTCAGCCCACCCATCCCCTCAACCAAGACCCACCCATCCCCTCAACCCACCCATCCCCTCAACCCACCCATCCCCTCAACCCTCCCATCCCCTCAACCCACCCATCCCCTCAACCCACCCATCCCCTCAACACACCCATCCCCTCAACCCACCCATCCCCTCAACCCACCCATCCCCTCAACCCACCCATCCCCTCAACCCACCCATCCCCTCAGCCCACCCATCCCCTCAACCAAAACCCACCCATCCCCTCAACCCACCCATCCCCTCAGCCCACCCATCCCCTCAGCCCACCCATCCCCTCAACCCACCCATCCCCTCAACCCACCCATCCCCTCAACCCACCCATCCCCTCAACCCACCCATCCCCTCAACCCACCCATCCCCTCAACCCACCCATCCCCTCAACCCACCCATCCCCTCAACCCACCCATCCCCTCAACAAAGACCCACCCATCCCCTCAACCCCCCATCCCCTCAACCCACCCATCCCCTCAACCCACCCATCCCCTCAACCCACCCATCCCCTCAACCCACCCATCCCCTCAACCCACCCATCCCCTCAACCAAGACCCACCCATCCCCTCAACCCTCCCATCCCCTCAACCCACCCATCCCCTCAACCCACCCATCCCCTCAACCCACCCATCCCCTCAACCCACCCATCCCCTCAACCCACCCATCCCCTCAACCCACCCATCCCCTCAACCCACCCATCCCCTCAACCCACCCATCCCCTCAAACCACCCATCCCCTCAACCCACCCATCCCCTCAAACCACCCATCCCCTCAAACCACCCATCCCCTCAACCCACCCATCCCCTCAACCCTCCCATCCCATCAACCCACCCATCCCCTCAACCCACCCATCCCCTCAACCCACCCATCCCCTCAACCAAGACCCACCCATCCCCTCAACCCACCCATCCCCTCAACCCTCCCATCCCCTCAACCCACCCATCCCCTCAACCCACCCATCCCCTCAACCCTCCCATCCCCTCAACCCACCCATCCCCTCAACCCACCCATCCCCTCAACCCTCCCATCCCCTCAACCCACCCATCCCCTCAACCCACCCATCCCCTCAACCCACCCATCCCCTCAACCCACCCATCCCCTCAAACCACCCATCCCCTCAACCCACCCATCCCCTCAACCCTCCCATCCCATCAACCCACCCATCCCCTCAACCCACCCATCCCCTCAACCCACCCATCCCCTCAACCAAGACCCACCCATCCCCTCAACCCACCCATCCCCTCAACCCTCCCATCCCCTCAACCCACCCATCCCCTCAACCCACCCATCCCCTCAACCCACCCATCCCCTCAACCCACCCATCCCCTCAACCCACCCATCCCCTCAACCCACCCATCCCCTCAACCAAGACCCACCCATCCCCTCAGCCCACCCATCCCCTCAACCCACCCATCCCCTCAACCCACCCATCCCCTCAACCAAGACCCACCCATCCCCTCAGCCCACCCATCCCCTCAACCCACCCATCCCCTCAACCCTCCCATCCCCTCAGCCCACCCATCCCCTCAACCCACCCATCCCCTCAGCCCACCCATCCCCTCAACCCACCCATCCCCTCAACCCTCCCATCCCCTCAACCCACCCATCCCCTCAACCAAGAGCAATCCTCGGCCAGCAGCCATTCCAAGAACCGCGACTGTGCATGTTTTTTTGAGAACCTGTGTTATCTCCCTGCCCAATAGCTCAGTAAAGGTCGTTAGCCCAAAAGTAGCTGTGTCAAGGTCAATGTTTCTATGTCAAGGTCAATGTTTCTATGTCAAGGTCAATGTTTCTGTGTAGGTCACATCAAGCCACTGAAGTTTCAAATGTTTTGCTTTGTTTCTGAGTCCGAACAAAAGCTGCTTTTAGCAGACGCGAAAGATAATTCTCATTTTTCTGGCTGCAGGCTAAAATTAGCTGCACGTGCTCAGTCGTACCTGTCTGACGCGTGTGACCTTGAGGAGAACGAAACCTATAAATGTCAGCCTGACCTACAACATGAATGGTTGCTCGCCGTCTACTTTGGGCCAATCAGATTCAAGATCATATATATACACACATACACACACATATATGTATATATATATATATATATATATATATATATATATATATATATATATATATATATATATATATATATATATATATATATATATATATATATATATATATATATATATATATATATATATATATACATATAAGACTCCATACACATAGGTGTAAGGAGCAGGATTAGGGTTTCATTTCAATTTTTCAATTTAGACATTTGAATTTGTGTAAACATTTCAATTTAGGGGGGGGGGGAATAGTGTTTAGTGTTATGGTTAGGGTAGTTATGATTGGCTTGTTTTCTGATGTTCTGATATGTTACTACGTCGTGTTTCTGTCAACTATCATAGCACCAAAGGTTACGTGACCATAGGTCATGGAGCCAAAGGTCATGGGCCAAAGGTCACGGGGCCAATGGTCACCAGCTATACTTTCTCATTTAATGTATCTCTTTGCGTGCTCCCCCCTCTCCCCACCCACTCCCTCGTCATCAACAATTCCACGTTTAAAAGGAATGTTTTATTTTCTGAGAAAATGCGCCATTTTTTGGGCAGGCGTCTGGAAGACGGTGGCAGCACGAAGGGGGGGGGGGGGGCTGGCAGACGATGTACCAACTGATTCAGGCGGGATAACTCGCCTCCATCAGACGGTAAGTCTCATACAGAACATTGCATAGAACTGGCCAGGTTTCTTGGCGTTTTGATGCCAAATTTTTTCACCGGATTATCGGATTAAACACCAAAGCTGTAGGATTCGAATATGGATTATTATAGTGTGACAAGATTGTGAAACTAATTCTGTTGACAAATAGATGTCAGTGGATTTGTGGTGCATGTGTGTTGGATGTTTGGGTTGTGTGGGAGGACGTTGGGTTGATGTGGATCGGTCAAGATGTAGGTCAAGATGTAGGTCAATCTCAGGACTGAAACTCGTGTACGGCAAAGAAGTTGACCTGAATGTATGTCTGGTGTAGATGTGTGTAGGTCGGTGTGTGCCTATGTGTGTGAGTGTGTATGTGTGTGTGTGTGTTCCGTGTATTGTCAGCCAGTGTTCACAAAGCAAATTATTTTTCCGGAGATCACTACCCCACTACACCATCAGAAAGTTCTCCCTAAAAATTTAAAATCACGAAATCGGCTGGGCTATTTTTCGTTTGACTTCCACTAAATATAGATCTGATAATTTTAGTTTTTTTTTCTGTTTCCATGACCAACAACACACAGTATCAGATCGCTCGCTCGATTACTTCCCTTAACCATTTAATGTTTTTTTTCCCCTTGATTTGTCCATGTGTTTTTAATAAAGTGTTTACAAGAAATGGGAAAACCACTTGTGCGCATGTGCAACACAATTCCCGTCCCGTGCAGTAGACAAGACAAACCCAAGAACACACAACACTCGCGTGTAGGCCAGGGAACGCGTTGTGCCAGTACAAAAACTGCTCACCGTCCAAGGCTGAAGTGATGAATGGAATTCTCTAGATCTAGCACCAGAAAACTAGGGGTGGGGCTCGTAAAGTGAGGGTCAGCCCCAGAGTGGGGCAGAATGTTTGATCTGATCCCCACCCCTTTCTGTTTTTATCTGTCACAGAGCCGCAAGTAGCAAATGATCACGTGACCAGCAGAAAATGACAGTGCCAACCAGCAGACGACCAATACAATGAGCAGGGAGTCACTGGGTCATCACTTCAAGTTGACCTTGATCTTGGCCCTGACAGGCGCTAGTCTAAGGTCAGATTTTAATGACTGATTTTAAAACTCCCAGATATACATACTACATTATATATGTCACGTGACACACAATCTACGTTATATGTCACGTGGATGACCCAGACCCCACCCCTGACCTAAATTTTTTGAGTTGTGTGAGTTGGGCGGGTTGTGTGAGTTGCCTAACTGATTTCTCCAAAATTTTCTGCAGCACAAAATATTTCCTGACTGTCCCCTCTAAAGTAATTTATGATGTCAATTGTACCGCAGTCATCACAGCGTACGACTTTGACTCGGATGACTTGGAGCTAGTTGACTTGGAGTACAGAGGTACAACTCCGGATCGACTACTTCACAAGACAACTTTCACTTTCTATTCCAGTGAGTTGTGAATTGAGCTACCAGTTTGGTAGTTTCGTATTTACACATTTCAGACCCCTCGCTCTCCACACAAACTTACTTCCTACTGAAAAAGTGAAATATTTTCTATAAGGTAGCCAATCAACGCCCCCCCCCCCCTCTCGAACTGCTGTCCATTTGATTTTAGATGGCACACAGATGTGGAGCGTGTTATTTCCGTGGGAGAAGGTCAAGGATACAAGTATTATTTTATTGATGACAACAGATGGGCTGACCACTAGCAGAAGTCTGTCCCTTCAGCACCTCGGCGCGATCATCATTCAGACGGACAAGCCAATCTATGCACCGGGACAAACGGGTACATTCTAGATTTACATTCCACCTTGCTGTAACAATTCTAGATTTACATTCCACCTTGACAATTCTAGATTTACATTCCACCTTGCTGTAACAATTCTAGATTTACATTCCACCTTGCTGTCCCAATTCTAGATTTACATTCCACCTTGCTGTAACAATTCTAGATTTACATTAATACATTCCACATTGCTGTAACTACTCTAGATTTACATTCCACCTTGCTGTAACAATTCTAGATTTACATTCCACCTTGCTGTAACAATTCTAGATTTACATTCCACCTTGCTGTAACAATTCTAGATTTACATTCCACCTTGCCGTAACAACACAGGTGACTGCTACAGTTACTTAAGTTCGAATACAAGTCCTTTAATTATAATACAGGTCCTAATACACGTCCCTGTAATACAGGTTACTGTATACGTATAGATTGTATTGTAAATGACATAGATCTCTAGTAATAAGAACTAGAACAAAAGATGGAGGGGACATAACCAGGCTACACCCCTGCCTACATCTCTGCCTACACCTCTGCCTACACCTCTGCCTACATCTCTGCCTACACCTCTGCCTACACCCCTGCCTACACCTCTGCCTACACCTCTGCCTACACCTCTGCCTACACCTCTGCCTACATCTCTGCCTACACCTCTGCCTACATCTCTGCCTACACCTCGGCCTACACCTCGGCCTACACCCCTGCCTACACCTCTGCCTACACCCCTGCCTACACCCCTGCCTACACCTCTGCCTACACCCCTGCCTACACCTCTGCCTACACCTCTGCCTACACCTCTGCCTGTGTGATAAATCAACTGACAATCTGGAGCCAGTTTTTTGTTTCTTTCAGTCAGGTTCAGAGTCCTAGCAGTAGACGAGCTACAGAGGTTGTCATGGCAACTGGTCAGGGTAGAGATCTGGTTCCAATCTGTAAGGAGTTGCATTAGACCCTCCCTGACCCCTGCTGACATAGACCCTCCCTGACCCCTCCCTGACCCCTGCTGACATAGACCCTCCCTGACCCCTCCCTGACCCCTGCTGACATAGACCCTCCCTGACCCCTCCCTGACCCCTCCCTGACCCCAGCTGACATAGACCCTCCCTGACCCCAGCTGACATAGACCCTCCCTGACCCCTCCCTGACCCCTGCTGACATAGACCCTCCCTGACCCCTCCCTGACCCCTCCCTGACCCCAGCTGACATAGACCCTCCCTGACCCCAGCTGACATAGACCCTCCCTGACCCCTCCCTGACCCCTGCTGACATAGACCCTCCCTGACCCCAGCTGACATAGACCCTCCCTGACCCCTCCCTGACCCCTGCTGACATAGACCCTCCCTGACCCCTGCTGACATAGACCCCTCCTTAAATAGACCTCTGTTGACATAGACCTCTGTTGACATAGACCCCTGACAGTAGACCATGAACCACTGCTATTCCCCACAGACAAAGCACACATGTAACAATAATATTGTTGGTTGTGTTTATGTTTAAGTTACATGGGGGTTGTGTTTATGTTTAAGTTACAATTGTGGGTTGTGTTTATGTTTAAGTCTGGCTTACATTTATTCAAATTAAAAGCAAAAAAAAAAAATATTTTTTTTAAATTTTAAATTAAGTTTACTTTGTATACAAACTTTTTAATGCATATTGTAATATATCCTTAATGTTGTTATTAACATTTAAAAAAAATGAATTGTAAATGTTAAGTGTCTAACATGTTTAATTTGATTGTCAACAAAATGTCAGTCTATTGACCGCAACCAGACCATTCTAGAGCGACTAGTGCTGTCAGCCGAGGCTGCCTTTAGGGGGGAGAGCTACGAGCTGCCCACCCACGTCCCTCATGGAGTCTGGTGCCTTGCTGCTTGTCTGCACACTCAGGTGAGTTACACAGGTGGGTTACACAGGTGAGTTACAAATGTGAGCTACACAGGTGGGTTACACAGGTGAGCTACACAGGTGAGCTACACAGGTGGGTTACATGTGAGCTACACAGGTGACTTACACAGGTGAGTTACACAGGTGAGTTACACAGGTGAGGCCTCTAAAGTTGGACATTTTTTCACTTTCATTCATTCATGACACGTTCTTGTCATTAATACAACTTTCATGCACACATCCAACATTCAGATGTTGCAAACTAAAATATAACATTGTTACACACACAGGTAGACAGACACACAGACAGGTAGACAGACACACAGACAGGTAGACAGACACACAGACAGGTAGACAGACACACAGACAGGTAGACACACAGGTAGACAGACACACAGACAGGTACACAGACACAGGTACACAGACACAGGTAGACAGACACACAGACAGGTAGACAGACACACAGACAGGTAGACAGACACACAGACAGGTAGGCAGACACATAGACAGGTAGACAGACATACAGACAGGTAGACAGACAGGTAGACAGACACACATACAGGTAGGCAGACACATAGACAGGTAGACAGACACACAGACAGGTACACAGATACACAGACAGGTACACAGATACACAGACAGGTACACAGACACACAGACAGGTAGACAGACACATAGACAGGTACACAGATACAGACAGGTACACAGATACAGACAGGTAGGCAGACACACAGACAGGTAGACAGACACACAGACAGGTAGACAGACACACAGACAGGTAGACAGACACACAGACAGGTACACAGACACACAGGCAGGTACACAGACACACAGGCAGGTACACAGACACACAGACAGGTAGACAGACACACAGACAGGTAGACAGACACACAGACAGGTACACAGACACACAGGCAGGTACACAGACACACAGGCAGGTACACAGACACACAGACAGGTACACAGATACAGACAGGTACACAGACACATAGACAGGTACACAGACACAGACAGGTAGGCAGACATACAGACAGGTAGAATTGGCACATCTGCATGTAATAGACTTAATGGAGCTGAACCCTTTATTTCAGGCAGATCAAATTTGTTCAACTGTTGTACAAGAGTTTGTAGTTCAAGACTATGGTAAGTTAGCTTTACTGTAAGACTGTGTTAGGTTTACTGTCAGACTGAGGTTTACTGTAAGACTGAGGTTTACTGTAAGACTGAGGTTTACTGTAAGACTGAGGTTTACTGTAAGACTGAGGTTTACTGTAAGACTGAGGTTTACTGTAAGACTGAGGTTTACTGTAAGACTGAGGTTTACTGTAAGACTGAGGTTTACTGTAAGACTGATTTATTACTGTGATCTGTGCTGGACGAGTGTTGTTTAAACAATTTTCAGTTTTGATTTTTTTTTTTTAAAAACACAAATTAAAAGAAATTTTTTAAATTTGTAAGTACCAATTAGAGTGTAGAAAATATTTTTTACTGCTAACATTATTTCAGTCACTCCAGTGGAGCCAAACAAAACAGCCAACATCATCAAACAAAATTTCAAGTGAGGTTTTGTTACGTCTAGCTATCAAAAGGATTTTATAAATGAACCTTTTTTGTAGGCCTACTAATATCTAGGCCAATAAGTATATTTTATAGTTTAACATTATTTATTTCTCTTGTACAGGGTACATAAAGTATTGTAATATTGAACAAACAGTACATGAAATTTCAACAGTTTTTGCCATTTGAGTTAGATTCACAAAATTTTGTAGGTTAAATGGAAGTGGTACTTACTTCTTGTTTCTCTCTAACTTGAGTACTGTTTACTGTGGGCACAAATATAACTATTACATTGTATGCCTAGGTTTCTTTCAACTTTTGAATGATTTTCATTAAGTGGAAGTGGTGCTTTATTTCCATGGGAACACAACAACTTACATAATAGCAATTGTTTCTTAGTAGATTAAACTTCATATATAAGTACAAGATCTAATACTTGGTTTACTCTCAAATTTTGAATGACATCCAATGCCCCAATTTGATAATTTTATATCATATTCTGATGAAGTATATTCAAAATTTTCACTATGTGTATTCTAAAAAAACAATGAAAACAAAAACTTGCTATTTAATAACAAACTTGTATATTTCTATAGCCGGATGGTACTGGAAGGGCCATACCAACCCTCTGTCCTCTACTAAACCTTTCATCAAATCACCATAAAAGAATCAAACTTTGGGATGTTAATGCACCAGAAAAGGTTTCTGCTAAAAATAAAACATTAAATTTTGGAGGGATATCACCCGTCTATTAAAAATGGATGCAGTTTGACACTGTCCATCCGAGTGCCATGAATTTGAGTGTAAACAAACCCGTGCCCTAACATCCGAGTGCCATGAAACTTGAGTGTAAACAAACCCGCGCCCTAACATCCGAGTGCCATGAAACTTGAGTGTAAACAAACCCGCGCCCTAACATCCGAGTGCCATGAAACTTGAGTGTAAACAAACCCGCGCCCTGTGATCCCTTTTAGTGCTGGGGCTGTTTACACTGAAATAACTCAGGTTTAGAAAACCAGGTCACAGATCTAAAAAATACAATATTGGTAATACATTGATGAAATCCTCTTAAAATATTGTGTCAGCAATATAAGAATAAATGAGAATGTTTAGGGGCCACCACTCCCATATGGTTTAGGGGCCACCACTTCCACATGATTTAGGGCCACCACTCCCATATGGTTTAGGGGCCACCACTCCCACATGATTTTAGGGGCCACCACTCCCACATGATTTTAGGGGCCACCACTCCCACATGATTTAGGGGCCACCACTCCCACATGATTTAGAGGCCACCACTCCCAGATGATTTAGGGGCCACCACTCCCACATGATTTAGGGCCACCACTCCCATATGATTTAGGGGCCACCACTCCCTGATGGTTTAGGGGCCACCACTCCCATATGATTTAGGGGCCACCACTTCCACATGATTTAGGGCCACCACTCCCATATGGTTTAGGGCCACCACTCCCACATGATTTAGGGCCACCACTCCCATATGGTTTAGGGGCCACCACTCCCATATGGTTTAGGGGCCACCACTCCCATATGATTTAGGGGCCACCACTTCCACATGATTTAGGGCCACCACTCCCATATGATTTAGGGGCCACCACTCCCATATGGTTTAGGGGCCACCACTTCCAGATGATTTAGGGGCCACCACTTCCACATGATTCAGTACCAGACAGCCTGCACTGGAATAACCATTTGCTTTCAGTCAACTGTCTTGCAACCCAATGACTGAGGCTACAGACAGCAGAGAGCAAACATCAGACAACCACACAAGCCAAGAAGATTTTATTTCCATCTCATTGAAGAGCCCTGTAACGGTGAGTAAAACCATCTTTAATTGCTGGGGAAATTTTTTTAGCCATTGAAGCTCAAGGTGGCTTAAGTAAAGTCTTGAGTTCAAATTCCCAGTTAGATGAGCCTCAGTAGCTGGGGACAGCTACACATTTAGGAGCAAAAAGTTCAAAATCAAACAACTGTTGCCTAGTAGCTTGTTCTTGGCTGTACAAAGGCTATGGAAGCAAATCAAACAACTGTTGCCTTGTAGCTTTTTCTTGGCTGTACAAAGGCTATGGAAGCAAATCAAACAACTGTTGCCTTGTAGCTTGTTCTTGGCTGTACAAAGGCTATGGAAGCAAATCCAGAAAGTAAAACAGGCGGAGTCAACTGGCTATTAGGCGCATGTGGATAAAACCTAAAAGTATTTTATATTGCTTTAGAAATCTATTTTCAAACAACAACAAAAAATTTCAAACAACAAAACTCTTTTCAGGAAGACAGTGATGGGCTTATATTAGTGCAGTATTTGAAATCTACAGAATCAGCAGGAGAAAGCATTACTGTAACCGTAAGAAAACATTACTGTAACCGTAAGAAAACATTACTGTAACCGTAAGAAAACATTACTGTAACCGTAAGAAAACATTACTGTAACCGTAAGAAAACATTACTGTAACCGTAAGAAAACATTACTGTAACTGTAAGAAAACATTACTGTAACCGTAAGAAAACATTACTGTAACCGTAAGAAAACATTACTGTAACCGTGAGAAAACATTACTGTAACCGTAAGAAAACATTACTGTAACCGTAAGAAAACATTACTGTAACCGTAAGAAAACATTACTGTAACCGTAAGAAAACATTACTGTAACCATAAGAAAACATTACTGTAACCGTAAGAAAACATTACTGTAACCGTAAGAAAACATTACTGTAACCGTAAGAAAACATTACTGTAACCGTAAGAAAACATTACTGTAACCGTAAGAAAACATTACTGTAACCGTAAGAAAACATTACTGTAACCGTAAGAAAACATTACTGTAACCGTAAGAAAACATTACTGTAACCGTAAGAAAACATTACTGTAACCGTAAGAAAACATTACTGTAACCGTAAGAAAACATTACTGTAACCGTAAGAAAACATTACTGTAACCGTAAGAAAACATTACTGTAACCGTAAGAAAACATTACTGTAACCGTAAGAAAACATTACTGTAACCGTAAGAAAACATTACTGTAACCGTAAGAAAACATTACTGTAACTGTAAGAAAACATTACTGTAACTGTAAGAAAACATTACTGTTGCCGTAAGATATAAATATCTTCTTTCATCTATTTTGTTTCACCTTAAGAAAGGTCATGAAAGTTCAGAATTTTATATAGGCAACTTGTTACCCTCATATTTCTAGTCCAACAATTAATGAATAAATTTAAAATAAATTATCATTGCATTTGTTTTATAAATTGAATAAAGCAATTTTTATTTATAAAACAGGATGTTGATACATGTAACTTTCAGGTTGTGGCTTTAACTGCCCCTACTTACCATGTCTTCACTACACTGACTCAAAGATCAGACAAAGGGACATCATCGGTTCTACTACCAAGACAGATGTACAGAGAGTTATCTTCCAGTTTTCAAATATTTGCCTTCTATCATAAATCTTCAGACAAAAAAATTATTTTTAACTCATTGCCTGTCTGTAGACCTTTGGCTTTTCTAGAGGTTTGTTCCAACTTTAAAAAAAAAAAAAAAATTTTTTAAATTCTATTAATTTTAATTTGGTTGAGCCATTATTTTTAAAAGATTTATAAAAACACTTTACTTTTTAAAATTTTAACTTTTTATTAGAATAATTATCCTGGTTTAAGGTTGGTCCATAAAATATCCTGATTTTTAATAATTGTCAATTATTTCAAAAGCTTGGTAAAAAAATCTTTCTATTTTTAAATTCCTAGATCAATATAAGAGATTTGAATGGTTCAAACAGCAGCAGATCACCAAAAGACGAGCTTGTCCTTCAGGTATGGGGCAGCCCAGGTATGAGAGTTGGACTGGCTGCTGTTGACATGGCTGTCCTGCAACTCAACAACAAAAATTCTCTAATGGCTGAAGCAGTAAGAAATTTGTTATAAATTAAAAAGTGTAACTAAAAATAATTATTGAAAGATAGTGATCTGATATCTTCTTCTTCTTCGTTCGGATATGATTACAAAGATTATTAAAAAGAAAAGTACAAATGGAAATTATTTTAAAGGATTGTAAAAAGGGATCCAGACTCCCCCCCCCTCCCCTCCCCCACTAACAAAAGCAGAAAACCAGGTCGCAAACCCTCTGGTTTATATAAGAAAGAAAAAAAACTTTGGTGAAAAGTTAGTGATATGAAGGGATATATTGCCTATTAAATTTTGTATAATTAAAATAAAAGTTTTAAACCTTAAAGAAAATGATGTAAAGCTAAATTGCCATTCAGAAATCGTGAAATGTACTCACTTTATAAACTTGGAAAAAACACTGCACAAGGTGTAATATTTCCAACTAAATTCAGGACTAGAAACACAAAAACATAAGTGGGGCCAGAGCTTCAGCACATAGAAGTGATGTGACCAAAATATTTGCTGTGATTGTGACAAATATTACATAGAAGTGATGTGACCAAAATATTGGCTGTGATTGTGACAATCACACATAGAAGTGATGTGACCAAAATATTGGCTGTGATTGTGACAATCATACATAGAAGTGATGTGACCAAAATATTGGCTGTGATTGTGACAAATATTACATAGAAGTGATGTGACCAAAATAGTGGCTGTGATTGTGACAAATATTACATAGAAGTGATGTGACCAAAATATTGGCTGTGATTGTGACAATCATACATAGAAGTGATGTGATCAAAATATTTGCTGGATTGTGACAATCACACATAGAAGTGATGTGACCAAAATATTTGCTGTGATTGTGACAATGACACATAGAAGTGATGTGATCAAAATATTTGCTGGATTGTGACAATCATACATAGAAGTGATGTGACCAAAATATTTGCTGTGATTGTGACAATCATACATAGAAGGGATGTGACCAAAATATTTGCTGGATTGTGACAATCATACATAGAAGGGATGAGGCCAAACCGCATAAGATTAAGTTTGTGTCAACTTTCTCTGGGACAGTTGGAGTGGAGAGTATTTGATGGAGAGCAGCTTGTCTAAGTTTTGACATATAAAGTATGTTGCCTAAGTCATGACATATAAATTATGTTGCCTAAGTCATGACATATAAATTATGTTGCCTAAGTCTTGACTTATAAATGATGTTGTCTAAGTCTTGACATATAAATTACGTTGTCTAAGTAGTGACATATAAATTATATTGTCTAAGTCTTGACATAAATTATATTGTCTAAGTCTTGACATAAATTATATTGTCTAAGTCTTGACATAAATTACGTTGTCTAAGTCTTGACAAATATTTTCTCTGAGGTTTTAGAGCAACTGAGAGGCCAGCATATAGATCACGCCCAAGGGAAAATAGAAAATTTTACGGTAAGATACTGTGCGTGTAAGCCTTATGTAGATTTAAACATTAATTTATGCATTTTAACAAATACAGATATATCTTAAATGTTTATAAAAACAAGGAACCTTGGTGATAAATATTTTAAAGTCTATCAAATCTCCCTCTAACCTTCATGTTTTACCCTGACCTCTGACCTTCATGGTTTACCCTGACCTCTGACCTTCATGGTTTACCCTGACCTCTGACCTTCATGGTTTACCCTGACCTCTGACCTTCATGGTTTACCCTGACCTCTGACCTTAATGGTTTACCCTGACCTCTGACCTTAATGGTTTACCCTGACCTTCATGTTTTACTCTAACCTTCATGTTTTACCCTGACCTCTGACCTTCATGGTTTACTCTGACCTTCATGTTTTACCCTTCAGAAATTTCTCCAAACCTCTGGCCTTGAGATTCTGCATCTACCTGCTGACAACATTGACACAGGTGAGAAAGGTCATCAGACCTGTAAGCAGGGTCTTTACCTGCAGGCCTGTAAGCAGGGTCTTTAGCTGCAGGCCTGTAAGCAGGTCTTTACCTGCAGGCCTGTAAGCAGGGTCTTTACCTGCAGACCTGTAAGCAGGGTCTTTACCTGCAGGCTTGTAAGCAGGGTCTTTACCTGCAGGCTTGTAAGCAGGGTCTTTACCTGCAGGCCTGTAAGCAGGTCTTTACCTGCAGGCCTGTAAGCAGGGTCTTTACCTGCAGGCCTGTAAGCAGGGTCTTTACCTGCAGGCCTGTAAGCAGGGTCTTTACCTGCAGGCTTGTAAGCAGGGTCTTTACCTGCAGGCCTGTAAGCTGAGCTGCATGTACAAGCATCCAATCTTCCCCCAGCTGCTGACAGTTCTGGTGGTGGCCAGTCAAGAGAGAGGACAGACCAGAACACCATCAGGAGCTCCTTCCCAGAGTCTTGGCTCTTCCAGGAGGTCATGCTAGACAAGTAGTTTATTTTTTTATGGTCCTATGACAAATACACTGTTGCATTCAGACTAAGCTTCAATACTGCATGTATGAGGTTAACACTGCTTTAAGTTCTGTCATGTTCTAGAACAGGATGTATGGGGTTAACACTGCTTTAAGTTCTTGCATGTTCTAGAACAGGATGTATGGGGTTAACACTGCTTTAAGTTCTGTCATGTTCTAGAACAGGATTCCAGGAGCTGACCTTGAGACTGCCTGACTCCATCACAACCTGGCAGTTTGTGGCCATGGGTGTGTCCGCCGCAGGAGGGGTCTGTGTGTCCAACACTCTGGAACAAAAAGTTGAGAAACATTTTTTTGCTGATGTCAGAGCCCAACAGCGGGTCAAACGTCTGGAAGAGGTGACAGTCAATATCAGCATCCATAACCAGATGGACTGTAGCCTAGATGTGAGTTGACATCTCTCTAATCCAACCTCTCATTTCTAACCAAAGTTCTAATCTAATTTCTTAATTTCTAATCAAAGTTCTAACTGATCTAATTTCTTAATTTCTAATCAAAGTTCTAACTGATCTAATTTCTAACCAAAGTTCTAACTAATCTAATTTCTTAATTTCTAACCAAAGTTCTAACTGATCTAATTTCTTAATTTCTAACCAAAGTTCTAACTAATCTAATTTCTTAATTTCTAATCAAAGTTCTAACTGATCTAATTTCTTAATTTCTAATCAAAGTTCTAACTGATCTAATTTCTAACCAAAGTTCTAACTAATCTAATTTCTTAATTTCTAACCAAAGTTCTAACTGATCTAATTTCTTAATTTCTAACCAAAGTTCTAACTAATCTAATTTCTTAATTTCTAACCAAAGTTCTAACTGATCTAATTTCTTAATTTCTAACCAAAGTTCTAACTAATCTAATTTCTTAATTTCTAACCAAAGTTCTAACTAATCTAATTTCTTAATTTCTAACCAAAGTTCTAACTAATCTAATTTCTTAATTTCTAACGTAACTTCTAACTAATCTAATTTCTTAATTTCTAACCAAAGTTCTAATCTAATTTCTTAATTTCTAACCAAAGTTCTAACTAATCTAATTTCTTAATTTCTAACCAAAGTTCTAACTAATCTAATTTCTTAATTTCTAACCAAAGTTCTAACTAATCTAATTTCTTAATTTCTAACGTAAGTTCTAACTAATCTAATTTCTTAATTTCTAACCAAAGTTCTAATCTAATTTCTTAATTTCTAACCAAAGTTCTAACTAATCTAATTTGAAAATGCAAACTAGACATGGTCTATTGTCCTGCAAAAAGATTTTAATCCTAAAAATAGCGCAGGGATCTCTTAGGTCCAGCACAGGCAGACATCTTTCCACCACCATTTTGGTGCACTTGAATCTATTGCTGTTCTACTCTAATCAGTCTATTTCTGTTCTGCTCTAACCAATTTATTGCTGCTTCAAATTGGCTACTGATTGCTCCCAAGAGAATAAGAAATCAATGTTCAATTTTTCAGGTGGATTTAGTGGTTTCTACAAGTGAGGAGCTCTGTTTTTCTCAGCCAGTACAAGAGGAGAGCTTGGACAAGACTGTACAGCAAAGTATCAACATGTTAGAGAGTGGACGAACAAAACATCTGACATTAAAGGTAGGTCAACAGTTCCATGACAAATGATCTCAGGACAAACAATCTCAGACAAAATATCTCACGGACAAATGATCTCAAGGACAAATTATGTCAGGACAAATGATCTCAAGGACAAATGATCTCATGGACAAAATATCTCACAGACAAATGATCTCAAGGACAAATGATCTCAGGACAAAAGATACCAGGACAAAATATATCAGGACAAAATGATATCACGGACAAATGATCTGAGACAAAATATCTCACAGCGAAATTTTAATAGTATGTACGATGATTTTAGTTGATTTGAACTTTTTTATTGACTGTCATTGAGGGTGCGATGAAACTGAGTGCCATGAAACTTTGGGGAGTAGATGAAAATACTCCTGAGAAGCTTTCTGTGCAGACATTGTTTACATATATGTAAGCCCTGCCTGGGGGGGGGGGAACTATTCTACATCCCTAGGCTTAAATAAATAAACTAACAGGTCAGTACAAGTCCGGTCGAACCTAGACAGGCTAAAACCCTAACCTGAGTCTTAACTAAAACAAAAGAGAAAATAAACCTTAATTTATAAAATTTATTGTATGAAAAACAGGAACCAAATTTAGCAATAAAATGTAAACTAAAAAAAACAACTAAAGGTGACAAAACATTACATCACAGACTAAACATATCCAAACAAAACATCGAACCAAACACTAAACAAACAAAACATCGAACCAAACACTAAAAAACAAAACATCCAAAACACCCTGCCAATGTAACCTCGCTCAGACACGACCTACATTCTTGACTTCAGTAAAAAAATAAAGAACCAAGCACAGATTTTCACACAATAATATAATAATACAAATAAGACAATCTCCTACTCACATATAAATAACACAGTTCTAGAAAACAAGAACACTCATCTAAGTTCTAGAAAACAAGAACACTCGTCTAAGTTCTAGAAAACAAGAACACTCGTCTAAGAATATATGATTGTTATGTATTTGGTCAGACTTTCTTCTATCCCAGCGTCAATACACGGTGAAAGGCGCTCTAATTGTTATACAAGAATACATGAAAAATTTTAGGGGAGATCACTGTTATTTATGTTTTCCTAGGTGATCCCGCTAAAAGTTGGTGAGTTTAATCAGATCACTGTTATTAATATTTATGTTTTCCTAGGTGATCCCGCTAAAAGTTGGTGAGTTTAATTTGACAGTCAACAGTAGTGGCAGGTGCTCACTGAAGCAGCAGCAGAAATACAGCGATGTTGTCATCAAGACACTACATGTAACTGTAAGCATAACACATGTAACTGTAAGCATTAACAAATGTAACTGTAAGCATTAACAAATGTAACGGTAAGCATTAATACATGTAGCTGTAAGCATTAATTGTAGTAAGCTTGGGTATAACATCCCATCTTAAATATAACTTTTGTGAAAAAAATGTCTTATTATTATGTTAACATGGTGTTCAAGTTTTTAAATAGAAGCTAAAATGCTTATTTAAGTCATAACAGAATTATTTTGCTAACTTTATATAAATCATAACAGAATTATTTTGCTAATTTTATATAAATATTACAGAATTATTTTGCAAATTTTATATAAATATTACAGAATTGTTTAGCTATTTTTATATAAACATTACAGAATTATTTAGCTATTTTTACTTTAAAAAAATCATTACAGAAACATTTTGTTAATGTAATAAAATTCACTATAGCATACCTGGCCTGCAGTAATATTTGAAGAGGATTTCATAAATGTGTTAACAATTGTGTATTTTTAGATGCATGAAATGTTTTCTAAAACCGAGTTTTTTAAATGTGGACAAAGCAGGTGCTAAATTTTTTAAAGTTTTTAGGCCGTGGTTTGTCCACACTATACAGAACAACCTGAGCCATTTGGGCTATAGTCTACAGCCCAGATGGCCCAGGTTGTTCTGTATGACAACCTTGAAAGTTTGTTGATCAGACACCATAATAGTCAAGTAGAGCTACATCTCAGCACCATAATAGTAGAGCTACACCTCAGCAATTGCCCTGGTTATGCTACTGCAAGGGCGCAGGCTACGGCCCCTGGTTTGGTTTAATCATCACATTGTGCCACTGTATCTCTATTGTATGGCACTCTTTAAAACAAATGTAGGCACAGTGGACCTGGGAGTACGGGGCACCAAATCACATCCTGCCAGGGTACGGCCCCTTCCAAATTAAAATTTCTTTTTTCTCAGAAACCTAACCCAAGTTTCTTGGCCAGCGGATGAAAGGTGTATTTGCACATTAAGGACAAACAGACATACTTTCATTTATATATATATATTTGAGCTGACCCGCGCCGTAAGCATACGCCGCTGTTTAGTTGTTTTTATTTTCTACTTTTCAGTAATTCATAATTCACTACCAATGCTGCGACTGAAAATATTTTGCTTTAAAACACTATCAGTAGCTGGTAAAGACGATTATCCTCACCCTCCCTCCCCACCCCTCCCGCGAACTCAGTGAACCACAGCTCACCTGACAGGTGGGGATGAGGGTGGTGGCTAAGCTGCGTGGTGTCATCTATGGTCCCCAAGAAGAGAATTATATATATATCTTATATATATATATATATATGAATATAAATATACAAATTAAGGAATCATTTTTGGATTTTATATAAAACTGGCTGTAAACATTTTGGAAAATAAACATTTTCTTCATAATCAAAAGCCTTAATATATTTTAAGTGTGGGCCTAATTGCACTTTAACCTGAGTATTATATTTAACCCTCAAACATTTTGAACAGGATGAAGGCCAGAAGGTCAAAAGGTCAATTGTAATTTTGTTGGACCCAGAAGCAAAACATGTGACCTTTAAAGCTGTTCATAAGAACAAAATCAAGCTGACCAATACTGCCACTGTCACAAGTAAGTCAACTGACCAATACTGTCACAAGTAAGTCAACTGACCAATGCTGTCACAAGTAAGTCAACTGACCAATACTGTCACAAGTAAGTCAACTGACCAATACTGCACTATCACAATTCCCCTTCGGCTGCCAACAGAAATCTTTCATCCAGCTCCCATCCCTACCCCAATACATTTTGTCCAAGTGTCCTCTAACTCTAACATACATTTTCTGCATCTTGAATATCTTGGCCTTTTTGCAAAATGTCCAAAACTATGCCAGTGTTTGTCTAGTCCTTGACCACACTGTGCTGACAATGTAGAGCTTGACCACACTGTCTTTCACTTGGTATAAGTTTATAGGTCAGACAAATCACAATGGGATCTTTTTCTTGCAGATAGTTTTCACACAAAAAAAAAATGGCAACGCACAAAAATTGATCTGGCAATGCCAAACAACATTATTCCTGGTACAGAGAGATGCCACATTTTAGCTTTTGGTCAGTCTGCGTGTGTGTTTGGTCAGTCTGTGTGTGTGTGTTTGGTCTGTCTGTGTGTGTGTTTGGTCAGTTTGTGTGTGTGTTGACATTAGTCTGTGTGTGTGTTGACATTAGTCTGTGTGTGTGTTGACATTAGTCTGTGTGTGTGTTGACATTAGTCTGTGTGTGTGTTGACATTAGTGTGTGTGTGTGTTGACATTAGTCTGTGTGTGTGTTGACATTAGTCTGTGTGTGTGTTGAGATTAGTCTGTGTGTGTGTTGACATTAGTCTGTGTGTGTGTTGACATTAGTCTGTGTGTGTGTTGACATTAGTCTGTGTGTGTGTTGACATTAGTCTGTGTGTGTGTTGACATTAGTCTGTGTGTGTGTTGACATTAGTCTATGTGTGTGTTGACATTAGTCTGTGTGTGTTGTCTGTGTGTTGCAGGTGATTTGATGGGTGACATTAGTCTGTGTGTTGCAGGTGATTTGATGGGTGACATTAGTCTGTGTGTTGCAGGTGATTTGATGGGTGACATTAGTCTGTGTGTTGCAGGTGATTTGATGGGTGACATTGTGACACAGACACTGCGACATTCCAGACATCTCCTGGACCACCCCACGCACAATGTGGAGAGTGTACTAGGTGACCTGGGGCCTACAGTTCATGCTCTCTTGTATCTTAAGGCCGCTGGACGATTGGACGACAGTCTCAATGATAGGGGTCATCGCTTTATCAGACAGGGTAAGGTTTTGTAAAACATGAGACTGATGACAATAAAATATGATCAAAGACCTTGTGCTATGATACAGTGGGCTCCGCGTTCTATGACAAGTCAATGTTTAACTGTGAACAGTATGAAACTTGATCTCTGGAACTTTGATACTGTGACTTGTTCCATCAAACTTTGGTACTGTGACTTGTTCCATCAAACTTTGGTACTGTGACTTGTTCCATCAAACTTTGATACTGTGACTTGTTCCATCAAACTTTGGTACTGTGATTTGTTCCATCAAACTTTGATACTGTGACTTGTTCCATCAAACTTTGATACTGTGATTTGTTTCATCAAACTTTGATACTGTGACTTGTTCCATCAAACTTTGGTACTGTGACTTGTTCCATCAAACTTTGGTACTGTGACTTGTTCCATCAAACTTTGGTACTGTGACTTGTTCCATCAAACTTTGATAATATGACTTGTTCCAACAAACTTTGATACTGTGACTTGTTCCATCAACCTTTGATACTGTGACTTGTTCCATCAAACTTTGGTACTGTGACTTGTTCCATCAAACTTTGATACTGTGACTTGTTCCATCAAACTTTGGTACTGTGACTTGTTCCATCAAACTTTGATACTGTGACTTGTTCCATCAAACTTTGGTACTGGGACTTGTTCCAACAAACTTTGGTGCCGTGAATTCTTCCATCAAACTTTGATACTGTGACTTGTTCCATCAAACTTTGGTACTGTGACTTGTTCCATCAAACTTTGGTACTGTGGCTTGTTCCATCAAACTTTGATACTGTAACTTGTTCCATCAAACTTTGATACTGTGACTTGTTCCATCAAACTTTGATACTGTGGCTTGTTCCATCAAACTTTGGTACTGTGACTTGTTCCATCAAACTTTGGTACTGTGACTTGTTCCATCAAACTTTGGTACTGTGACTTGTTCCATCAAACTTTGATACTGTGACTTGTTCCATCAAACTTTGGTACTGTGACTTGTTCCATCAAACTTTGGTACTGTGACTTGTTCCATCAAACTTTGGTACTGTGACTTGTTCCATCAAACTTTGGTACTGTGACTTGTTCCATCAAACTTTGATACTGTGACTTGTTCCATCAAACTTTGATACTGTGACTTGTTCCATCAAACTTTGGTACTGTGATTTGTTCCATCAAGTGATTTGTTCCATCAAACTTTGGTACTGTGACTTGTTCCATCAAACTTTGATACTGTAACTTGTTCCATCAAACTTTGATACTGTGACTTGTTCCATCAAACTTTGATACTGTGACTTGTTCCATCAAACTTTGGTACTGTGACTTGTTCCATCAAACTTTGGTACTGTGACTTGTTCCATCAAACTTTGGTACTGTGATTTGTTCCATCAAACTTTGGTACTGTGATTTGTTCCATCAAACTTTGATACTGTGACTTGTTCCATCAAACTTTGATACTGTGATTTGTTCCATCAAACTTTGGTACTGTGACTTGTTCCATCAAACTTTGGTACTGGGACTTGTTCCATCAAACTTTGATAATATGACTTGTTCCAACAAACTTTGATACTGTGACTTGTTCCATCAACCTTTGATACTGTGACTTGTTCCATCAAACTTTGATACTGTGACTTGTTCCATCAAACTTTGGTACTGTGACTTGTTCCATCAAACTTTGGTACTGTGACTTGTTCCATCAAACTTTGGTACTGTGATTTGTTCCATCAAACTTTGGTACTGTGATTTGTTCCATGACAGTTGACAACTGGATTTGTTTCTTGCAGGTGTGACCCAACTACTTAGGTACAGGCATGGGAGAGCATTCAGACAGACACCAGGTTCTCCAGACTCGACATGGTAACCTCCCTTGGTTATGCCAGTTTGTTCATCTATTTCTGTCATTGTGTTTAGGCCCTGTGTGATGTTCAACTATTTCTGTCATTGTGTGTAGGCCCTGCGTGACAACTCAAATGTAACTCTCTAACACCAGGGCTCTCAGCTTGAACTATTTCTGCCTCTCACACAGCCACCCCACACCTCTCACACAGCCACCCCACACCTCTCACACAGCCACCCCACACCTCTCACACAGCCACCCCACACCTCTCACACAGCCACCCCACACCTCTCACACACCCACCCCACACCTCTCACACAGCCACCCCACACCTCTCACACAGCCACCCCACACCTCTCACACAGCCACCCCACACCTCACACAGCCACCCCACACATTCACCCCACACCTCTCACACAGCCACCCCACACCTCTCACACAGCCACCCCACACCTCTCACACAGCCACCCCACACCTCTCACACACCCACCCCACACCTCTCACACAGCCACCCCACACCTCTCACACAGCCACCCCACACCTCTCACACAGCCACCCCACACCTCACACAGCCACCCCACACATTCACCCCACACCTCTCACACACCCACCCCACACCTCTCACACAGCCACCCCACACCTCTCACACAGCCACCCCACACCTCTCACACAGCCACCCCACACCTCTCATCAGCCCCCCACACATTCACCCCACACCTCTCACACACCCACCCCACCCCTCTCTCACAGCCACCCCACACCTCTCACACAGCCACCCCACACCTCTCACACAGCCACCCCACACCTCTCACAGCAGCACCCCACACATTCACCTCACACCTCTCACACACCCACCCCACACCTCTCACACAGCCACCCACACCTCTCACACTGCCACCCACACCTCACACAGCCACCCCACACAATCACCTCACACCTCTCACACACCCACCCCACACCTCTCACACAGCACCCCACACCTCGCACACACCCTCCCCACTCCGCCACACAGCCTCTCACACCTCTCCACCCACACGCTCTCACACCCACACCTCTCAGCTACACCCACCCCACACCTCTCACACAGCCACCCCACACCTCTCACACACTCACCCACACCTCTACCACCCACCCAGCACCTCTCACACAGTCCTCCCCACACATTCACCTCACACCTCTCACACACCCACTCCTCACACTCTCTACAGCACCCCAGCACCTCACACACCACCACACAGCCACCCCCACCTCCTCACTCACCCACCTCTCACACAGCCACCCCACCTCTCAGCTCCACCCCACACCTCTCACACACCACCCCACACCTCTCACACAGCCACCCCACCCGCTCTCACACACGCCACCTCTCTCACACCTCACCCAGCCACCCTCCACAGCACCCACCCTCTCTCACGACAGCCACCCCCACACCTCTCACACACCCACCCCACACCTCTCACACACCCACCCCACACCTCTCACAGCATCTCACACCCACCCCTCTCACACAGCCATCCCCACACCTCTCACACACCCACCCCACACCTCTCACACAGCCACCCCACACCTCTCACACAGCCACCCCACACCTCTCACACACCCACCCCACACCTCTCACACAGCCACCCCACACCTCTCACACACCACCCCACACCTCTCACACAGCCACCCCACACCTCTCACACAGCCATCCCACACCTCTCACACAGCCACACCACACCTCACACACAGCCACCCCACACCTCTCACACACCCACACACACCTCTCACACAGCCACCCCACACCTCTCACACAGCCACCCCACACCTCTCACACACCCACCCCACACAGCCACACCACACCTCTCACACAGCCACACCACACCTCTCACACAGCCACCCCACACCTCTCACACACCCACCCCACACAGCCACCCCACACCTCTCACACAGCCACCCCACACCTCTCACACACCCACCCCACACAGCCACCCCACACCTCTCACACAGCCACACCACACCTCTCACACACCCACCCACACCTCTCACACACCCACCCACACCTCTCACACACCCACCCCACACAGCCACCCCACACCTCTCACACAGCCACCCCACACCTCTCTCACAGCCATCCCACACCTCTCACACAGCCACCCCACACCTCTCACACACCCACCCCACACAGCCACACCACACCTCTCACACAGGCACACCACACCTCTCACACAGCCACCCCACACCTCTCACACAGCCACCCCACACCTCTCACACACCCACCCCACACCTCTCTCACAGCCACCACACACCTCTCACACACACACCCCACACCTCTCACACAGCCACCCCACACCTCTCACACAGCCACCCCACACCTCTCACACAGCCACCCCACACCTCTCACACAGCCACCCCACACCTCTCACACACCCACACCACACCTCTCACACAGCCACCCCACACCTCTCACACAGCCACCCCACACCTCTCACACAGCCACACCACACCTCTCACACAGCCACCCCACACCTCTCACACAGCCACCCCACACCTCTCACACAGCCACCCCACACCTCTCACACCCCCACACCTCTCACACAGCCACCCCACACCTCTCACACACCCACCCCACACAGCCACCCCACACCTCTCACACAGCCACCCCACACCTCTCACACACCCACCCCACACAGCCACCCCACACCTCTCACACAGCCACACCACACCTCTCACACACCCACCCACACCTCTCTCACAGCCACCCCACACCTCTCACACAGCCACCCCACACCTCTCAAACACCCACCCCACACAGCCACACCACACCTCTCACACAGCCACCCCACACCTCTCAAACAGCCACCCCACACCTCTCACACAGCCACCCCACACCTCTCACACACCCACCCCACACCTCTCACACAGCCACCCCACACCTCTCACACCCCCACACCACACCTCTCACACACCCACCCCACACCTCTCACACAGCCACCCCACACCTCTCACACACCCACCCCACACAGCCACCCCACACCTCTCACACACCCACCCCACGCCTCTCACACAGCCACCCCACACCTCTCACACAGCCACCCCACACCTCTCACACAGCCACCCCACACCTCTCACACCCCCACACCTCTCACACAGCCACCCCACACCTCTCACACACCCACCCCACACAGCCACCCCACACCTCTCACACAGCCACCCCACACCTCTCACACAGCCACCCCACACCTCTCACACACCCACCCCACACAGCCACCCCACACCTCTCACACAGCCACCCCACACCTCTCACACACCCACCCCACACAGCCACCCCACACCTCTCACACAGCCACCCCACACCTCTCACACAGCCACACCACACCTCTCACTTACCCACCCACACCTCTCACACACCCACCCACACCTCTCACACACCCACCCCACACAGCCACCCCACACCTCTCACACAGCCACCCCACACCTCTCACACACCCACACCACACCTCTCACTTACCCACCCACACCTCTCACACAGCCACCCCACACCTCTCACACAGCCACCCCACACCTCTCACACACCCACCCCACACAGCCACCCACACCTCTCACACAGCCACACCACACCTCTCACACAGCCACCCCACACCTCTCACACACCCACCCCACACCTCTCACACAGCCACCCCACACCTCTCACACCCCCACACCACACCTCTCACACACCCACCCCACACCTCTCACACAGCCACCCCACACCTCTCACACACCCACCCCACACAGCCACCCCACACCTCTCACACACCCACCCCACGCCTCTCACACAGCCACCCCACACCTCTCACACAGCCACCCCACACCTCTCACACAGCCACCCCACACCTCTCACACCCCCACACCTCTCACACAGCCACCCCACACCTCTCACACACCCACCCCACACAGCCACCCCACACCTCTCACACAGCCACCCCACACCTCTCACACACCCACCCCACACAGCCACCCCACACCTCTCACACAGCCACCCCACACCTCACACAGCCACCCCACACATTCACCCCACACCTCTCACACAGCCACCCACACCTCTCACACAGCCACACCACACCTCTCACACAGCCACCCCACACCTCTCACACACCCACCCCACACCTCTCACACAGCCACCCCACACCTCTCACACCCCCACACCACACCTCTCACACACCCACCCCACACCTCTCACACAGCCACCCCACACCTCTCACACACCCACCCCACACAGCCACCCCACACCTCTCACACACCCACCCCACGCCTCTCACACAGCCACCCCACACCTCTCACACAGCCACCCCACACCTCTCACACAGCCACCCCACACCTCTCACACCCCCACACCTCTCACACAGCCACCCCACACCTCTCACACACCCACCCCACACAGCCACCCCACACCTCTCACACAGCCACCCCACACCTCTCACACACCCACCCCACACAGCCACCCCACACCTCTCACACAGCCACCCCACACCTCTCACACAGCCACCCCACACCTCTCACACAGCCACACCACACCTCTCACACACCCACCCACACCTCTCACACACCCACCCCACACAGCCACCGCACACCTCTCACACAGCCACCCCACACCTCTCTCACAGCCACCACACACCTCTCACACAGCCACCCCACACCTCTCACACAGCCACCCCACACCTCTCACACACCCACCCCACACCTCTCACACACCCACCCCACACAGCCACACCACACCTCTCACACAGCCACCCCACACCTCTCACACAGCCACCCCACACCTCTCACACACCCACCCCACACCTCTCTCACAGCCACCACACACCTCTCACACAGCCACCCCACACCTCTCACACAGCCACCCCACACCTCTCACACACCCACCCCACACCTCTCACACACCCACCCCACACAGCCACACCACACCTCTCACACAGCCACCCCACACCTCTCACACCCCAACACCACACCTCTCACACACCCACCCCACACCTCTCACACACCCACCCCACACCTCTCACACAGCCACCCCACACCCCTCACACAGCCACCCCACACCTCTCACACACCCACCCCACACAGCCACCCCACACCTCTCACACACCCACACCACACCCCTCACACAGCCACCCCACACCTCTCACACACCCACCCCACACAGCCACCCCACACCTCTCACACACCCACACCACACCTCTCACACAGCCACCCCACACATTCACCTCACACCTCTCACACAGCCACCCCACACCTCTCACACAGCCACCCCACTTGATGTTCCCCAGGCTGACCACTGCTGTACTGCGGACACTCTGTTTGTCCAACCAGACTGGCATGGCCTACATTGACAAAACTCTGCTGGACGATGGCTTCAACTGGCTGAGTCTGCAGGTCACAGCTAGCGGAATGTTGCAGGAGTTGGACGCCAGGTCCACACAGGTGAGTGAGCACATACCAACAAACATAGACCAACAAACATTGACCAACAAACAAAGACCAACAAACACAGACCAACAAACATAGACTAACTAGCTGTGACTGGTTTGTGTGAGAAAATTTTTTTCTGTTCCCAGAGAAGTCGTGAGGATGAGCTGATGTTGCTGTCTGATGTGCTCATTGCCTTGTTGGAGTGTAACAGTACTGTTAGGGTAATTAGATTCACCAGAGTTTGTTGGAGTGTAACAGTACTGTTAGGGTAATTAGATTCACCTTGTTGGAGTGTAACAGTACTGTTAGGGTAATTAGATTCACCTTTTTGGAGTGTAACAGTACTGTTAGGGTAATTAGATTCACCAGAGTTTGTTGGAGTGTAACAGTACTGTTAGGGTAATTAGATTCACCTTGTTGGAGTGTAACAGTACTGTTAGGGTAATTAGATTCACAAGAGTTTGTTGGAGTGTAACAGTACTGTTAGGGTAATTAGATTCATCTTGTTGGAGTGTAACAGTACTGTTAGGGTAATTAGATTCACCTTGTTGGAGTGTAACAGTACTGTTAGGGTAATTAGATTCACCAGAGTTTGTTGGAGTGTAACAGTACTGTTAGGGTAATTAGATTCACCTTGTTGGAGTGTAACAGTACTGTTAGGGTAATTAGATTCACCAGAGTTTGTTGGAGTGTAACAGTACTGTTAGGGTAATTAGATTCACCAGAGTTTGTTGGAGTGTAACAGTACTGTTAGGGTAATTAGATTCACCTTGTTGGAGTGTAACAGTACTGTTAGGGTAATTAGATTCACCAGAGTTTGTTGGAGCGTAACAGTACTGTTAGGGTAATTAGATTCACCTTGTTGGAGTGTAACAGTACTGTTAGGGTAATTAGATTCACCAGAGTTTGTTGGAGTGTAACAGTACTGTTAGGGTAATTAGATTCACCTTGTTGGAGTGTAACAGTACTGTTAGGGTAATTAGATTCACCAGAGTTTGTTGGAGTGTAACAGTACTGTTAGGGTAATTAGATTCACCTTGTTGGAGTGTAACAGTACTGTTAGGGTAATTAGATTCACCAGAGTTTGTTGGAGTGTAACAGTACTGTTAGGGTAATTAGATTCACCTTGTTGGAGTGTAACAGTACTGTTAGGGTAATTAGATTCACCTTGTTGGAGTGTAACGGTACTGTTAGGGTAATTAGATTCACCAGAGTTTGACTCTGTATCAAATGGTGATGGTACTGTTAGGGTAATTAGATTGACCAGAGTTTGACTCTGTATCAAATGGTGATGGTACTGTTAGGGTAATTAGATTGACCAGAGTTTGACTCTGTATCAAATGGTGATGGTACTGTTAGGGTAATTAGATTGACCAGAGTTTGTTGGAGTGTAACAGTACTGTTAGGGTAATTAGATTCACCAGAGTTTGACTCTGTATCAAATGGTGATGGTACTGTTAGGGTAATTAGATTCACCAGAGTTTGACTCTGTATCAAATGGTGATGGTACTGTTAGGGTAATTAGATTCACCAGAGTTTGACTCTGTATCAAATGGTGATGGTACTGTTAGGGTAATTAGATTGACCAGAGTTTGACTCTGTATCAAATGGTGATGGTACTGTTAGGGTAATTAGATTGACCAGAGTTTGTTGGAGTGTAACAGTACTGTTAGGGTAATTAGATTCACCAGAGTTTGACTCTGTATCAAATGGTGATGGTACTGTTAGGGTAATTAGATTCACCAGAGTTTGACTCTGTATCAAATGGTGATGGTACTGTTAGGGTAATTAGATTCACCAGAGTTTGACTCTGTATCAAATGGTGATGGTACTGTTAGGGTAATTAGATTCACCAGAGTTTGACTCTGTATCAAATGGTGATGGTACTGTTAGGGTAATTACAAGTCTGACATTGATGACAGCCTGACATTAGTGTAGCTATGCATACAGCCCAAAGGTCAAGGTCAGCCTGTGTTGCAGGAAGACCAGCGCTGGCTGCAGTGGGAGATGATCAGCACCTTGTCCAAGGTCATGAAGGTCATGAGGCAGCCCCTGCTCCTGGCTAAAACTCTTTATGCCCTGCTTCTTGCCAACCACACCCAGGGCACACAGGACGCCTTGCACAGGTTGGGGGCACTGAGGACCACAAGATTTGGTAAGTGTTGAGGACCACAAGATTTGGTAAGTGTTGAGGACCACAAGATTTGGTAAGTGTTGAGGACCACAAGATTTGGTAAGTGTTGAGGACCACAAGATTTGGTAAGTGTTGAGGACCACAAGATTTGGTAAGTGTTGGGGACCACAAGATTTGGTAAGTGTTGAGGACCACAAGATTTGGTAAGTGTTGAGGACCACAAGATTTGGTAAGTGTTGAGGACCACAAGATTTGGTAAGTGTTGAGGACCACACGATTTGGTAAGTGTTGAGGACCACAAGATTTGGTAAGTGTTGAGGACCACAAGATTTGGTAAGTGTTGAGGACCACAAGATTTGGTAAGTGTTGAGGACCACAAGATTTGGTAAGTGTTGAGGACCACAAGATTTGGTAAGTGTTGGGGACCACAAGATTTGGTAAGTGTTGAGGACCACAAGATTTGGTAAGTGTTGAGGACCACAAGATTTGGTAAGTGTTGAGGGAGGACCACAAGATTTGGTAAGTGTTGGGGACCACAAGATTTGGTAAGTGTTGAGGACCACAAGATTTGGTAAGTGTTGAGGACCACAAGATTTGGTAAGTGTTGGGGACCACAAGATTTGGTAAGTGTTGAGGACCACAAGATTTGGTAAGTGTTGAGGACCACAAGATTTGGTAAGTGTTGAGGACCACAAGATTTGGTAAGTGTTGAGGACCACAAGATTTGGTAAGTGTTGAGGACCACAAGATTTGGTAAGTGTTGAGGACCACAAGATTTGGTAAGTGTTGAGGACCACAAGATTTGGTAAGTGTTGAGGACCACAAGATTTGGTAAGTGTTGAGGACCACAAGATTTGGTAAGTGTTGAGGACCACAAGATTTGGTAAGTGTTGAGGACCACAAGATTTGGTAAGTGTTGGGGACCACAAGATTTGGTAAGTGTTGAGGACAAGACTGGCTTGTCTCAGAGAACACCGGTGTTACTTTCAGGTATCTCTTGGGGGGGGGGGGGGGGGGGGATCTTGTTTTGTATGTAAGTTGTGTATGTACTTGTTTTGTATATAAGTTGTGTATGTACTTGTTTTGTATATAAGTTGTGTATGTACTTGTTTTGTATGTAAGTTGTGTATGTACTTGTTTTGTATATAAATTGTGTATGTACTTGTTTTGTATTTAAGTTGTGTATGTACTTGTTTTGTATATAAGTTGTGTATGTACTTGTTTTGTATTTAAGTTGTGTATGTACTTGTTTTGTATATAAGTTGTGTATGTACTTGTTTTGTATTTAAGTTGTGTATGTACTTGTTTTGTATATAAATTGTGTATGTACTTGTTTTGTATTTAAGTTGTGTATGTACTTGTTTTGTATATAAGTTGTGTATGTACTTGTTTTGTATATAAGTTGTGTATGTACTTCCAGTCTCAAGACAATCTTCTTTTCTTTCCTGAGAACAAACAAAGAGGTCGGCTTGTAAGAGTTCACTTTGGGTGTTGGCAGCATGTTATGTGCGTACAGGTTACATGTAACTTGGCAGGGTGTTTTGTTTCTTGGGTTGGGAAATTTTTTGTGTTCCATATTATGTTTTGTTGAGTTGATAGATTTGACATGTGTAGTTGTTAGTAGTGAATCTAATATTTAAAAAATTTGGTCCCACGCAATGACGTCTGATGTCCTCAGGTCTGAATTACTGGACACAAAATGGAAGGGAAAAAAAAGTTGGGAAGAATGTTCCGCTCTGGTACCAAGAAGAAGCTGAGGCCAGCTCTGTGGAGGCTACAGCCTATGCTCTGCTTGTTTTCTTGGAACATGAAACTCAAGTCAACATTGACTCCATTGGGGAATGGCTGGTGGCCCAGAGAGGCCTGTATGGGGCATACAGAGGAGCAATGGTAGAAATATCTTTGACTACATTTGTGTGTTGGCTACATGTTTTGTTTATTTGTTGCCTATATGTATAATTGATCAAATAAAATGTTCTCCCCCTCCCCCACCCCCATTGTGAAGGACAGCACTGCAGCCATCCACGCCCTAGCCAAGTACACCCTCCACCAGTACAAGAAAGGTTTTGGTCTTCATCTAGACCTCAGGTGTAACGTCAGTTCAGGACAGGAGAGAAAAGCTTTTTTACACGTGACAAAGGACAACGCCACCCAGCCGCAGCTTATCCGTCATGTCAGTTGCTTTTCACATTTACCCCCTTAACTCTGAGCATTTACAACATTAACCCCATCAAGTCTGAGCTTATACAAAATTATAATAAGTCTGGGGTGTGTTCTTTCAATGATCTAGCCATCAAAGGGTTAACAGGTGTTCTAGCCTTGACTCTGCATGATATGAATAGATTTCTTCTAAACAAAATCAAAGCCATATTAACCCTATTAACAACATATTACTAAATTAACCCCAGGTTCCAATAGGTCAAGTTTTGATGATCAAAACACAAGGTAAAGGTCTTGGTCAAGTCCATATCAATGTGGAGTACAGCGTCCCTGTCAACAACACTTGTGGCCAGGATTTAATGGTCCAACTGAGCTATCCAGAGTTCATTCATTCAGGTCAAGGACATAGGTGAGTCAGGTCTGGACATATGTGAGTCAGGTCAAGGACATAGGTGAGTCAGGTCAAGGACATATGTGAGTCAGGTCAAGGACATAGGTGAGTCAGGTCAAGGACATAGGTGAGTCAGGTCAAGGACATAGGTGAGTCGGGTCAAGGACATAGGTGGGTCGGGTCAAGGACATATGTGAGTCAGGTCAAGGACATATGTGAGTCAGGTCGAGGACATAGGTGAGTCAGGTCAAGGACATAGGTGAGTCAGGTCAAGGACATAGGTGAGTCAGGTCAAGGACATAGGTGAGTCAGGTCAAGGATATAGGAGAGTCAGGTCAAGGACATAGGTGAGTCAGGTCAAGGACATAGGTGAGTCAGGTCAAGGACATAGGTGAGTCAGGTCAAGGACATAGGTGAGTCAGGTCAAGAACTTAGGTGAGTGAGATGACATAATATTCAGGTCAAGTGTTGAAAAAGAAATTCGTGTAATCATTGTTTTTGTGTCAGAAAGAGAATTTGTCTTTGATGGGATTTTGTGTCAATAAATAAAGTGACATTCTGACATGACCAGTGAGGAAGTGACATGTATGGTTTGGTCAGTTGACATCTTATAACCAGAGTGACTGGTTGTGGTCTTGTATGTCTGGGGAATGTTGTAGTTGTATGTCTGGGGAATGTTGTAGTTGTATGTCTGGGGAATGTTGTAGTTGTATGTCTGGGGAATGTTGTAGTTGTATGTCTGGGGAATGTTGTAGTTGTATGTCTGGGGAATGTTGTAGTTGTATGTCTGGGGAATGTTGTAGTTGTATGTCTGGGGAATGTTGTAGTTGTATGTCTGGGGAATGTTGTAGTTGTATGTCTGGAGAATGTTGTAGTTGTATGTCTGGAGAATGTTGTAGTTGTATGTCTGGGGAATGTTGTAGTTGTATGTCTGGGGAATGTTGTAGTTGTATGTCTGGGGAATGTTGTAGTTGTATGTCTGGGGAATGTTGTAGTTGTATGTCTGGGGAATGTTGTAGTTGTATGTCTGGAGAATGTTGTAGTTTTATGTCTGGGGAATGTTGTATGTCTGGGGAATGTTGTAGTTTTATGTCTGGGGAATGTTGTAGTTTTATGTCTGGGGAATGTTGTAGTTGTATGTCTGGGGAATGTTGTAGTTTTATGTCTGGGGAATGTTGTAGTTTTATGTCTGGGGAATGTAGTTGTATGTCAGTTGTCCCTGGTGAAGTCAAGTGCTATTGGTGCTGGTTAACCTTCTTACTCTACCGGCACCTATATAGGACAGAGTTGGGTAAAATTCTTGCTGCGTTATGACAGTTGACATCTGTCATGTAAACTGTATTTGACACCTGTCATGTAAACTATGAAGTTGACATCTGTCATGTAAACTATGAAGTTGACATCTGTCATGTAAACTATGAAGTTGACATCTGTCATGTAAACTATGAAGTTGACATCTGTCATGTAAACTATGAAGTTGACACCTGTCATGTAAGCTATGAAGTTGACATCTGTCATGTAAACTATGAAGTTGACATCTGTCATGTAAACTATGAAGTTGACATCTGTCATGTAAACTATGAAGTTGACATCTGTCATGTAAACTATGTATTTGACATCTGTCATGTAAACTATGTAGTTGACATCGATCATGTAAACTATGTATTTGACACCTGTCATGTAAACTGTAGTTGACATCTGTCATGTAAACTATGTATTTGTCATCATGTAAACGATGAAGTTGACATCTGTCATGTAAACTATGAAGTTGACATCTGTGTTTCAGCTGTTATACCTTCCAGTCAAGTCAGATGAGAGAGCAGAGAAATGAAAAAGAAATGAATTTGACCAATCACAAGATTGGCTACGTCAAACCGAGGTATGGCGTCAACACAAGAGCTAGACTTGTCCTCAATTCTCTCTCTACACCACAACTGTGACATGTGTTCTGATGCATGATTTAGCACATTGCGTTTAGGTGCATGATTTAGCACATTGTGTTTAGATGCATGATTTAGCACATTATGTTTAGATGCATGATTTAGCACATTGCGTTTAGGTGCATGATTTAGCACATTGTGTTTAGATGCATGATTTAGCACATTATGTTTAGGAGCATGATTTAGCACATTGTGTTTAGGTGCATGATTTAGCACATTGTGTTAAGATGCATGATTTTTAGCACATTATGTTTAGGAGCATGATTTAGCACATTGTGTTTAGATGCATGATTTAGCACATTGTGTTTAGGTGCATGATTTAGCACATTGTGTTTAGGTGCATGATTTAGCACATTGTGTTTAGGTGCATGATTTAGCACATTATGTTTAGATGCATGATTTAGCTCATTATGTTTAGATGCATGATTTAGCACATTATGTTTAGGAGCATGATTTAGCACATTGTGTTTAGGTGCATGATTTAGCACATTGTGTTTAGATGCATGATTTAGCACATTGTGTTTAGATGCATGATTTAGCACATTGCGTTTAGGTGCATGATTTAGCACATTGTGTTTAGATGCATGATTTAGCACATTATGTTTAGGAGCATGATTTAGCACATTGTGTTTAGGTGCATGATTTAGCACATTGTGTTTAGATGCATGATTTAGCACATTATGTTTAGGAGCATGATTTAGCACATTGTGTTTAGGTGCATGATTTAGCACATTGTGTTAAGATGCATGATTTTTAGCACATTATGTTTAGGAGCATGATTTAGCACATTGTGTTTAGATGCATGATTTAGCACATTGTGTTTAGGTGCATGATTTAGCACATTATGTTTAGATGCATGATTTAGCACATTATGTTTAGGAGCATAATTTAGCACATTGTGTTTAGGTGCATGATTTAGCACATTATGTTTAGATGCATGATTTAGCACATTATGTTTAGATGCATGATTTAGCACATTATGTTTAGTTGCATGATTTAGCACATTGTGTTTAGATGCATGATTTAGCACATTGTGTTTAGGTGCATGATTTAGCACATTATGTTTAGATGCATGATTTAGCTCATTATGTTTAGATGCATGATTTAGCACATTATGTTTAGGAGCATGATTTAGCACATTGTGTTTAGGTGCATGATTTAGCACATTGTGTTTAGATGCATGATTTTTAGCACATTATGTTTAGGTGCATGATTTAGCACATTGTGTTTAGATGCATGATTTAGCACATTGTGTTTAGGTGCATGATTTAGCACATTGTGTTTAGATGCATGATTTAGCACATTATGTTTAGGAGCATGATTTAGCACATTGTGTTTAGATGCATGATTTAGCACATTGTGTTTAGGTGCATGATTTAGCACATTGTGTTTAGATGCATGATTTAGCACATTATGTTTAGGAGCATGATTTAGCACATTGTGTTTGTTGTTGAATTGCAAATGTTCCAATGATGTTACAAAGAACACAAATACAATATTCGGCTTTTTTTTTTTTTTAAATTATTTTGTAATAATCTATACATCAAATACAATGATTTTGTACAAATTAGACACCAAAACTACACCATCAAATAAATTTTAAAAAACACGTTGAAGTGAGTGAAGTGTGTTGCTACTCTAAAAGTTCAGGCCAAGAAATACAAACTTCTCAGGTTGACCTGAGAAAATGGGTGCTAGTTTGTAAGAAATACAAACTTCTCAGGTTGACCTGAGAAAATGGGTGCTAGTTTGTAGTGAGAGAACATTGTCCTATTTTTTTGTTCTGTTCTAGTGTCTCAATCTATATCCTATACTTTTTATTCTCCATTAGTGTGTCAATCTATATCCTATACTTTTTATTCTCCATTAGTGTGTCAATCTATATCCTATACTTTTTATTCTCCATTAGTGTCTCAATCTATATCCTATACTTTTTATTCTCCATTAGGGTGTCAATCTATATTCTATACTTTTTATCCTCCATTAGTGTGTCAATCTATATTCTATACTTTTATTCTCCATTAGTTTGTCAATCTATATTCTATACTTTTTATCCTCCATTAGTGTGTCAATCTATATCCTATACTTTTTATTCTCCATTAGTGTGTCAATCTATATCCTATACTTTTTATTCTCCATTAGTGTCTCAATCTATATTCTATACTTTTTATTCTGCATGAGTGTCTCAATCTATATCCTATACTTTTTATTCTCCATTAGTGTGTCAATCTATATTCTATACTTTTTATCCTCCATTAGTGTGTCAATCTATATCCTATACTTTTTATTCTCCATTAGTGTCTCAATCTATATCCTATACTTTTTATTCTCCATTAGTGTGTCAATCTATATCCTATACTTTTTATTCTCCATTAGTGTCTCAATCTATATCCTATACTTTTTATTCTCCATTAGGGTGTCAATCTATATTCTATACTTTTTATTCTCCATTAGTTTGTCAATCTATATTCTATACTTTTTATCCTCCATTAGTGTGTCAATCTATATCCTATACTTTTTATTCTCCATTAGTGTGTCAATCTATATCCTATACTTTTTATTCTCCATTAGTGTGTCAATCTAAATCCTATACTTTTTATTCTCCATTAGTGTGTCAATCTATATTCTATACTTTTTATCCTCCATTAGTGTGTCAATCTATATCCTATACTTTTTATTCTCCATTAGTGTGTCAATCTATATCCTATACTTTTTATTCTCCATTAGTGTGTCAATCTATATTCTATACTTTTTATACTCCATTAGGGTGTCAATCTATATTCTATACTTTTTATACTCCATTAGTGTCTCAATCTATATCCTATACTTTTTATTCTCCATTAGTGTGTCAATCTATATCCTATACTTTTTATTCTCCATTAGTGTCTCAATCTATATTCTATACTTTTTATTCTCCATTAGTGTGTCAATCTATATCCTATACTTTTTATTCTCCATTAGTGTGTCAATCTATATTCTATACTTTTTATTCTCCATTAGGGTGTCAATCTATATTCTATACTTTTTATTCTCCATTATGGTGTCAATCTATATCCTATACTTTTTATTCTCCATTAGTGTGTCAATCTATATCCTGCTATATCCTATACTTTACCTTTCCATCAAGGAAATTCAAGTTGATTGAATTGACCCAAAAATGTCGTGAGAGAACGTTAAAATTACCCAGAAATCTGAACAGAGCTGGGACTAGCAGGTACGAGAGTCTGTCATTTATTGACCCAAACAGACGGCCCCAGTCAGCACATGTCAGCCCAAACAGACGGCCCCAGTCAGCACATGTCAGCCCAAATAGACAGCGTCGGTCAGCACATGTCAGCCCACACAGACAGCGTCGGTCAGCACATGTCAGCCCAAACAGACAGCGTCGGTCAGCACATGTCAGCCCAAACAGACAGCGTCGGTCAGCACATGTCAGCCCAAACAGACAGCGTCGGTCAGCACATGTCAGCCCAAATAGACAGCGTCGGTCAGCAAATTGGACTAGCAGTTATGAAATTATTTTTATCAACATTTGTCTCAGGTGAGTTCAACAGTCTGTATGTCATATGGCTTGAGAAATATCAAGTCCACATGTCATGTGACATGATCAATATGTCCATATGTCATTTAGCAAGAGAAATGTCATGTTGCCTAAAAAATATGTTGTGTGGCAAGAGAAATGTCATGTGATTTCCCCCAACAGTAATACCAGCAGCAACGTGACAGTTGGCGTTGAGATGTTGACGGGATACCAGCCAGTGGCACAAGACCTTCAGGGTGTAAGTGTCGTCCAGCTTCTTTCATTCTAATTTATATTCTTGCAATACATACAAGATGATATACGTTAATACATACCAGTACATTAAAATGATCTGTAACTGAAAATATATGCAATACAAACGTTAAAAAAATTGATTTCCTGACCTCCAAAACTGGGTGATTGTAATGTTTCTCGTGTTGGCATTTTTTCTTAATTCTACATTTTTAGAAAATTTTCAATTCTATTTTATTAATAAATGTTTAATATTAAAATACTATTTTATTAATAAATGTTTAATATTTAAATACTATTTCATTTATAAACTAGAGCACGCTGCAGTCTCAATCAGAACAAAGGCTGATGCAATATTTTAAGAGTATTTTATCAATGCATGGCCAGTCGTGCATTTTTGATGCGAAACTTTTTCTAAAATTGAGTTATTTAAATGTAAACAATGCAGGCGCTATATTTCTTAAATCATAGTTGTTGAGCAGCGGGTTTGTCCACACTACGGCTCAGACGCCCCAGTGCATACTGTATGACAACCTTGGTCTGTTACTAATGGTCTGTTACTAATGGTCTGTTACTAATGGTCAATGTGAATAAAGGCACCTTGACGACTGCTTTCACAGTTAACAGGCTTTATTATCATTTTTTAAAGTATTATTTCTACTATTATTATTTTTTTTTATTATTAATATTATTTGTTATTAGTATAAACATAGTTATTATCATTATTGAAATTTTGAAAACTTGATACTTGAGATTTTTACTCCTGTACTGTTGCAGTTACAGACCAACAGCAGTTGTTCAGTTGTTAATGTGGAGTACAAGAATGGAATTGTCAACATTCAGCTCACTCAGGTAACCTCAGCCTTCATTGTTTGCTTGCAATTACATCTTGACTACCTGGCCAAGTTGTAACTTCTGGCCACCATCTATCTAGGGCCCCAGCCCCAGCCCTGACCACCCAGCGCCCACTGTTACAACTTGCCTTGGGTTCCGTGCTGTGCAATACATGAAGGTGAACAGACTCAGGCCTGGGCTGGTGACCTTGAGAGACAGCAGACAACAAGGTGAGACAGTCACAGACAGTAGGGTGAGACAGTCACAGACAACAAGGTGAGACAGTCACAGACAACAAGGTGAGACAGTCACAGACAGTAGGGTGAGACAGTCACAGACAACAAGGTGAGACAGTCACAGACAGTAGGGTGAGACAGTCACAGACAGTAGGGTGAGACAGTCACAGACAACAAGGTGAGACAGTCACAGACAGTAGGGTGAGACAGAGAGTAGGCTAAAAAAAAAACTTAAAATATGAGTGACTTTTAGTATAACCTAGTTGACATGTCATAGAATAGATTGAAGTTAAACCTAGTTGACATGTCATAGAATAGATTGAAGTTAAACCTAGTTGACATGTCATAGAATAGATTGAAGTTAAACCTAGATGACATGTCATAGAATAGATTGAAGTTAAACCTAGTTGATATGTCATAGAATAGATTGAAGTTAAACCTAGATGACATGTCATAGAATAGATTGAAGTTAAACCTAGTTGACATGTCATAGACTAGATTGAAGTAGATATCTAGTTGACATGTCATAGAATAGATTGAAGTTAAACCTAGATGACATGTCATAGAATAGATTGAAGTTAAACCTAGTTGATATGTCATAGAATAGATTGAAGTTAAACCTAGATGACATGTCATAGAATAGATTGAAGTTAAACCTAGTCGACATGTCATAGAATAGATTGAAGTTAAACCTAGTTAACATGTCATAGAATAGATTGAAGTAGATATCTAGTTGACATGTCATAGAATAGATTGAAGTTAAACCTAGTCGACATGTCATAGAATAGATTGAAGTTAAACCTAGTCGACATGTCATAGAATAGATTGAAGTTAAACCTAGATGACATGTCATAGAATAGATTGAAGTTAAACCTAGTTGACATGTCATAGACTAGATTGAAGTAGATATCTAGTTGACATGTCATAGAATAGATTGAAGTTAAACCTAGTTGACATGTCATAGAATAGATTGAAGTAGATATCTAGTTGACATGTCATAGAATAGATTGAAGTTAAAGCTAGTTGACATGTCATAGAATAGATTGAAGTAGATATCTAGTTGACATGTCATAGAATAGATTGAAGTTAAACCTAGATGACATGTCATAGAATAGATTGAAGTTAAACCTAGTTGACATGTCATAGAATAGATTGAAGTAGATATCTAGTTGACATGTCATAGAATAGATTGAAGTTAAAGCTAGTTGACATGTCATAGAATAGATTGAAGTAGATATCTAGTTGACATGTCATAGAATAGATTGAAGTTAAACCTAGTTGACATGTCATAGAATAGATTGAAGTAGATATCTAGTTGACATGTGATATGTGGTGAAGCTTGTTATGTTGTGGTCACCAGAGCCTTACTGTAGGAGAGCATACTACCACAGGAACACACACAGGGGTTTTGTCTGTAATGAAACCAACATCTGTAGGTGTTTTTCAGGTCAGTCTAAATTCAACAAGTCAAATGAAATTTTATAATTTTAAAAAAGTTTTAAGTTTGTAAGCATTAATTTGGCTTTTGTTTTCGTTTATTTTAGGACATTGCAGTAAAATGCATGAAATAAATGAGCTATTTGGTCTGCATGAGCTGAAACTATATCTCAATGCTTCAGAAGTTGGTAGGTTTTGAACTTTGACCAACTCTTTGTTCTAAAGATTATATGTCTAATGTTTAAAGAATGTAAAAATTATTTTTCCCTTTACAAATTGATTTTTTCCCTGTCCAGCATACAAGCTCCACCTTCCAAAAATCTGGAGAAACTTAACAACTGACTTGATGACATCCCAGGCTAAAGTCTCCTCCATCAACCTGCCAGGTTTTTACTTGCTTTTGTTAACATTACACCACACTTTGATTGTGGTGGAACTTATTTTGACTATTTTAATATCACACCACACTTTGGTTGTGGTGGATTTTGACAATTTGAATTGACCTGTCTCCATCCCTGTAAAATCTGGCTCAATACTTGACAGGCTGCCAGCACACAGCACTGGGCGAGGTCACACTCATCCGTCCCTCGTCTTGTTGGGGCATCCAGTCCAGGCTGGAGAACAAGACAGATTGGTATTTCTTGTCTAGGGGCATCCACAGATTTGTTGACGCGCAGGGAAAATCAGTGTAAGACTTTTTCTTATTTTTTAGCTGGGAAAATCAGTGTAGGACTTTTTCTTATTTTTTAACTGGGAAATCAGTGTAGGACTTTTTTAGTAAAAACATTGGTCACCCATGAAATCACAGATGAGGCTCTATAGCTGGGGACAGCCACTCTTCTAAGAGAGACAACTCCAAAATCTAACAACTGCTGCCTTGTAGTTTGTTCTTGGTTGGACAAAGGCTATGGAAGCAAATCCAAAAAGAAAAGCAGGCTGAAATGAACGGCCTAAATGGCACATAACCAGTTGACACGTACTACTTAATTGTGTTGAAGGGAATCCCTGGCAACATTAAAATTAAGATCAAAGAATAAGAAGGGCTCACACTCAGTAGTTATCTCCCCTCTTGCTTGTCTATCAGTCAGTCGTTATATGAAGGACATATCTTCTATTGAATTAAACATTAGATGGGTTGTAGGCAGGAAGAACAAAATCAAGGAATTAAAAGTAGGTCAAACCTGATTTACAAAATGAAAGCAGACAGACAGACATTGTGACCCAAATAAAATCAACATGTTGCACAGACAGACAGACAGACATCTCATCTAGGACATGTCAACATGTTTCAGATACCAGCAGCTGCTGGATGACAGCTCCAGCTTTCTTGACATCTCAAATGACACGCTGCCCATACTTGAAGATGCTTGCAGGAGGCGCTGGAAGACTTGACATTCAGATGTCTGGAGTGTCATTTGACATGTTATGTAAACGGTGTAGCTACTATCATGTCATTTGACATGTTATGTAAACGGTGTAGCTATTATCATGTCATTTGACATGTTATGAAAACGGTGTAGCTATTATCATGTCATTTGACATGTTATGTAAACGGTGTAGCTATTATCATGTCATTTGACATGTTATGTAAACGGTGTAGCTATTATCATGTCATTTGACATGTTATGTAAACGGTGTAGCTATCATCATGTCATCTAGTTACAATCATGTGACATCACTACTATCATCATGTAATGACATCTGAGTAAAACACTATCATGACATGTTGTGGCTACCCTATTGGCTACCTTGTTGTAATTATAAAATCTTGCTGTAAATAATATTAGAATGTCATGTAATAAAAATTATTTTAAAAACTGCAGCCTTTATTTACAAAGCTGTGAGTACATCCCTGATGTGTACATCCACGCCACTGGTGTGTGTGTGTGTGTACATCCACGCCACTGGTGTGTGTACATCCACATTACTGGTGTGTGTACATCCACACCACTGATGTGTGTACATCCACACCACTGGTGTGTGTACATCCACACCACTGGTGTGTGTACATCCACACCACTGGTGTGTGTACATCCACACCACTGATGTGTGTACATCCACGCCACTGGTGTGTGTACATCCACACCACTGGTGTGTATACATCCACACCACTGGTGTGTGTACATCCACATCACTGGTGTGTGTACATCCACATCACTGGTGTGTGTACATCCACATCACTGATGTGTACATCCACGCCACTGGTGTGTGTACATCCACATCAGTGATGTGTACATCCACACCACTGATGTGTGTACATCCACATTACTGATGAGTCTATGAAATATTTGCACTTTGTATGTTGTCAACATTACCAGACTGTGATAACATCACTAGACGACTTGAAGAAACTTTAATACAGGAGAGTTGGATTATAATCTATTCCTACCCTCAACAATTTCATACAGGAGAGTTGGATTATAATCTATTCCTACCCTCAACAATTTCTTACAGGAGAGATGGATTATAATCTATTCCTACCCTCAACAATTTCTTACAGGAGAGATGGATTATAATCTATTCCTACCCTCAACAATTTCATACAGGAGAGATGGATTATAATCTATTCCTACCCTCAACAATTTCATACAGGAGAGATGGATTATAATCTATTCCTACCCTCAACAATTTCATACAGGAGAGATGGATTATAATCTATTCCTACCCTCAACAATTTCATACAGGAGAGATGGATTATAATCTATTCCTACCCTCAACAATTTCATACAGGAGAGATGGATTATAATCTATTCCTACCCTCAACAATTTCATACAGGAGAGATGGATTATAATCTATTCCTACCCTCAACAATTTCATACAGGAGAGATGGATTATAATCTATTCCTACCCTCAACAATTTCATACAGGAGAGATGGATTATAATCTATTCCTACCCTCAACAATTTCATACAGGAGAGATGGATTATAATCTATTCCTACCCTCAACAATTTCATACAGGAGAGATGGATTATAATCTATTCCTACCCTCAACAATTTCATACAGGAGAGATGGATTATAATCTATTCCTACCCTCAACAATTTCATACAGGAGAGATGGATTATAATCTATTCCTACCCTCAACAATTTCATACAGGAGAGATGGATTATAATCTATTCCTACCCTCAACAATTTCATACAGGAGAGATGGATTATAATCTATTCCTACCCTCAACAATTTCATACAGGAGAGATGGATTATAATCTATTCCTACCCTCAACAATTTCTTACAGGAGAGATGGATTATAATCTATTCCTACCCTCAACAATTTCTTACAGGAGAGATGGATTATAATCTATTCCTACCCTCAACAATTTCATACAGGAGAGATGGATTATAATCTATTCCTACCCTCAACAATTTCTTACAGGAGAGATGGATTATAATCTATTCCTACCCTCAACAATTTCATACAGGAGAGATGGATTATAATCTATTCCTACCCTCAACAATTTCTTACAGGAGAGATGGATTATAATCTATTCCTACCCTCAACAATTTCATACAGGAGAGATGGATTATAATCTATTCCTACCCTCAACAATTTCTTACAGGAGAGATGGATTATAATCTATTCCTACCCTCAACAATTTCATACAGGAGAGATGGATTATAATCTATTCCTACCCTCAACAATTTCTTACAGGAGAGATGGATTATAATCTATTCCTACCCTCAACAATTTCTTACAGGAGAGATGGATTATAATCTATTCCTACCCTCAACAATTTCATACAGGAGAGATGGATTATAATCTATTCCTACCCTCAACAATTTCATACAGGAGAGATGGATTATAATCTATTCCTACCCTCAACAATTTCTTACAGGAGAGATGGATTATAATCTATTCCTACCCTCAACAATTTCTTACAGGAGAGATGGATTATAATCTATTCCTACCCTCAACAATTTCATACAGGAGAGATGGATTATAATCTATTCCTACCCTCAACAATTTCTTACAGGAGAGATGGATTATAATCTATTCCTACCCTCAACAATTTCATACAGGAGAGTTGGATTATAATCTATTCCTACCCTCAAGATCATACATGGATTAAGATCAATCCCCAAATCTTTATAATCTCAACGCAAATTGTAGTTGTGGGGCTATGATGAGAGTACATAAACCACACAATGTTTTTTTTAACTGAGGCTTACTTATCTCACTGTGATGATATGTAACGTTGATGTTAGTTGTCATTTGATGTTGATGTTAGTTGACATTTGATGTTGATCTTGGTTGTCATTTGATGTTGATGTTAGTTGACATTTGATGTTGATGTTAGTTGTCATTTGATGTTGATGTTAGTTGACATTTGATGTTGATGTTAGTTGACATTTGATGTTGATCTTGGTTGTCATTTGATGTTGATGTTTGTACACATCAAATTGAAGTGACTACAGTGGGGCTCGTTATGGTGTTGTGACATCAGGCAGCTGTCATGTGGTTCCATAACCCCTAAGGTGTAAAGGTATGGCTACCTGTATGCACGCAGGTGTACAGGTATCTACAGAACGGCTACCTGTATGCACGCAGGTATAAAGGTATCTGTATGCACGCATGTGTAAAGGTATCTACAGCTAGCTGTCAACACTTCACCAAAAATAAAATGAAACATTTTTACGCCATACTCTACATTAAATATTCTCTCAGAGTCAACACACTTGGGGGGGGGGGGGGGGGGGGATGGGGGGGTTAAAGTAAACTCAGGCAACAAGTGAAGTCCCTTGACAAAACTAGAGAATAATAGCATACACACTTGAATGTAAGAAAACTCAGGGCGTGTCTCGCTGGTGAATGAAAGTTGGGGGCAGTTTTATAGGCTGGCATTTGTGTCGGTGGCGGGTTAAAGTTAGGGTCCTGGGGTAGGCCTACTTCTCAGCCCCCCTCCTCCCTTGTATTGTTTTATTCAAGTCGCCTGTGTAAATACAGAGAGCAAAATGTTTTTAATGATTTTTTTACACGAATGTTATAGATACTTGACACCACCCCACCCCCCCCCCCAATGTTATAAATACTGCCCCCACCCCACCCCTGTGTTGAGCTGGTCTAGCTTTTGTTTAGCGGACAAAGATGTCAGGTGTTGCCGTGTGACCCCGTGACCTCGCGAGTGTGCGAAAGGCCTATGGTGATGTCATGTAAGCAGCGCCAGCCAGTCGAGTTGGCCAGAGCTATTGCCACCTTTATATAGGCCTATGTCTTTTAGAATGGCAAGGACAGCGGCAGGCAATCGAGTTTGTGTCTAGCCTACAGATTGTGGTACGTATTTCTGTTTCTTGGCTGTTCTTAGACTTTTACTTAGACATTAGAATAGTTTTGTTACCGTTTCATTAAGGTAGACCAAATTTTATATTTAGGTATAATTGTATAATTACCTTTTCTCTTAATTTTGTCAAATTTTAAGGGATTTCTGGTGACCGAAAGTAGTACTCAACGCTATTCGCAATTTCTTTTTGTCTAGTCCGGGGCGCGAAATCGCACCATGCTGGGTCGCCGACGGAACCGCATGATTCAACTTAGTAAACGACTCTAGTAGGGTGTCGCCTAAGATTTTTAAAGCTCATTATTGTTCAAGATTACTTGAACAATTAAAAACTACATTTATTTACCTTTAATTTGATACCAATGTTATTTATCAAATTTAATCGTTAGCCCAATAAATGATTTGTAAAAATAACGCTTTTGTTTTTAGTGTAAATGGCTACGATGATATGACTGATTTTCAGTGATACGGTTGGTTATTTTTTTAAGGAGTGTTGTTGTAATGCGATTGACCGTTCACTGCTGTTCAGCAGAAATGTGTCGTCTGCTAGATTTATCCACATTCAAATACACGGCGGGCAAAATGGACGGGCTCAGTTAGCTGTTTTCTTGTTCAAGTTATTTTTTATAGGTTTTATTTTTACCCTGCATAATTTTTAAAATATTGTAGAAAGCAAGTCATAATTATCTATAGTTTAGAATATATTTTTAGTATGTTTAAAACAATATTTAATGAAGCAATACACGTTTTGCTTACTTTTATTATGTTCTGCTCGAATATTCTTATATAACTTTGAATATAGACATGATTTTTAATTACTTAAACTTTTAAAAATAGAATAGTCTCATAGAAAAAAGAATTGCGCACCAAGCGAACGCCAAAACAAAATGTGCATAATTGTGCGCAATATTATTAGTACTTTATAAATTTACATGCGTTTTTTGAGAAATCGGAAATAGCGTAAATTAGTACTTCCGGTCAACGGAAATTACTCAAAAAATTTGACAGAAGGTAGAGAATTAGATCTTTTACTTACATGTGAAATTTTATTTATCTATCTGAAATAGTACTCAAGTTATAGGCTTTTGAAAAATTCAAAGTAGAAAAAGTACCACTTCCGGTTATCGGAAATCTCTCAAAAGTTGATCAGGATCTACGATTTTGATAAAATACTTATATATGAAATTTCATCAACCTAGCTGTGACGGTACTCAAGTTATCGTGTTTACACACACACACACACACACACACAGACATACGGACTAGATTGCAAAATTATGTTTTTCCGTATCAGTGAGGTGTAAAACGTCGAAATTTGTAAAAATCTCGATTTTTTTTTTGCACGATTACAAGACTTTCTCTATACTTCGTATATACGAGAAAGTAAAAAACGTACGAATGGCAAGTTTGCATCAAACACTAATCATCCATTGTTAAAAGTTTTAATAAAACTAGACCGGTATCGTTGAATAATACACAAAAATAACGATTATAAGAATATAGTTCTGAAATTACCATCAAACATTGCTAAAAAACGGAATCACGGTATCGTCGTTTTCGGCAGCCATCATTACCATGACGACGGTAACAAAAAATCATCCAATTAAGTCAAATTTAATGTCATATTGCATTGTCATTGGGTCTTGACCGACATGCCGAATATCAGAGAAATTGAAATTTTGCTCTTCCATTTCGATCTAGGATTAAGACTGATAGACAGAGGAAGCAAGTTAAATAAACATTTGTAATAAAAATTTCTAAAGCCTGATCTGACTGGAAGTGTCGTCCCCTGTTACTGTTACATGAGAATTTGCGAGAAAGTTTAGGGGAGATTACTCCCTCTTTATTGAAAGTTTAGGGGAGATCACTCCCTCTTTATTGAAAGTTTAGGGGAGATCACTCCCTCTTTATTGAAAGTTTAGGGGAGATCACTCCCTCTTTATTGAAAGTTTAGCGGAGATCACTCCCTCTTTATTGAAAGTTTAGGGGAGATCACTCCCTCTTTATTGAAAGTTTAGGGGAGATCACTCCCTCTTTATTGAAAGTTTAGGGGAGATCACTCCCTCTTTATTGAAAGTTTAGGGGAGATCACTCCCTCTTTATTGAAAGTTTAGGGGAGATCACTCCCTCTTTATTGAAAGTTTAGGGGAGATCACTCCCTCTATTGAAAGTTGAGGGGAGATCACTCCCTCTTTATTGAAAGTTGAGGGGAGATCACTCCCTCTTTATTTTCTTTCAGGCGAGACAAACATGCTCTTGGCGTCATGCCCACGTTTCTTTTGCTCGCGTGTGTCGTCACTGTGTTACATCACTTCCGGTCACACGTCACAGCCTCGTGCCATCTGGTCATTGCCTGGAACTGTAACGGCACCTACGTCACCAGCCGGCCAGCAGACGACAGCTGCGTGGCCTGTGGTCGGGTCAGGGGCCTAGCAGACGGTCAGCTGCTGGTCAACCTGACCGGATGTGGCGTCACAGAGAACGACACGCTCCGGGTTCCAGACGACACGACTTGGCTGGTGCTTGACCACAACAACATCCGGCACCTGAGGGACAACTTTCTGCAGCTGGACACGCTACGTCATCTCAGCATCCGGCAGTCTCACATCAGCACTGTACAGGTGGGTAGACAGGGGGTAGGGGTCTGGGGGATAGGGGGCATGGGGGGGGGATAGGGGACTGGGCCCCACATCACCCCTGAGTCCACACACCCCACTAAAAGTTACACTATACTTGCCAGGCTGACGCCCTACGTGGCTTAAAAAACCTGGAAGTCCTTGACCTTGAGGGCAACTTTATCAAGGTCACGTGCACCAGTTCCCTGCCGCCTGCCGTGTTCCGCCATGTTCCCCGCCTGAAAACTTTACAGCTGGCAGACAACTGGAACCAAGGGTGCTCGTCAGACGCGGCTCCCCGGGGCGCGGGAGGCGACATGTTCCACTACCTGCCCAGGCTTGAGTCCCTGTCTCTGGACGCTCCCTCGGGTGAGCTCCGCCTGGGCCCAGAGTTCCGCAACCTGTCGCACCTGTCGAGCCTGCGCCTGCAGTGTACCCACGTGACCAGCACGACCAACGTCAGCCTGCAGTCCCTGTGGGACCTGCCCCTGATCAACCTGACCGTCTACAACTTCGACCAGCTGGCCATTGACCCCGAGTTTGTTGACCCGGGAAAGGTCACGTTCCACGAAGACACGTTCCAGAGACTGGACTCTCTGCAGAACCTGGTCATCGCCAACTGTAAGATCGGCAACCAGCAGATCGCGCGGACACTCAAGCCGTTTGTCAACAAGAGGCTGACGTCATTGACGCTGATAGAGACGCACTACAAGCGAGTCTTTAACACACCTCCCATCATCTTCCAGGATGGTACCATCACCAACGTCACCACCCAGTTCCTCAGGCAGATCGAGTTGTCGCACCTGGCGTGGATCAACAGCAACCTGATAGCCGTGGCCCCAGGGGCCCTCATCAGCCCCCAGTGGAAGACCAGCATCAGGACCCTGGATTTCTCACAGAACGACCTGGGGCGGGTCGGCTGGAGAATCGCCATTCTAGAAATTTCCAGCTTACAGAAACTCCAAGAGGTTGTCATGTCGTCTGTGACGTCAAGCGATGATGACGTCAGGCCGAAGTTGGAAGGTGTCTCGGCAGACGATGAGTGTGATGTTCTAACTTCCGGTGATGACATCATTAAAACAAACCAACGCGACTTAGCCCAGCCCGTCCCAGCCCAGCGCGGTCGGTACGCCACCTCCCATCCCCCGCCCCCCACCTCCCATCCCCCGCCCAGTGTGAACCAGCTGGTGAGGGCGGGAGGTCCCCACAGTGACAGACGACCAGTCTCAGAAAGTTCACCAGAGATCGCGTGGTCAGCCGATCATTCAGTCAAGCTCCCCCTGGTGGAGTCAAGTTCTGGCGGCAACTGGAGCCTGCGTGTGCCGCCACGTCTGCAGACCTTCAGGATTGTCGGCATCATGAGCGGCGCCACCAGATTTGGAGACCAAAGCGCGCGTTTCACCCAGGCCGGCGACCTGAAGCACATGTACATCGTCAACAACTACGTCATTTCCGGAACAGGCAGAGTCCTAGGGCTTTCGGCCTTGACCTTGTTTGACCTGAGCGGGACCTTCATGGACGTGCAGCACTATTTCTTTGACGACTTCCCCGGCCTGCGCATTCTCCGGCTTAAATCCATGCGACCGGAAAACTTCTTCAGCCGGTTATCTTGTGACCGGCTCATCGCAAATCTTCCGCACCTGGCGTATCTTGATCTTTCCAACAACCGGCTCAACCGGCTGCCGGCGGGCGTGTTCCAGAGAAATCCCAGGATGACACACGTCATCTTAGCAAAGAACCGGTTCAGCTGCTTGCCCTTTGACCTGAACAACACCCCTGACCTTGAGTACCTTGACCTCTCGGAGAACGCCGTGACCTACCTGGAGCAGGACGAGATGGCGGCCCTGACGGCCCACTGGCAGCAGACGCCAAACTTCCGGCTCAAGCTGGGCGGGAACAACATCGCTTGCGTCTGCTCGCAGATCCGCTTCCTCGGTGAGTCCAACCTTGACCCTGACCCTGGGCGAGTCCAACCTTGACCCTGACCCTGAGTGAGTCCAACCTTGACCCTGACCATGGGTGAGTCCAACCTTGACCCTGACCTTGGGTGAGTCCAACCTTGACCCTGACCCTGGGTGAGGCCAACCTTCCTTTACCCTAACCTGCCCTATAAAACTTCTGCCCTGTCATATCTGCCCTCTGCCCTACCATCCACTCTCTGCCCTACCATCCCCTCTCTTCCCTCTGCCCTACCATCCACTCTCTGCCCTACCATCCACTCTCTGCCCTCTGCCCTACCATCCACCCTCTGCCCTACCATCCACTCTCTGCCCTCTGCCCTACCATCCACTCTCTGCCCTCTGCCCTACCATCCACTCTCTGCCCTACCATCCACTCTCTGCCCTCTGCCCTACCATCCACTCTCTGCCCTCTGCCCTACCATCCACTCTCTGCCCTCTGCCCTACCATCCACTCTCTGCCCTCTGCCCTACCATCCACTCTCTGCCCTACCATCCCCTCTCTTCCCTCTGCCCTACCATCCCCTCTCTTCCCTCTGCCCTACCATCCACTCTCTGCCCTACCATCCCCTCTCTTCCCTCTGCCCTACCATCCACTCTCTACCCTACCATCCACTCTCTGCCCTACCATCCACTCTCTGCCCTCTGCCCTACCATCCACTCGCTGCCCTACCATCCACTCTCTGCCCTACCACCCACTCTCTGCCCTCTGCCCTACCATCCACTCTCTGCCCTAACATCCACTCTCTGTCCTACCATCCACTCTCTGCCCTACCATCCACTCTCTGCCCTACCACCCACTCTCTGCCCTCTGCCCTACCATCCACTCGCTGCCCTAACATCCACTCTCTGCCCTACCATCCACTCTCTTCCCTACCATCCACTCTCTGCCCCACCATCCACTCTCTGCCCTCTGCCCTACCATCCACTCGATGCCCTACGATGAAACTTGTATTTCAGGCTGGCTAGAAAAGAGCCAGTTTGTGATTGGCCGAGATTTGTACACGTGCACTTCACAAGATGGCCAGCAGTTGATGGTTAGTGACGTCATTGACGACCTACAGAGTTTCTACAGACATTGCAACGGCAGGTAGGGGTCGGTAGGGTAGGGGTGGTGGGTGGCGTGGTAGGGGCGGTGGTGGGTCGTGGGTGGTGTGGTAGGGTAGATGGAGAGAGTTGGGGTGCTACATGTGGTGGTAGTCCGAGTCACCAAAAAGCCCCCCCACAACGAGCTCATCTTACCCCCAGCATGTACTTGATGACGTCACTGGTCCTGCTGACCTTTCACCTGTTGACCTTCCTGTCGGCTGTCCTGGTCCTTAGGTTTAGGACATGTCTGCTGGCTTTCATCTGGCGTCTGCTGTTCCCGGCCCGGCTCATGACTGCAGACGACTACAAGTATGACGTCTTTCTCGGCTACGCTGATGACGATTTCCTGTACGTCCGCCGGGTTCTGAGTGGGTAAGTGGGGGGGGGGGGGGCATGGGGGGTGGGGGGGGGGGGGGGGGTGGGCGGTAACCTGGGGGGTGAAGAAAATGAGGGTGGTGGTAAGCTAATAAAATTTAAGAGGAAAGTGATATGTAACGAAAGTTTAAGGGGTATAATTAGAAAGTTTGGGGGAGCAGAGTTTCTTCCAGACAACTCTTCCTCCGCCCCCCCCCCCCCCCCCCACCGAACGAAATGGAATATATTTAGAAAATATATAATTTCAAGTGCCCCCCCCCCCCCGGAGAAAAAGTCTGGAAGAAACACTGTGGGGTAGGGGGGGGGGTTAGTAAAAAATGGAAAGGGGTTGGGTTGGGTTTACTCACTAGAAATTTTTCGCCTAATTGACTTGATTTGGTCACGTGATCAGTTTTCTGGAGGACAGTCTGAAGGTCAGGACCTTCATCCACCAACGTGACCTTGGCCCCGGCTACACAGACCAGCAGTTTTTCAAGGCCATCCGCAACAGCTGGAGGGTCATGCTGGTCGTAACAGACAACTTCCTGCACGGCTACCAGCTGTGTGACGTCATCATCAAGGTCAGCCCCACACTCTTCTCTGTGTGTGTTGATGTGGGGGGGGGGGGTCATCAATGTCAGCTCCGCATTTCTACACTTGGTGTGTGTGCAGATGTGTGTGTGTGGAGGGGGGGGGATCTACACACCAAAGTCACCCCCCCCCCCAGTAACACCAGGTTGGTACGTCACAACTGCATGTACATGACGTGTAGAGAAAAATGACGTCACTTGATTGTCTCCCCAGTTCGCCAGTCACTCCGTGACGTCACTCAACCCTCGCCGCCTGCTCGTGCTGGTGGAGGAGTCTCAGTACCAGAACATTCCAGACTACTTGTATGACGTCATTGACGAGACCAGGATCGTGGTGGTCAAAGACTTGCAGGGGGCGCTGGGATATGACCAGCAGCAGAAGATCAAAGACTGTATTCTCTCCTAGTCCACGTCTGCTGGTCTAAATATAGACAGTCTCGGCTGTGTGGCCAACATTGTGTCAAATCATCCCTGTACCGACTGACCCCTGTACCAACCGACCCCTGTACCTGCTGACCCCTGTACCGACTGACCCCTGTACCGACTGACCCCTGTACCGACTGACCCCTGTACCGACTGACCCCTGTACCGACTGACCCCTGTACCAACCGAACCCTGTACCTGCTGACCCCTACTGACCCCTGTACCTACTGACCCCTGTACCGACTGACCCCTGTACCGACTGACCCCTGTACCAACCGAACCCTGTACCTGCTGACCCCTACTGACCCCTGTACCTACTGACCCCTGTACCGACCCCTGTACCTACTGACCCCTGTACCGACCTGTACCTACTGACCCCTGTACCGACCTGTACCTACTGACCCCTGTACTGACCCCTGTACCTACTGACCCCTGTACCGACCCCTGTACCTACTGACCCCTGTACCTGCTGACCCTTACTGACCCCTGTACCTACTGACCCCTGTACCGACCCCTGTACCTACTGACCCCTGTACCTGCTGACCCTTACTGACCCCTGTACCTACTGACCCCTGTACCGACTGACCCCTGTACCGACTGACCCCTGTACCAACCGAACCCTGTACCTGCTGACCCCTACTGACCCCTGTACCTACTGACCCCTGTACCGACCTGTACCTACTGACCCCTGTACCGACCTGTACCTACTGACCCCTGTACTGACCCCTGTACCTACTGACCCCTGTACCTGCTGACCCCTACTGACCCCTGTACCTACTGACCCCTGTACCGACCTGTACCTACTGACCCCTGTACCGACCTGTACCTACTGACCCCTGTACCGACCCCTGTACCTACTGACCCCTGTACCTGCTGACCCATACTGACCCCTTTACCTGCTGACCCCTACTGACCCCTGTACCTACTGACCCTTGACCCCACCACTCCCAGTGTTGAAGCCAAGCTTCTCCCCGTTGTGTGCCAGCAGGGAGGGTGGGGGGGGGGGGGCTCAACTCTCTTTTCTTTTATCCAGGTGCGAGTTGTGGAGGGGGGGGGGGGTACACGGCCACCATTAAACTCATTCATGGGAAATGTATGATTTATTTTATCACTGACACCATTGTGATGACGTCAGGGCTGCCTCTCTGGCTCCGGAAATAAGTTTTTAAATGTTTTTCCTTGTTTACACTATCCCGTTCATTCATTGGTCAACATACCCGCGGGTTTCCCAGTTACTATAAATAGTATCATGCGACCTTTTCAATTCTATACTTAGATCAATGGGGTGGCAAGAGTTTGTTAGATTGGGCATTAGACTTGATGTTTTATCTTGATGTTTTATCTTGATGTTTTATCTTGATGTTTTATCTTGATGTTTTATTGTGATGTTTTATCTTGATGTTTTATTGTGATGTTTTATCGTGATGTTTTATGGTGATGTTTTATCTTGATGTTTTATCGTGATGTTTTATGGTGATGTTTTATCTTGATGTTTTATCGTGATGTTTCATGGTGATGTTTTATCTTGATGTTTTATCGTGATGTTTTATGGTGATGTTTTATCGTGATGTTTTATCTTGATGTTTTATCTTGGTGTCTTATCGTGATGTTTTATCGTGATGTTTTATCGTGATGTTTTATCGTGATGTTTTATCGTGATGTTTTATCATGATGTTTTATCTTGATGTTTTATCTTGATGTTTTATCGTGATGTTTTATGGTGATGTTTTATCTTGATGTTTTATCGTGATGTTTTATGGTGATGTTTTATCATGATGTTTTATCTTGATGTTTTATCTTGATGTTTTATGGTGATGTTTTATCGTGATGTTTTATGGTGATGTTTTATTGTGATGTTTTATCTTGATGTTTTATCGTGATGTTTTATCTTGATGTTTTATCGTGATGTTTTATCGTGATGTTTTATCGTGATGTTTTATCGTGATGTTTTATCGTGATGTTTTATGGTGATGTTTTATCGTGATGTTTTATCTTGATGTTTTATCTTGGTGTCTTATCGTGATGTTTTATCGTGATGTTTTATCTTGATGTTTTATCGTGATGTTTTATCGTGATGTTTTATCATGATGTTTTATCTTGATGTTTTATCTTGATGTTTTATCGTGATGTTTTATGGTGATGTTTTATCTTGATGTTTTATCGTGATGTTTTATGGTGATGTTTTATCATGATGTTTTATCTTGATGTTTTATCTTGATGTTTTATGGTGATGTTTTATCTTGATGTTTTATCTTGATGTTTTATCGTAATGTTTTATCTTGATGTTTTATCGTGATGTTTTATGGTGATGTTTTATCGTGATGTTTTATCTTGATGTTTTATCGTGATGTTTTATCGTGATGTTTTATCTTGATGTTTTATCGTGATGTTTTATCGTGATGTTTTATCGTGATGTTTTATCGTGATGTTTTATCGTGATGTTTTATCGTGATGTTTTATCTTGATGTTTTATCGTGATGTTTTATCTTGATGTTTTATCATGATGTTTTATCTTGATGTTTTATCTTGGTGTCTTATCGTGATGTTTTATCGTGATGTTTTATGGTGATGTTTTATCGTGATGTTTTATCGCGATGTTTTATCTTGATGTTTTATCTTGATGTTTTATCTTGATGTTTTATCGTGATGTTTTATCGTGATGTTTTATGGTGATGTTTTATCGTGATGTTTTATCTTGATGTTTTATCTTGATGTTTTATGGTGATGTTTTATCTTGATGTTTTATCTTGATGTTTTATCGTGATGTTTTATCTTGATGTTTTATCGTGATGTTTTATGGTGATGTTTTATGGTGATGTTTTATCGTGATGTTTTATCTTGATGTTTTATCGTGATGTTTTATCGTGATGTTTTATCTTGATGTTTTATCGTGATGTTTTATCTTGATGTTTTATCTTGGTGTCTTATCGTGATGTTTTATCGTGATGTTTTATGGTGATGTTTTATCGTGATGTTTTATCGCAATGTTTTATCCTGATGTTTTATCTTGATGTTTTATCGTGATGTTTTATCGTGATGTTTTATCGTGATGTTTTATCGTGATGTTTTATCGTGATGTTTTATGGTGATGTTTTATCTTGATGTTTTATCGTGATGTTTTATCTTGATGTTTTATCTTGATGTTTTATCTTGATGTTTTATCGTGATGTTTTATCTTGATGTTTTATCGGTACAGATCAATAAAAACAGCTCAACCAAATTGTGATTATACCGTCTTGTCTATAGTGTCTTGACTTTAGTGCCTTGACTATAGTGTCTTGACTGTACCTCCAACCCATAATCAAGTCTAAAAGTTGAGTGCCAATGTCCCATTCAACGTTTTCCAACTTGAAAAAAGGGGCAGCACCAATCTATTGAGCTGTGGCACCAACGTACTTGGATCTATTGAGTTGTGGCACCAACGTACTTGGATCTATTGAGCTGTGGCACCAACGTACTTGGATCTATTGAGCTGTGGCACCAACGTACTTGGATCTATTGAGCTGTGGCACCAACGTACTTGGATCTATTGAGTTGTGGCACCAACGTACTTGGATCTATTGAGCTGTGGCACCAACGTACTTGGATCTATTGAGCTGTGGCACCAACGTACTTGGATCTATTGAGCTGTGGCACCAACGTACTTCGATCTATTGAGCTGTGGCACCAACGTACTTGGATCTATTGAGCTGTGGCACCAACGTACTTGGATCTATTGAGCTGTGGCACCAACGTACTTCGATCTATTGAGCTGTGGCACCAACGTACTTGGATCTATTGAGTTGTGGCACCAAATACTTGGATCTATTGAGCTGTGGCACCAACGTACTTGGATCTATTGAGCTGTGGCACCAAGTACTTGGATCTATTGAGCTGCCGTCTGCTGGCAAATGATTTGGGTTCGTTTTGTATTGACCCCGTGTGTCGGGGTCCCATTTGATCCAACTGACTTGACTGGGTGCCAAGTGTCAAGGTGCCAAAGTTTATTTATAGCCTACCCACTTCGGATACCGATGACTAAGTGACCTGGTTTTTTTTTTTTTTTGCTGGAAATATTGTCATGGCCTACTTTTGTCATTGAACCGGAAACATTTGTCTTGCGAGAACTGACGTCACAACCTGACCTCGTCAACAGTGACGTCACAACCTGACCTCGTCAACAGTGACGTCACAAGATGACCTCAAGTCAACAGTGACCGTCCCTAACCATGGCATGGTGCCCCACAGTCCCGACATCAGAGCATGGTGCCCCACAGTCCCAACATTAGCGATGATCTGATTCTAATTGTATCAGTCCGTGGACTATGTTGCCTAGATGCCACGTTGACTACTGGCTAGTTAGATCAGAAGTAATTGTTCTGGGAAATATTTTTAAGCCGTTTAGAATAAGCCGATAAGTAGTCTAGGGGAGGTAACCGAGTAAATATTTCATGAGCTAATCCTTACTAAATTACGTCCCTTTATTGAAAAGCTGTTGACTTTTTTTATCAGGGGGCGGCTACTTGCATCTCAGAGTAAAGAAAATATTCATGTACACATAAGCGCGTACACATGGATGTCCTGACCAGAAAACACAGCGGGTCATCTCCGTACATGCTTTCTGTACACATATAGAGCTTGTACTGTAAGTCATGTACACACAGACACACACACACGTTCACATTGTTTGTTCTATTTTTAGCTGTACCAGGTTTGGGTACCATAATTGTCACGTGGCTTTTTGTTGTCACGTGGTTATAGGTGTCACGACATCCTTGCATTAAAAAAATGTCTACAACTTTGACCTTGTGCTCATTAAACTTTATCAAGGTCACGATGTTGTGTTATGGGCTGACTTTATTTACTGTGTTAATTGACGTTAATTAGCAGAATTTTTGGCAGTATAAAAGTTCACAAAACAACATGGCGACTTTTATCAAAAGACGAAGTTCTTGAAATACTTGACCCACATCTCACGTCTGCTGGCTGACGTCATGGGCCACTGATGGAGACACGTGACGTCACGGGCACGCTCCTGGTTGTAATAGTGGCGGCGCCACCTCCATCCGCCCAGAACACGTGGCCACGCTGGCCTTGACCTCCTGGCACAAGGTCACGGACGATGTGCAGACGGCAGTCACACACCTGGGGAGACATTGACAGTTCTGACGGGTACCTTGACTCTACTCCACCTACTCCACCCAGCTGTGACTCACCTGGCAAACAAGTCCATGACTCCGCCCCCGTTTTCCGATTGGTCGAGACAGTTGATGACCTTCTTGTCCCTGACCATGAACTCACAAAGGTCAAAGGCCAGTCGTCTGCGTACTGGACTCGTGCATGACGTCACAGCGTTGGAAGCTGCCTCACAACTGGGCGCGGCGTTTGGCCTAAACACAGAGGTGTTTAAACACTTTAAACACAGAGTTGTGGGCGTCTACTATAGCAGTCAATCTCTGTGTGTCATGTCATTATACTGTCACACGGTCAGTGACACGTGGCGTCACGGTGTGGAGTCAACACTGTAGCTAAGGTCCCCGCCCCTTCTCTGGGGTCTGATAAATTATCCTATTTTCTGATCTTCTTCTTCTTCGATTTTAATTTTAGTATTGGCAGGGATCCCCTCCAGTACAATTAAGTGTACGTCTAGCAACCATGAGCTTTACCGACCCGACTACAACGACCCCTATTCTCTAATGTCCCCCCGCCCCATTCTGTTGTTGTTCATGTCTATTTTAATTAATTAATTGATTTTAGTTGAATGATCGTTGTTTGCCCTAATTGATCAGCCACTACATTGTGTCACCACTACAATGTGTCTCCACTACATTGTGTCACCACTACAGTGTGTCTCCACTATATTGTGTCACCACTACATTGTGTCACCACTACATTGTGTCACCACTACATTGTGTCACCTATACATTGTGTCACCACTACATTGTGTCACCACTGCATTGTGTCACCACTACATTGTGTCACCACTACATCGTGTCACCACTCCACTCACTGGTTCTGCTGGACGTTGGAGGCCAACATCCTGTACAACATGACCTGCTGTCTCGTCAGATTCAAACTTGACGCCAGGCTGGACAACGTGACGTCACTGGCGGGGTCTAGGGCGATGACGTCAGACGACGACAACCACGTGACATCTGAGCGTGAAAAAAGGTTACGTTAGTTGTATGACGTCACGCTGTTTTCTCACCGTGCTCTGTACTGACCAGCGTGACGTCACACTGTCCACTCACCGTGCGCTGTACTGACCAGCGTGACGTCACACTGTCCACTCACCGTGCTCTGTACTGACCAGCGTGACGTCACACTGTCCACTCACCGTGCTCTGTACTGACCAGCGTGACGTCACACTGTCCACTCACCGTGCTCTGTGCTGACCAGCGTGACGTCACACTGTCCACTCACCGTGCTCTGTGCTGACCAGCGTGACGTCACACTGTCCACTCACCGTGCTCTGTGCTGACCAGCATGACGTCACACTGTCCACTCACCGTGCTCTGTGCTGACCAGCGTGACGTCACACTGTCCACTCACCGTGCTCTGTACTGACCAGCGTGACGTCACACTGTCCACTCACCGTGCGCTGTACTGACCAGCGTGACGTCACACTGTCCACTCACCGTGCGCTGTACTGACCAGCGTGACGTCACACTGTCCACTCACCGTGCTCTGTACTGACCAGCGTGACGTCACACTGTCCACTCACCGTGCCCCGTACTGACCAGCGTGACGTCACACTGTCCACTCACCATGCTCTGTGCTGACCAGCGTGACGTCACACTGTCCACTCACCGTGCTCTGTACTGACCATCACCCCCAGGCCGGGCAGCTGACTCTGAGACACGCCCTCCTCAAGGTTGAAAGGACGGAATACGACCTTGACCCCACAGGCCTCTACCTGTCAGGTGAGTTGATGGTTAGCAATGTGTATACGTGGGGAGGGGGGTGTTGGTAGACAACATGGATCAACTCATTAATGACGTCACGACGTGTAATTACCCATCTCCGGGTAAGCCGCCCTGAAGCAACCCAAAGTAATCACAAAACTTACCTCAAAGTAGGCGTAGTTGTTGTAGGGGTCGTGTCTGACCCTAAGGGATGACCCGGGGAAGATGGAGTAGCAGGCCGTGTCGGTGACGTTCCACGGGCCGTCAGGGGCGTAGCTCAGTGAGCCCAGCTCTTCAAACTGGGTGGGGGGGGGGGGGGGTAAACAGGAACTTGTTAATATATTAACTAGAGGAAATTACCACACACTACACCCGACAGACCCCCACACCCCACTGACCCCCACACCCCACTGACCCCACACCCCACTGACCCCCACACCCCACTGACCCCCACACCCCACTGACCCCCACACCCCACTGACCCCACACCCCACTGACCCCTACACCCTACTGACCCCCAGACCCCCACTGACCCCTACACCCCACAGACCCCCACTGACCCCTACACCCTACTGACCCCCACACCCCACAGACCCCCACTGACCCCTACACCCCATTGACCCCCACTGACCGTATAACCGCTGGCCGTGGCATGCCCAAACTTCCTGAAGGAGATCTCTGTGCCCGTGAGTACCGCGTGTGACGTCACGATGCGCAGTGCCAGATCAAAGCCGTGCACGTAGACGGTGCCGCGATGTTTAGCGTTGTAGGCGTGGACCTGTCAGAGGTGTCACAGGTGGTGTCACAGGTGGTGTCATAGGTGGTGTCACAGGTGGTCTCACAGGTGCTGTCACAGGTGCTGTCACAGGTGGTGTCACAGGTGGTGTCACAGGTGGTGTCGCAGGTGGTGTCACAGGTGGTCTCACAGGTGCTGTCACAGGTGGTGTCACAGGTGGTGTCGCAGGTGGTGTCACAGGTGGTGTCACAGGTGGTGTCACAGGTGGTGTCACAGGTGGTGTCACAGGTGGTGTCACAGGTGGTGTCATAGGTGGTGTCACAGGTGGTCTCACAGGTGCTGTCACAGGTGCTGTCACAGGTGGTGTCACAGGTGGTGTCACAGGTGGTGTCGCAGGTGGTGTCACAGGTGGTCTCACAGGTGGTCTCACAGGTGCTGTCACAGGTGGTGTCACAGGTGGTGTCACAGGTGGTGTCGCAGGTGGTGTCACAGGTGGTGTCACAGGTGGTCTCACAGGTGGTGTCACAGGTGCTGTCACAGGTGGTGTCACAGGTGCTGTCACAGGTGCTGTCACAGGTGGTGTCACAGGTGCTGTCACAGGTGGTGTCACAGGTGTTGTCGCAGGTGGTGTCACAGGTGCTGTCACAGGTAGTGTCACAGGTGCTGTCACAATTTTTATTTGTCAGAGATGTCACAGCTACTGTCTCAAACTTCTGCTGTAGTTCACAGTCCCTGAGCCCAACCAGCCCTTAGTGGTACCTAACCCGTCGCAGAAAGTCCAGCTGAACTCTACTTGACCTGCTCCTACCGTCTGGTCTGAGAGACACAGCTTCCACAACCACACGGGTCGTCTGACTGTACAGGAAGTATAAAAAAAACTGACCTTGACCTCACACTGTCCAAACGGCCATTTTGTATAGTTTGACCGGAAGTGTGTGAGCAGGTAGCGGCAGGGGGCGGGCACGGCTGAGTACTCGGCCTTGAAGTTCCAAAGGTTAGGGTCGTTGAGAACCTCGGCGTTATAGAAGGCTGGAGGTGGGTAAACAGCATGACATCACGTGACGTATACATTTACATGACCTAGTTTTTACACTTTGACCTACTTTTAAACCCCTGACACGTTACCTGGCTGGAAGCAGAAGAAGTCGCCCCGCCCCCTGAGGCCAGACTTGCAGACACACTCGCCATCCTGGCACTCGGAGAACCGGGCTATGCATTTCCGGTACCCGAGTTCACAGGTCGACCCCGACTCTGGCGGGAAAAATTGACCAATCAAATCACTTGTTGCGATCTCTCTACGTCTATTGACACAACTTACGACCACTGGTCTACAGACACAATTTACGTCTATTGACACAACTTACGTCTATTGACACAACTTACGTCTATTGACACAACTTACGTCTATTGACACAACTTACGTCTACTGACACAACTTACGTCTATTGACACAACTTACGTCTATTGACACAACTTACGTCTACTGACACAACTTACGTCTATTGACACAACTTACGTCCATTGACACAACTTACGTCTATTGACACAACTTACGTCTACTGACACAACTTACGTCTACTGACACAACTTACGTCTATTGACACAACTTACGTCCATTGACACAACTTACGTCCATTGGTCAGCCTGACCCAGGCCAGGGAGAGTTGGAAGAGAGAACACACAAACACGGCTGCTTGGAGAGGGCGTCTCATTCTAGGGGTCACTCGGGGGTCACTCAGGGGTCAGTCTGTGGAGGTATGGGGTCACTCTTTTCTGGGGTCACTCTGGAGTCAGTCTGTGGGGTATGGGGTCACTCTTTGCTGGGGTCAGTCTGTGGGGGTATGGGGGTCACTCAGGGGTCAGTCTATGGGGGTATAGGGTCAGTCTGTGGGGGTATTGGGTCACTCTTTGCTGGGGTCAGTCTGTGGGGGTATTGGGTCACTCTTTGCTGGGGTCAGTCTGTGGAGGTAGTGTAACTATTAGGTCACTGGTCGCGGAAGGGGGGGGGGGGGGTGGGTGGATTTGCTCGGAGATGATTGTCGGAAGGGGCATGAAAGAAATTATGTGATGGGGGGGGGCGCACGGGTAGGAGGACAAAGCTGGAAGAAAAATTGATGGCGCCAATAATGGATGAACCTCCCCCCCCCCCTCCCTATCCTGGTCATTCTAGGTCTAGATGTGCGTGTGTGGTCTACTTCACTGGACCTACGGCTGAGTGAAATGACTGGACCTACGGCTGAGTGAAATGACTGACGGCTGAGTGAAATGACTGACGGCTGAGTGAAATGACTGGACTGACGGCTGAGTGAAATGACTGGACTGACGGCTGAGTGAAATGACCTAATGACCTACTCACCTAATGAGACGAACTTGTAACCCACCAGACTCGCAAACAACAAACAGCTCAGCCACAAAAGAAACCCTCGCCAGTTTGACTGCTTTTAAAATAATGAACTGCCGAATTCTGAGGCGGTCAAAACATGTTTACAGTGCCCTCTGGTGTTGGGGTGTCAGCCCGCCCCCCTCCTGACCCCCCCCCCCCCGGGTGTTGGGACTTGAAAAGATTGCGCCGACACCTGCCTGATATGTCTTGACAAATGCTTTAATCGGTGATTGATTTTTTCTTTTGATCTGTGGTCATCGATTGTCACGTGATCAACAGGCTTGGCGGAGACAAGAGGGGGTGTCGGGAGGTGAGGGGGTGGAGGGGGTTGGTTGAGGATAAGCTATCTTTACTTTAGGGATGTGTGACACACACACACCATGTGCGGGGTCCCACGTTCCTACCACCTGGTACCCGGGTAGACCGCGGGGACATCCAATATTAATCCCCGGGTACCAGGTGGTAGGAACGTGGGACCCCGCACATGGTGTGTGTGTGTTGGGGGGGGGGGTGAAGATAAACCTGGTGGGGAGGGAAGATAAGCCTGGTGGGGGGGGGGGGGGGTAAGCCAGGGGGGGGGGGGAAACCTGGTGGAGGGAAGATAAGCCTGGTGGGGGGGGGGGTAAGCCTGGTGGGTGGAAGGTAAGCCTGGTGGGGGGAGGTAATGGGGGGAAGGTAAGCCTGGTGGGGGGAGGTAAGCCTGGTGGGGGGAGGTAATGGGGGGAAGGTAAGCCTGGTGAATGGGGGGAAGGTAAGCCTGGTGAATGGGGGGAAGGTAAGCCTGGTGAATGGGGGGAAGGTAAGCCTGGTTGGAGGGGGGAGGTAAGCCTGGTGGGGGGAGGTAAGCCTGGTGGGGGGAGGTAATGGGGGGAAGGTAAGCCTGGTGGGGGGAGGTAAGCCTGATGGGGGGAGGTAAGCCTGGTGGGGGGAGGTAATGGGGGGAAGGTAAGCCTGGTGGGGGGAGGTAAGCCTGGTGGGGGGAGGTAATGGGGGGAAGGTAAGCCTGGTGAATGGGGGGAAGGTAAGCCTGGTTGGAGGGGGGAGGTAAGCCTGGTGGGGGGAGGTAAGCCTGGTGGGAACCCACGGATCATAGCGGGGTCAGCAAACCGACATAACTAGTCGGACTTTGCTACGTCGAGGCCTAACTCGCTAATTGGAGTTTGCTACGTCGAGGCCTAACTGGCTAATTGGAGTTTCAGCTTCTGGGCCGAAATGATCGTGTGACGAAAGTATTGGAGGTAAATGACAGGTCTCACTAAAGATAGTCATTTCATTTGGTCTGGGTCAGTCTACCAAAGGGCAGACAACCGATCATGTGCTGGTGTTGGGATAATTAACCATGTAAAGGTTGCTAACTCCTGGTCTCCTTTGTAACTTCACATTTACATTGTTACCTCCCTTAGAGCTGAACTTTTTTTAAAAATACGCTCCGGACTTAGTGTGTGTGTGTATGAAAGGTGACTGTCCTGATTTGTCAATAAACGGCATTTTTTAATTTTAAAGATCACATCTGACAAATATTGTTATACCCGACATATCTAACGCAGGACCTACATATATTTTTAATGCACTTGTTCTCTGTAGCCAATATCTAGTTATGTAAATCAGCTGATTGAAAAATCTCTCAATGGCCCTGACCTTGAACCAGTGTGAGGTAGTTTGTCTGATTGGTTGCCCGTGTCACGTGACAGTGAGCACAAGTGAGTTGTATGATGTTGCTCTCATCAGCTGATGGCCTAGATAGAACCGGCTCAATCTGTTTTGGGTTGGTGAGCGTGTGGTCCGTGTGTCGCGCAACACCCAGACTTTTCTTTGTTTCATTCGTTCCTGGTGAGTCTCCACTTTTCATATTATTGTCGTCTGCACTTGTTACACTTGAGTTTGTAATTGTCACTCGAAAATATAAATTTTTTTAAAAGGGTGGGGGTGGGGGGATCAGTTGCTAGAAAACTAACTTTAAATCTATTTCTTTAATATTTGTTTTGTCTCGTCGTTAGTGCAACTTTTTTATTAGCTACAAAAACAAATAGATCTATCTGCAAAACTAAAAGTTTTAAATATTTTATTTTCGACACATTTACATGTGTTACTCTTTTTTCTATTTCGTCATTATTTCATTATCTATTTCGTTATTTATTCCATTTTTTTCTTCACTTATTTTTTTTTATGTCGACCTATTTGTCGTTAGATGACGTCACACTCTTGGACCCGGGGGGGGGGTGTTGTGTGTCGGAAATTTGAGACAGTGTGTGACAGCGAGAAGTGGGGGGGGGAGGGGGGGAGAGAAAGTGAGACGTCACACTATTGTTTTTTTAGCGCAATTTCAATACTGGACAATTGCGATTATTTTAAAGATTGTTAGAAACTGACCGTTAGCCATTTTTTCGCGGTTTGTTTAGCTTTGTTTGTAAATTGTAATGGAAATTATAAATTAATCTAGATCTAGATCTATGTTGGCTGAGCTCAGAAAATATTTTAGAAAGAAAAAAAATGTTTTAAAATGAACCTCTATTTCGAAGGGTGGGGTTTGTCATGGCGTTACAAGGTTGGGGGAGGGGGGGGGGGGCTGAACTGGTGACTCCATGACGAAAATCGTAAAATTTTCTGTAGAAAGAATGGATTTTGTTATCCACTTAAGCTTAACAAAATTGTAGGGGGGAAAGGGTGACACCAACTAAAAATGTAAAACTGTAGGAGGTTGTGGGGCGACACCCGACCTGGTTGTAGACTGTAGGCTCATGTGTGACGTCATTTGAGGATTAGAGGTCAGGCTTATAGTGAAGATGTGTGACGTCACTTTAGGGTCAGGGGTCTGCTGGTTTCTTACATATCGGGCAAGGGGGGGGGGGGGTTCAAATGTTGTGTGCACGTCCTAAATGGATGAGCCCTTGCTAGTTCGAGCCTAACCCAACACTGGCTGCTCTATCAACTCGACCTGTTGGCCGGCTATTAATAAACTGTGCTATTTTTAGATGGACCTTGTCCCCATGTGTATGCCCTACAATGTTGTTTTTGTTCGCTGGTCACCACATTGTGTGTTGTCATGGTTACCTGTCACCAACTGCTGCTCTAACGGTCACGTGACGTCTATTTATAGTCTGGCCTAGATTTTCACGCAATCAAAACATTCGATCATGTGATCGGTAAGGCATGTTAGTCACACATACTCAGTCACACATCCTCAGTCACACATCCTCAGTCACACATCCTCAGTCACACATCCTCAGTCACACATCCTCAGTCACACATCCTCAGTCACACATCCTCAGTCACACATCCTCAGTCACACATCCTCAGTCACACATCCTCAGTCACACATCCTCAGTCACACATCCTCAGTCACATCTGCCACAATACACCACACACACACACACACACCTGCATACCACACATCACCACACATCTCATACCCACACACACACAGCTACCAAATGTTTTCTGTTCATCCATTCAAACCAGCCCTCCCTTTGGTCTTAGGGCAGGGGGGGGGGGGGGGGGGGAGCTGGTTAGTTTAGTCGACAGACACCTGGATGGTGTATGCTAGGAGTGTAGGTCTGCTTGTATGCTTTCACATTTATGAGTATGCTAACTAGTTCACCAAAATCTATACTTGTATGTTACATAAGTGATCTACATCTATTGCTGTATGCTAAATGAATTGTAGTATGCTACTAGTCTTGTCGTATGCTATCCGTATGCTAGCAGATGTACCCGCGGTCGATACGGTAGACTGCAGTCAAGCGTGACGGTCTGTGTTCAGTCATGCGCGGAATACAAGTAGAGCAACTTGGGTTGTCCCCTAATCGTCCTTTACAACCCCCCCCCCCTCAATCCCCCCCCCTCAATCCCCCATCCCCCCATGAGCCCCATATGGTGTTGTAAACGCCTGGCCAGTGTCTCCACATTTTCCTGTAGTCCAGTTTTAATGTGCAAAATGTGTAGTTAACATCACATTAGTTAGTTTACATACGATCAGTTAACCTCTCATGTTTAGTTAACCTCCCATTAGTTAACCTCCCATTAGTTAACCTCCCATCAGTAAACCTGCCATGTTTAGTTAACCTCCCATCTGTAAACCTCCCATGGACTGAGGTTGGTGGGCATGTGGTGTAGCGGTTAGTCCAGTCAACACACAACGTTCCCCAGACCTGACTTTTTAAAATACCTTGCTGCGTGTGTGACGACAACTGAGTGGCTAGACAGATAGGGGAGGTCATTCTCTCGCCTATTGAGACGTACAATGTCAGGCGTTAAATGTAATCAAAACAGCAATCAGTCGTCACGGTTGAGTGAACACTATGCACTTGTCTGATGTAGGACAGGGACTATTCTATAAATAGCACAGTCCACTGATTTGGTTGGACCTGTCTGTTAACCCGATGTCGTTTTCAACTTTTCTCACCATGGGTGCGCTGTCAAAACGGCCCGGGACAAAACGGCCCCGTTAATTTGACTCCGTCAAATCGACCCCCGACAAAACGACCCAGTCAAAATAGCCCCGTCAAAAGGGCCCCGACTTATTGGCTCCCGTCAAATGGGCTCCCGTCATATTGACTTGCGACATATAGGCTCCCGACAAATGGGCTCCCGATATTTAAACCCCTGACAAATAGGCTCAGGACATATTGGCTCCCGACAAAGCGGCTCCTGACATAAGGGCTCACGACATATTGACTACCGACAAATGGGTTCCCGACATATTGGCTCCCAGCAATTGGGCTCCCGACATATTGGCTTTTGACAAAATGACTCCCGACATATTGGCTCCAGACCAATGAATGGCATGACCACAATTGGCATAAAGGTAACCATTTTGTCCTACCTCCAATACCACTATAACCTCTTTTAAATGCCTGAATGAAATTGTTTTTCATTAACCAACATTAATTCACAAACAAATCGAGCCCTTAACAGCTAAATTCCACCAATTCTAAAGTTTTGATAATGTTTAATTTACAACAGAAAAGATCTGTTGCTTAAAAGCGAGCACAGAAGTGTAAATGTATGATATACATGATGTTTACATGATAACAGTATTTTGTTTTGATAACCTATAAACATACTGCAGGTAGGAAGGTACAGCGTGGACCCTTCTCCCCA